ATAATTGTTGAGCAAAACAATAAGTGTATACATAAAAATGGAATTATTGAAAACAAGTGCTGTAGAAAACCGCTATCGGCCGTTTATCACTACTGGCGTCTTCCAGAGTGGAATCAGGGCCGACCGATAAATGTAAACGAAAATCTGAACAAAACATATACTAGGGGACCGTTCAGTCAATGCGGGAGTTTCACAAACCGTGTATAAACTACCAAATTTTGCTACAAGAAATTTTCTTTCGCGACGCAGCGTGGTCAAAATAACTTTCACGCTAAAATTTCTTTCTCTGATGAAAACATACTGGCATGTAACTGCGAATTAATCTTGATTTAAAAGCTGGATGTACTAATGTAATTTAATGTACTAACGTTTTTTTAAATTTGACAAATTCTTTTAATGGAAATATTTAACTTTATGGACCTTCGTACAAAGCCCCCACCAACGCTCAAAATAAGAAAATTAGTAAATATTCAGTTTTAAAAATAAAATTCAAATCATTCCTAACCCCAACTGGATAATTACTAATTTATTATTTAAAAACGATGGGGGTGTTTTTCTCAAATCTCACATTTATGCATTAGTGGCGGATGCTTTGTATAAAAGATCTAGTTTTATAACATTTTAAATTTTAAGCTGTGAATGCCCGGGACAATAAGTATTGACCAGATTAAATCGATTGAAAGCCGCAATTTAAAAATTAACCATTGAATAGTTCAAACTTAAATGTCGAAGCTCCCAAGGATTCAGCTCACCTTGCTCAATGGTGAATCCGGCACTGTGTAGCCTACACAAAGTGAGATGCACAAGCCCTGATCAAGAACCATCGACTGACTGAAACCTGACATTTGCAAAACAATAATGGAAATTCTACGGAAAATGACTCACGGGGTAATGAAGAACTTTGGAATACAGCTTACAGCAATTTAGGGATCGACAATTTAGAACAGGGGTGTGCAAAGTGCGGCCCGCGAGGGAAAATTGTGCGGCCCGCGGAGAAGTGTCAATTTTGAATGGTGTGCGGCCAGCTAAACTAGTTTTTAATTTAGTCCGATCTGGTTCCCTTTGCGTTGCAAAGCTTATATTCGAGTCCAATTTATTATATATGTCTATGACGTTACAACGTCCTAACAGCGAAGCGAACAATGCGATTCACAAAGCTGTCACTCGCCGAGCAGCGAACAATTCAAAGGAAAATGGGGAGCAGACGCTAATGAATTTGTAAGATCGGGCATTTGAAGATTAGGCTTGAACTCGGAAGCAGTTTGAAAAAATTTAATATTAAGAGATACAAAAGCTAAATGAGTTTTGATTCTAGTCTATCAGTTGATTTTGTTTAAATCTGATAGGATAGGATTTACATATTTATCCCGGGGGAGAGGAAAGCCATTAAGACGGCTTAATCATATGGCAAACCATGGCCTCTCGTCCGGTTACCAGTCCAGGTCGGGTATGGGATTAGTTAGCCAGGTGTTTGTTTTCGGAAGCATGGACTTGATGGTGGAGGAAGCTGTAACCGACCAGCGGTTACGTGAACCACCCTACGGCGGCGAGGAGTCCAGCAATCCTCTGGCACATAATCATCCCCGCATCGGATTCGAACCTGCGATCCCACGAAGGGTAATCAGAGATGCGGTGGCGAGCGTATTCCTAACGCTTAGCACGATGCGCCACACCTTCGTGCCAGATTCCAGAATAAGATTTGACAGCAAAGTATTTGTAAATGAATTTGTCGTATTATACGGAAAACATTTACGACACACCATTTCCGAAAATACAACGTTACCTTATATCGCAAAACCAGGCGTTTTGTTATATTCATTTTGCACTCCCAATAAAATACATTATTCCATCGTCATCACGTTTGGTCAAGTATTTAAGCCGACGATAAATTTATAACGTTGCCACACGTGGTAAAGACATTATGCAAAACGTATCGACAAGTCTGTGTAGGCATATAACAAAACAATGGAAAATTAAGATTTTGCAACAGAAAATAAATCAGTCTTTAGATGTTACGAGTCTTGTTCGCACGAAATAAACACGCCGACATACTTGATTATAATTGATAGCCGTTAAATTAATTATTTATTTCACACCAATACTTAACGCGAACCCTACCAAGTGCACTCAAATTTTTAATAATTTAATGTTTTTTCATACTTATTTTTTGTATTCCACAATTTACTATTGAATTATATAATGCGCTATTTGTTTTAAAATATCAGTATTTAGGCATCACATAAATTTTGAACACTTCGCTGCAAAAAAAAAAATGTTAAAATTTCTAAAGTACATTGTCCTGAGAACCGCCTGTTTCTTAACAAATGAAATCCAATGCTCAAGACATTTTCAATTGAATACAAAGGCAATAAAACATTTGCAGTTTTGAAATTTGTAAACAGGATTTCGTATTCTAGATTCAATTTGGGTATTCTAGATTCTAGAATAGTGAATTATTCTACATTGCCCATCCTGGCATCTTAAAAGACCTTGTTTTTTAAAAGGTAGCTCACACAGAATGTCAATCAAATGCGTTGTTAGGTATGTATTAAAAATTTAATAAAGACTTCTCCTGCTATTTTTACGAAAAATGAAATATGGGATAATAGTAATCATATTCAAAATAGTATTCATATGGTAACAGCTTCAAGTAAATAAAAAACTTGAGCAGTACAGTAAATTACTTGCAACATTCATTATTATTTTCTATGCGGGAGATATTGCTGCTGCTAGACATAACGTGGCATACATAGCTTTCACCACTCAATACTAGTGTTAACCAGGGATGGCCATTTTCGAATACTAAACTATTCCAAATACATTCTAAAATAATGTTTTCGAATCTGGAATTCCGAGTACATTCTAAAATCGAAAATAACACATTTTTGTTACAGTTTATGAAAACCCAGTAAAATAGGAAATAAGCTTCAATAGAAATATCAGAATAAAGCCACAAACCAACTGTATATGTACACAAATTAATTGATAGTTTATAGCTATCAATAAAAATAATAGCAACTTGTGACACAGTCAGTTTGTTAAAATTGTACACTTAGTACAAATGACCATATGAAAAAATAGCCAAGGAGTTGTCTGACGCTTTCTATCATTGGTACCATGATATTACGATATATAATAGTCAAGTCTATTGACAAAATTATATACTACTTGTATTCAGATAATTGTGTATATTTTCTGAGAGTTTGTGAAAAGCAGTTTTGACAACTAATTAGTAATTAATAAGTAGTTAATTTCATTGGCAATACAAGCAACAACGATCCATTATGCCTAGACTCTAGAGTATTCTATCACCTACCAGTATATTTGTATATTAATTTATGTGAACCATATTGTTAATATGTGTAGCATATTGTTATGTCTGAAATTAGCAATAAGTGAGAGTTAGAGGATAGATGACCACCACTGCCAGGCGCGCAGCCACGATTTTGAAAATCGGAAATTCTCATTGCGCCTTTAACAGCCACCGCGATTCCGCGCTCGTTCCGTCTTTTCAGCCTATAAATAATGATCATCTTGTCACGTAAAATATTCAATCCATGACAACTACGAGAACACATTTTTGTTACAGTTTATGAAAACCCAGTAAAATAGGAAATAAGCTTCAATAGAAATATCAGAATAAAGCCACAAACCAACTGTATATGTACACAAATTAATTGATAGTTTATAGCTATCAATAAAAATAATAGCAACTTGTGACACAGTCAGTTTGTTAAAATTGTACACTTAGTACAAATGACCATATGAAAAAATAGCCAAGGAGTTGTCTGACGCTTTCTATCATTGGTACCATGATATTACGATATATAATAGTCAAGTCTATTGACAAAATTATATACTACTTGTATTCAGATAATTGTGTATATTTTCTGAGAGTTTGTGAAAAGCAGTTTTGACAACTAATTAGTAATTAATAAGTAGTTAATTTCATTGGCAATACAAGCAACAACGATCCATTATGCCTAGACTCTAGTCTAGAGTATTCTATCACCTACCAGTATATTTGTATATTAATTTATGTGAACCATATTGTTAATATGTGTAGCATATTGTTATGTCTGAAATTAGCAATAAGTGAGAGTTAGAGGATAGATGACCACCACTGCCAGGCGCGCAGCCACGATTTTGAAAATCGGAAATTCTCATTGCGCCTTTAACAGCCACCGCGATTCCGCGCTCGTTCCGTCTTTTCAGCCTATAAATAATGATCATCTTGTCACGTAAAATATTCAATCCATGACAACTACGAGATTCTAAAATATCTTTATATTTTAATTTTATGAGTCCAACGTAACTCGCGGTTGCCTCTTTATACGTCAAAATGAAAACATTACTATTCGGTCCACGGCGATCTGTGGTCTAAAAGTACGATATAAACTGCCTGATGCATTTAATTTTAATACGTATTTTTGCAATCTTGCCAACTTGTTATCGCCGTTAGAAAAATCTCAATAACTGATATAACATCCAGTAGAGTACAACTTCATTTCATACAATGAATATACATATAAAATTTAGCAGTAAATTAAAAATACTTATTCATCGCCGCGATTACTCCCAACTGTTAAAATAGCCGACTTTTAAAACGAATAATATAACAACAATATATATTTTTCTGTTGTGCAAAGTGATGAAATCGTGACCGATATGAGCATATTTAAAATGTCTTGCTTTATTAATTTAATTGTTTTAAATTAAACCATGGCATTCGCGGACATGAAAATAAAAATGTGTGGTGAACTGCCCGATTATAGATATATATTGTTTCGATCCGTCTTTTGCGAATTCGGCAAATTTGAGATGTGTAACACCGACTCCGCTCAATCGAAATGCCGCCACGCCACTCAGATTATTTTTAAGATAAAACCGTTCGAAAAATCCATAAATCTGCCGTAAAATCTCAGAGTAAAATTTATTTAAGCACAATAAAAGATGTTTGAATATACTTTAGATTAATTATATCATATACATTCTCACAACCCGGGATAAAGTCGCGTTTTAAGCCTTGTATAATAATGTTAACACGAAAATTTTCGACTGGAATTTAATTAAAGTAATGGATACTCAGGTAAATCCCGCCCTCAATTAGTGACGATATGTTTCTAAAAGCGGACCAAACATAATAAGTGCCAGAGGCACACGAAATTTTGCGATTTTCACTGCCGTATTTTAAACTGTCGAGGGCCTCAGTAAAAACTATTTGGTTTACGGTTTTATTTTCGGTATTTTAAATTGCCGCTTTTCAATCAAAAAATTTGCGTTTTCTTTAGAAACTCGTCGCCGATGAACGTATTCACAATTCCGTGCGAGTAGAAAAATAAAATAATTGTCATCGTTATCGTGGAACAAATTTGCGTCATAGTAAAAAAAATAACACAAACGTAAAGGCGTTAACGGCCTAAATACCACCTCCCGCAGATGAAAGCAATCGCGCGCAAGTTTCTATCGAGAATGTTTTCATTCAGCGGAAACGTTTTAAAGCGGCGTCGAAAATGTGTGACGACACACAAATATCCGATATTCTTATGAACGCTAATTCCGATATTCGAATGAAGAGATAATCAGATACTTTATTCGAATTGGCCATCCCTGGTATTAACTCAACCTTTGGCACATCATGCTAAATCATCAGAACGCCTCGGGCACCCACAAAACTCCCAATATTCAATTTTATTGGAATAATCAATTACGATACATGCTTTGCAGTACGACAATTGACTCTTCCACTAGCTAAAGCAATGCATATTGAATGAGTAAAGTATCTCCTGGACTGAGCGGGGTGGTAAGCGTTTAAGAAGTCTTTGTCCTCCACAAACAATCAGTCGATCTTATCATCTGTCCTTTTACCATAATAAACATTAAAATCCTTTATAACAATATATTAGTTAACAAAATGGCAGTATACTTTCGTTTTTAAGAAGGTTTTGTCCACTTTTAAATTTCCTCATGAAAATCATCTAAATTGTTTTCTTCCAATGAGCTTAACAGTAATGCATTCGTATCCAAACATAACTCAGACTGTACTTTCAAAAATGTGGGTGTTAAATCTGTGGTGTCTGTCGATTCAGAGACTTTTTTGTCTAACCAATCCATTAAATCTGTTTTGATTGCTAGACCATCATTTAACACATGACTAAGACTGAAAGTCAGCTGCTTGTATCTCCGTCTGAAAGAAGGTATAGACAAGAGAAAATTTGAGTTACAGTACCATGAGTCCATGACACTGGCATTTGTACTTGTAAACTGTGGAAAGGATCACCCACTGTAATATATTTGTCAGTTACCACAGAATAATATTAATAATGAACTAAATGAATTAAATTTTTAGAAAAAATACATTCAATGGATTCATTAAATGCCGAATATATTAGGGTTGGGACAATTTCATCCAAATGAGAACACTTCAAGCCTTTAAATGTGCTTTGGTATCATTTGCCCCATATTGGTACTCAAAGCGTTTATATAACAACATATTTGTAAATCTTCTCAACAATTTACGCAGTAGAACAAAATTAATCAAAACCATTGGTTCCTCTGAAATTATGAGTATGACCCATCCATATGGAATATAACGACCAGACTAGGGAAACGAAACTAAACGAAGATGTCAATGTTGAGACAATCCTGCTACGGTGTGCAATCAACTTGTGATAACTGAATTATTATTTTTCTTCAAATAGAATCCAGTCATTTTATTTTCTGAAATTGCTTCGAAATGATGTTAATTCGAATCGCATCGATTCATAATTCTGAAACTTACATCCCTACAGTCTATATAAAATAAGAAATTAATTTATTTGGTAAACAAAGATATTTTTAAAAGGAAGATCCAACCAACACTTGAGTTTTAATGTATTAACTAATTATTTTCATCTTGCTATTTACCTTGGTCCAGGATAAACCCTTCTTTTTCCCTTTGATTTCTTTTTAGATAACATCTTTCCATTTTTTTCTACGCTTTCATTAGGTCCTCCTTGAACGTCTGTAAAATGTGGGAGTGAAATATTTTCTGCAATACAATTGATCGCACCGCACCTGACATCGAAATTATTCATAGAACCCAAGTGATAGTGTAATTTTTTTAAATACACAACTATAGGGATAAAACAACAACAAGCCTCTGGGAAACATTAATATATGAAGATATAAAACGTAATATTCCAATAAGTACTCCAAGCTTTATCTAATAAAATTGCATTGGTATGGACAGGATGACCATACGATCATCTCCCCATTATTACTAATTCAACAAAATATTTTGTGAATGAAAAATTGACTAAATATGTAATGATTACCTTGATCAACTTTCTGCTCTTCTTCATGATGTTTTATATGTTCCATTATTGGAGATTTAGAAATAAATTCACATATTTTTGCAAAACACATCACTAATATGGCAAGATGGCCATTTCGCTCAAAGAGTGTAAAATCTTTGCACCAACTGCATGATGGTTTCAATATCATTGGTTTTCCATTGCATTGTGCACCTTTTACAAAAATCATGAAAATGTAAAACAGATGTCAAATTATGAATACCATACAAAAATGATTTTCAAAGATTTTTTTTTTAAATTTTGCCACATGTGAAGAGGTTCAATTCAGGTTTTCAACTTATTAAAATTAGGTTTCTATCAGAAAATCTAATCCATCAAAGCTACTAATAGGGAGAATAGTAATTGCAACCATCTCGCAATTATGGTACATGAAAGGTCGATTCAGAACAAAATTCTTGACGATCTGGCACATTGTGCTAAGCGTTAATAAAGAATAGGTTCGTCACCACACCTCTGATCACCCTGCGTATGTTCCGTATCTTGTGGCAGTGTTGGGAATAATTATGTGTACTGTTGAATTTCATTTTGTTTTTTCATATGTTTTGTATTTTTTATATCAAAAGACACTTCAATATTATTGGACTGCATACATTTCACAGAAAAAGTTGAAATTCCACCCAGGTTTTTGATGATTTACACAAAGTGGCCTGAAATCTGGAAATGTAAAAAATTGATATACGGTAATTGGAATGTTTTGCGATGAATCGTAACTCGAAGTGTTTGATTGTCTGGTATGGTACATGAAAAAATACCTCGCCCATGACTGGGCGCATGTTCACTAAACGACGTAAGAACTTCTATTTCAGTATTTGACATGTCACAACCATTTTTGCATATGAAACTACACTAGACCCCAACACACACAAAATATAGAAATAGGACAACTTACATACAAAATGCTGGCATGCAGACTCCGTCGATGACATTGGGTCTTTCACGACATCGCTGCAAACACAACACGTTAGTGATTGTCTGAACCAAGGTAGCAATTTATACAGGTCCGCAAAGGATGCAGGATCATTATACTTACAAGTTAGTAGAGTTTGACAGACTTGTAAGTATAGGTTAGTGCAATTTTCCGTGTCCATATTCAACAGCACCGTACTGCACTAATCTGCTGACCTGCAGACATTGTCCGTCACAGTACCGGGGTCTGACTAAAACCAGGCACTTTTTCAGGCACCATTTCAGGCACTTTGATATTTTTTATTATTACCGTACGTCATTGTAGTTTCCAATTTACCTGACAAGATAATTTGACTTTAAATAAATTTTTGCATCCCTATATTGTAATAAAACAATATTATTTCCAATTTATTAGGGTATAAATAATTTTTCAATAGTAAAATGTGGCAACATTGATTACAAAATATAGAAATCAGGCACTTGTGAAACTTCAGGCCGTTGGTCAAAACCTATTTTACAATGTATCTTATTACTCAAAAGCAGAAAATTAAACATATATACTTTGTATGATTGAATTCACAACATTTCGGTAAAATACAATACCGTACCGTTTGTGACTGATGGAGACGTGTCATATTTCGCGAGTGCCTGATTTTTCATTTTTCTCGGTGACAGTTGCCATATTTTTTCGCAATTATTTTCTTAAATTATTTGCGTCATAACTTACTATTCTTTGCTTTCTAACGCAAATTCATTGTTCCACAGCAATTTGAGCGTTTTTAATAATGCAATGAGCAATACCATTTGGCAACATATGGTCAACCACCGTACTTTCTGGATTTATTTGAAATTGTATATGAATGATAAAATCTGGCAACATCAAGCACAAAATACTAAAACCAGGCACTTGTGAAATTTCAGGCACTTTGTAAAAACCTATTTCCCGATGTTTTCACTTACTTTGAAGCAGAAAAATATACAATCTTTTGTATGATTGAAATGACGTATTTTTTGGTAAAAAACAAAAACGACTGGGGACTTGTGATAAGGGGTCAAATTTCGCAAGTGCCTGATTTTTCATTTTTCTCGATTACAGTTGCCATATATTTTCGCAATACTTTTCATAAATCATTTTCGTCAGAACTTAGTACTTACTATACTTTGCTTTCTCGGTATAATGTTTTTTTAAGACAATCCGATGTATATTGAGTGCTAGCCTATGTGCTCCAAGATGGCGCACAACCTGATACCTCTATCTTGGTACACATACTATGTTCGGGTTGTGCGCCAACTTTGTGCACATCCCACGGGAGCACCATTTTCTGCACCACCTATTCTGATGCTCATTCGCGACATGAAGAAACTATATGCCCGACATATAAAAGTAGGAAAATATACACAAAACCTTTTCATGTTTAATTTCAGAACTGACATTTGAAATTTTCAATTCCTAGATCTATGGTTTTACTTAATTGCAAGATACGTAAATCATATCATGCCAAAATAAAACGAATAGTAAGGATTTTTATTGGATACTCAATATTTCTAATAATTTTCAAACTGAAAGCTTCAATTAGTGTTCACTCATACACTTCCTTTGTGAAGTTGTGTTTTTAATGTTTTATCTCCTGATTAAATTTAAATTCAAATATATATCCCCAATTACTGATGGAGGAAGATCTATAATCGAGAGTTTAATACGGCTTCTGTGACATTAAAAATTATTACTGTTTTACGTTTTTAATATTTGCAACTTTTTGAATAACGCAAAAAAATTCGTTGGCTGACTACTGGCGTGTTGAATATTAAAGGATTTTTAATGTAACATTCGTTTAACGATGCTTTTAAGCCTAACTTTGGGCATATCAGCTACCTGATGTCATTCGCCGAGCGAATTTTGTTTAGGTGACATTGCCATCTCGTATTTACCATCCTGTAGCCATTCTTCTCATTTAGGAACTACGTGTTTTACAGTTAGCTGCTACAGCATGAAATAATGTACAAATAATTCTACGTAAACTATCCATGAAAAGATATTACAGTCAGATCTTCAGGTTGTAAAGAATATTATACAACAGCAAGTGATTGAATATATTTATTGTAGTTGTAGTTCAGTTGATCAAAGCCGTGGTTGAACACCGCTGGTTATCAATATAGATTTTGCACAGGCTTTTATACATTTTGTGAACGGTAAATTATGTTCTATTAGGGGATAATGGGACTTGGATACGTATTATAAAATATTCTATACGACATAAGTCAATTATTTCTGTTATGTAGTTTATATGAAGTCATAGGCCAAATTACATTATTAAAATCGTCGTCAGATAACAATTAAAACTGGAATTTCAAACTAATATTGCCAGAAGGCACTTACTACAGTCGAAGGCTATCGACAGATAGACAGTTCGAGTTAACGAACGCAAGACAAAATTATTATCAGTCAATGCTGGGGTTACAATACACAAACCAGACCAATCTACAAACAATCTATGTGTAGTGATAACTAATCACTATATTTGGATTGTTTGTAGATTGGTCTGGTTTGTGTATTGTAACCCCAGCATTGGCTGACAATAATTTTGTCTTGCGTTCGTTAACTCGAACTGTCTATCTGTCGATAGCCTTCGGCTGTAGTAAGGAGACGTTTGAAAACACCTTATGAGTTTATTGCAATTCCGACAATATATACAGAAATACAATGCACACACAATTTGATCAAATCTAGTCTGATTAACACAAAACACATTGCTGAATATATAGCTTTCTACCAAGTTATTAAAATAGAATAAAGAAACAGATTTTTACATTAACAATAAAAGAATCACGCGTCATTCCGGTTTCTGGTTAGCTTTCGGTTCACTATAATCAAACATTATTAAAAGTGTTTTCTTAAAGTTCATTACTAGCAATTAACTTGTTATTGCCAAGTCACCGTGTTCCTGGTCACGTACTTACTCCAATTATGAGATGTAAAAAGTTGTTCTCAAGTGGATAATTTGGTTTTAACAAGATATTTCGAATTTACGTTATTGGAATATTACTGGAAATAAATTTTATTTTTACATGGGATGGCACCGAAAGGCTATTAAAACTTGAAATTGAATTTTGAGAAATTGATAATTGCTATAACGGGAATAATTAATTCTGTTTTTCATGACTTTCTCACGAATTGGGCCAATTTGGTGTAGTTTTGTAGTTACATAATAACTAATTGGCTACATAACTCCCCCGCAGGAGTTCGGAGATTCTAAGGATGCAATTTGGGTTGAGAAGGCAGAAATGACGTGCTGTTTTCATGAAATTCAACTAAAAATAAAGAATAGTATTTAAGCTGTATAAAGGTAGAGTAAATATAGTTATTCCTGAGATAGTTATATATACATGAGGTATATTATTGGTATAGGTATTGGTGTAAATGCACAAAGTAATTCTTTGTAAAATACATGCTAGAAAGAAATCACGTTAAAGTATAATATGTACAATATGAGCATTGCTCTTCGACTAGTCTGCCAGACTAGGGTATAAGTTCGAATTGGATCTATTATTGGGATTTGGTCTAGGTTGATAGATTTGACCCCTCTGATCTTGTCTATTGTTTTGCACAAGAGGTTGAGATGGTTCAACAGGGTTCACTTGTTCCCTGCGAGCAGCCAAGTATTGCCGACGCCGTTGTATTCTAGGAAGTCCTTCATCTCTCAGTTTTGGGCAAAGTTTCTTGATAAAACAAACGGTCCAAATAGTGTCCCAAATGAGAGATAAATGGAATAAGAGCATATAAATACCTGATAAAATTGACGTCTTAATGAAGGAGAGGGCATGAACAAAAGTGTCTTGCACTTCATGTGAGATAGCATCAGTATCAGTGTCTGATGTGCTATCTGCATTAGGTAGGGTTTGCTCACTTAATATTCGTTCTCGAATAAGGTTGATGTGGCTGATTGATAATAACTTATTATTTATATCATCATAACCCTGGTGTCCCCTTGGTAATTCGTTATATGCTTCAGTGTAATCGATAGGATTAAAATTGTCGACAAAAGGCTTGAATGTGGGCCTCAGAAATTTTACATGCATATCGGCATGATTTAAAGTATAATTGACGTAGTTATAGAACCGACCGTCAATTTGAAACGTAGATATACGACCAGGCGTATAATTTTCAAAAAAATGAATACCCACATAAGCGTTAGAATCAGTGAATATTTGTGCAATGATCGTTTCATTGCTATTATTAATAAAGTGCACTAAAGGTCGGGTAGCATATTTACCCTGTAAAAAGAGGTTCCTAAGAACGGTAACGTTAATACGTTGGCATTCAATTTCGGTCAATATATCACCCACGGTGATAGCTGCTCTGTTCCCACCTAGTAACTGACTTAGGATCTTACCGGGGTATTGTTTAGACAGGAGTTTAATATTAGTGGTTAGAATGCTTTCAATTTAGCATTCCAAATAATTAATATCTGCTGTCAATTTGTTTATTACCTCGGAAACCCTATCAGTGCTTTCTTGAATAAACCCAACTATAGAGGAGAAGATTCTGAAAAATTCTTCACAGTATAATCGTAATTAAAGGCGGGATATTTAAGAGTAAAAAGGGATGAACCATCAAGTGCAATGCAATGTTGCGTTTCGAATAACAAACCATTATTGGTACAAAAAGTATCAGATTTAAAACATCTTTTAACTGACTTGCCACATGAACCCCAATTATGGATTGATTGCCCAAGTTTTGGAAAATCTAAGCGGTAAATCTGATTAGAAGAATTATAATGTAAAATAAGTTCAGTAACAGTTGTTTGGTATTGAGGGCAATCAATTAAAGGGTGGTGTTTCCAAATTAAAGTTTGACTTCCTAACGTGCATGACCCAGTTAATATGTTGCAGGTGGAAATCGAAGGGAAAGCACCTAACATTACCCCATGAAAAGGATCATACGAAATTTGAATACGAGACAAATGAGCATTGATCACTTGTCCGTGTCTAGAGGATGGCCAACTATGAGTAACTTTTGCCTTGTTTTGAGTGGACCAAGTATTTGGGGAAGTGGGTTCTAAATCTCCATTATTATCAGCTTTTAACGTGTGTACCCAATCTTCACAATATAAAGGGGTGGGTGGTTCTATCACGGTAGAAGTCAGTTTACTCGAATGTGCACCAAAGAAAAAATAATGACTAGACCATTTAGTAGCAGACTACTGACACACATATAAAGTAATATTTGTATAGCTAGAAGATAATTCATGTACCGTAACAGAGCATTGCTTAATGGTTTGGGGTGTCTCCTTAGTACAATTATTGGGCTTCTGAATAAAGTACCGCAGTATATATATATATATATTGTTTGTTTTCGGAGGCATGGACTTGGCGGTGGAGGAAGCCGTAACCGACCAGCGGTTACGTGAACCACCCAACGAGGGCGAGGAGTCCAGCAATCCTCTCGCACATAACCATCACTGCATGGGATTCGAACCTGCGAACCCACGCAGAGTAATTAGAGGTGCGGTGGCGAGCGTATTCCTAATTTCCGTTGAGCCACACCGCCGCGCATAGTTCATATCATAGTTAAAAGCAATTATGTATTTCAGCCAAACTTACATAATATTTGAAAAATTGATTTGGATTATTTTGAAAATTTTGAAAAATTACAGTTTTTGATGAGCGATTTCTCAAAAACCTCCAATAAAGCCAGCATAGTGACATATTGGAAGAACAAAGGAAACCTTATAGATTCTATTTCATCATGGCAGAATGGTAGCAGCACAATTAGAACTCGCCATATATAATATCAAACATAGCGTATATTCCGATAATTTCATGAAAAATATATGTAAATTATGGTTAAAAATTGGTTTTGTATTTCAACTAAATCCATTAAATATTACAGCAATTATATTTTTCAATTGCCAATACACTTATATTAAACGTCTAATACATTTAAAACAGGTATCGGATACAAATAAAATAGGTAAAAACATTTTACGTCCCCTCGTGGATTATTTTGGAAATTTCGAAAAATTATTGTTTTGGATAGGCGATTTTTTGAAAGGCCAATAAAAAACGATTTGATTCGCGTTTCGATCTAGTTCCTTTGCCAGGTGCGGCGACAGTGCCTTGGCTATTTGTCTCTGGTTTTCTTCTGCATAAAGGAATCCCATCCCAGAGAATTAAACTTTGTCGAGGTGAGTTGGTTTACAACGACTAATATCAGTCGACACCAAGTAATCGCTATACGAGTAGATGAGTTGTCTGTGTCTCGACATCGTAACTTTGCATAGCGATTGCTTGACTGGTGAGTTGTCTGCGTCTCGAGCGTCGGCATCGTATCTTCGCAGAGGAGGAGGTTTTACATATTTATACCGGGGAAAGGGAAGCCGATAAGACGGCTTAACCATATGGCGAACCACGGCCTCTCGTCCGGTTACCATTCCATGTCGGGTATGGGATTAGTTAGTTATTTGTTTTCGGAAGCATGGACTTGATGGGAGAGGAAGCCGTAACCGACCAGCGGTTACGTGAACCACACTACGGCGGCGAGTAGTCCAGCAATCCCTTCGCACATAACCATCCTGCATGGGGATTCGAACCCACGCAGAGCAATTAGAGGTGCGGTGGCGAGCGTATTCCTAACGCTCCGCCGCGCTGCAGAGCGGATGCTCGATAGGCGATTTGAGACCCCTTCGACTGTAGGATACGAAGCTCACATTCGTGGATATATATTCACGCATTCAAAACATCCAATATCAACAAAATTAAAACGCACACAGTCCTATAACGCCAGCAGTCTAACATCGCGAAGAAAAGCGACTTTTTAGGTTTTCCACTAGGTGTCCAAAACTGTCAAAGGACAACAACAACAAAATAATATTAAAACGATCGTTATGTCCACTACGTGTACAATAATATTGAAACGACCGTTATCTTCACTAACGTGTCCAAAAACGTAGTGCAGCCATCTGAAGAACAAAATGTTGTGACCCCTGCCGCAGGGTAACGGTAACGAATATTACACTGCCACGCCGATACACAGTACGCACCCCTTTACCGCTCTCGCTTTCCTAATCACTCTGCGTGAAGTCTAGGGTTAGTTCGGATACCTATAATTTATACTATCCGGATAACGGATATATCCGGGTATTTCGTATTTTACCTATCCGGTTAACCGGATAGTTAGTTATTGCTAATTTCAGAGAACCGATTTTACAAGATTTTTGCGGCGAATTGACTAAAAACCATCACACAGTTCTATTGTAAATACGTACATATATATGTATTATTTTTCTCGAATAAAAATGATTGTGCATTTTGATGTTGCATGTGTCAATAAATAAAAATTTAAGCTCTGTAATCGTACAGAAGTGCAGCTGAATAATATAGTGAAACATTGTTTTAAATACTGTGTCCTGATTGTCTTCCTCTCGACCGCTAAGTTATTTTCTCATATTCAAATCCTATGTAAAAATTTATATTATTCCTTTTTTTATTGTTAAATTTTTTGAAAGTTTTTTTTCTGTCTAGACCTAGAGCATATTTTCTTTAAATTTTGACTCGTACTAAATTTTGGTGTCGCAGACTCATGATGACCATTTCTTTAAGCTTTTAAGTTCAATTAGTTTAACATACACCTGACTTAGATAGAATAGATTTATTTTCGGCTGGTATATCTATTGATTCGATTGATACAAGGAAATTTGAAAAAACATATATACCAAAGTTAAAAGGAAGCACATAACATTTGGTTGTGTACCCAAAATTTTGAAATGCTACACAGATTACATGGAATCGGAAGTATTGTGAAATAAGTCCTCGAAATTCAAACTAGTTTACTTCATGATGAAATGCGTTCCTTCAATACACGCAACAATTACTAAAAGCCACACCCGACAAAAAAGCAACAAACTCACACCCACCCAACCAATACTTTTCAACTGAATTCGTTTAAGTTAGTCTTGCTTGAACTGTACCTCCAGTTCAAATCTAACTTTATAAAGCGAATAAGCTCTTCTAATAAGCGCAATAATCACATTTGTTCTGCGTGTTTTGTGATGTAATAGTGAAGTTCACTCCAGCATTCTACGGATGGCTAAAATATATATAGGCAGATTAGAGTGGAAAAAGTTGTTATTATATGCTCTGGGAGATGTCAGTCGCCACTCAACGAAAAATATAAAAATCGCTAATCGCGCATATGTATTATTTATACTGCTCTATTATCCGGTTAACCGTCACAATAATATCCGGATATCAGATAGCAAAATAACTCTTGGTTAACCGCTATCCGGATAATCCAACCCTACCGTGAACCCTGAACTGCAGGAATATGTATAAACGCATCAATCCCTGATAAATTAACACGAATACCGAAATAAAATGTTTTATTGATATTGATTTACGGTCTCAGTTACCATTTGAAACCAAAACAATAGAGCTATGCTCAAATATATGGACACGTAGGACCACATGATTTTGATGACGTCATAGCAAAAAATAAAAGTAATAGCCCTCTAGCAGAAAATATAATCTTTACTCATTAAAAAAATTTCAAAGCAATTGGTTCAGTAATCAAAGAGAAAAGCGATTTCTTCAAAACGTGTCAAAGAACAACAACAACATAATATTGAAACGATCGTTATGTCCACAACGTGTCCAATAACTAGGCACACACTGCCCTATGGGCCTATGATACCGGTACCGCCACCGGTACCGTATTAATATTTGCTAAACTTTCAACAGAGATCTGAGTCTGTAAGTCCGAGGATCAACCCAGGCCGACAGATTTTTTTGCTACTAAGATTCCTGCTTAAAGTTACGTTATCGGTTTAACGTAGTAGACTACGGTATATATTTACGGTTTAACCCGCCCGCCCATGCGTGATTATCTTTGTGAGAAGTTGTTTAATAAAATGCTCAGGGCTCTGGTAAAAACAAGCAAAAACTGCCTTTCATGTCGTTTATTCTTTAGTGGAACAACAGTATGTTTTTCTGATGATTCACCCACACAATCATCAACCGCACGTTATCCGCCAGTCAACAGATGTGAAGGTGAGTAATTATCAGATTCACCGAATACCGGTACCTACCGTACCGGTACCTAGGGTTGCAACTATGAAGTCTCAATAAAGGACATAGATTACCGTCATCATTTATTTTGTAACTTGCAGGAAAGAACAATATAAAACAATCAAGTACAAATTACTGAATTATTATATACAAGCTAAAAGATATATTAAAAAATCTTCATGTGTTTTTCATTTAATGTTTATTTAACATTGACCCAATCAAGCTGCATTCTGTGAACAGTTTAGTGCTTTGAATCGTGCCAAATTTTTTTTGAATGAGTGCAACTCCATCAAATAGGTCAAAAATATTCAAATTAAGTTTGTCTTTTAGCTGTTTAGCTTCAAATGCTCTACAATTTTTACAAGTGTCTGATATTTTGGAGAAAGATTATCCAAAAGAGATAATTTTCCAAATGTTGAATTTTCATCAAAGTCAAATCTTTTTTCCAAATACGTTATCGCAGAGTTGAGAAGTAATCTAAAATCTTAGAGACCAAGTATACGTAGAATTTTCAGTTATTGAACTAGAATTCACTCAAATCTTGGAGTGTTGCTTGCTATCTATGAAAAATTAATGTAAAATATTTGAAATTGTTAATAAAATTGGTATTTCTTTGGCTATTTGAGCTGTACCAAAGCGAAATTAAAAAGAATAATTAAAAACTTGCAAATACATAAACGGAGGCGATTTAAGAAGGAAACAATATCAAACACAGTACTATAACTATCGGGCAAAACAACGTTGGAAAAAATAAAGGAAAATTATCATCTTAAAAAGGACAAGGACAAAAATCTCAAATAAAGGATTGTCCTTTGAAATAAAGGACGGTTGGCAACCCTACCGATACCGCTAAATAACACTGTGGTACTAGATGTGTATGAACCACTAATAACATGTAAAACTGTAAAATGAACGATTTTCATAATAATATGATCCTCATTTTCTGAGGTACCGGTATACTTCAGTACTCACAGACTCTGTCGTCACGTGTAACCATGTCCATCCCAAATGCCTTACGGCAGTCTGGGGTTGCCAATTATATTTCAGTTTTACCGCCTGCCTTGCACTAAATATCATGTTGCACGCGATAAAGTACAGTTTTATTATTGTGAAATATAAGAATGTGAACAATGAATATTTGTTTCAAGCGGTAATAAGATATAGACATCTTAGAAGTTGATTTCTCTGAATATTGCAGTAGTGTGAAACTTGCTTTTGGATGTCATTTCTCAATCTTTTGATATCGTTGCTATTTTTCGATTTTACAATGCAACATGTCAAAAAGGTTCAAATTTGTACCTGTTCCTTTTTTATAGAATTGCACCAAAATCTAATTTTTTATTTTTAAGGTTTGGACACTGACAAGACATGGGAGGCTGAAGTTATTAAACATGAAAGAGACATTGACCAACTGAGAAGTAAAATTCCATCCTTATATTACTGTCTGAAACTGATATGGATGGCAGTTGAGGTTGATTGCCATAGATATATTTTAAATACTTTTTTTTTATTTGTAACAAAATGTGGTCATGTTCTATCAAAAATATCCTAAGGATTCTCTGACTGGAAGGAAAATACACAGTAATAATAAGCTGTACCAATTTATTGATGTATATGTGGAATGTACATTATTTTATTCATATTAGGATGTGGTTCATCTTTGAAAATGAATGAAGCAGCATCTGTTTATGTGCTTGAGTTGAAAACAGTCTCAGAAAAATCTCTGCTTCAAAATGGTACCCTGCATAATATCAAGCTTTATTTTTTCAAGAACAAGGCGTAGGCGACTCCGATTTACCAGAGCTTAATCGAGAAGAAAAAGTGAAAAATCTTCCGCATTTGTCATTCAGAGAGAAACCAAAATTTGATCAGGACGAATCTGTATTAGGTATATTCGTTTCATGCTTACCTTCATTGGCAAATGCGATGTTAATTGGATATGTAGAGATTTTATAGGAGTACTAAATACTGTGAGTAGTTATCACCCAAATAATCTGTGATATCTCTGAAGATGTGGCACCTGGCCTCTGGACTGAATATATAAAATATTTAATCAAATGTACAATTATCTATGATATCAAACATTGCTTAAAACAAGGCACTTACATTCTGGAAGAAATTTATTGAAGAAGTTGTGTAACTGAACTGATAAACCAAAGGTATTGTAAGCAATGACTTATTGATGCTGAAACCTTTTTAAAGTATAGCATTATATGTGTAATGCAATTGTATCATTATTGTCACTCACAAAATCGAAAACATTCTAAAAATTAATCACTGTCCTAATAATAATATTCAATAAAATCATTTTATTTCTTTTTAAACTAGATGAAACTTCTGATTTGCTGCTTGGTGAAACCATCCCATCGGAAGGTGCAAGTCAAAGACTAGATTCAATCAATAATATTGATCCAGATTTTGTCAGGTGTGTTACTAGACAATTCACATTTTGCACCATAAATGCTAATTTGCAGAAAGAAATCATAATATTACCTGCCAACAATTTAAGGATTCTGGATAGTTTTGGAATCAGTATTTATTCTTCATATATTTCTATATACAAAGTATTTCATTTGTGTCAACTAGATAGCTGATCAACTTGTTACTGTTTCCAAAAGGCCTATACACTGTGGTCGGTGTTTATGCAATATTTGCATTTAAGTTAACCAGCTTCTCAAACCCTAATAATCAGTCAATCATGCTAACCTTGGCACTTTCTATTTCAGTTCAATGAGATATTATATTATGCGCCAGCGTGACGCATCATGCTAATACACTTACCACCGTTCGTCTGATTACCTTGCCTATGTTCGCAGGCTTGATTCCTGTGGGGAATAATTATGTGCGAAAGGATTGCTGGGCTCCTCCTGCCTTAGGGTGGTTCTTTACTCTCCCCCAGGATGAATTTGTAAATGTTATCATATTTTATAAGATGACAAATTTGATGCTTCATTTCAGAGCTGCTCCAATGTTTTATCCACTCACTCATGCTCTCAGTTTTGGAACTAACTGTTTAGCATGAATAATTAAATCATATTGAATTTTGTAGCAATTGTTGTTTCATTTTACAGAGAGGATGTTCAAGAATTATTGCAAAGAATACATTACAGATGTGCAGCAGACCTAGTTTATAAATCAACGATAACAGAAAGAAAACAAATGCCCACACTTCGATATCTTACTGACAACCAATTAAAAGAAGTATGTAGTCAACAGCTGTTGAACCAGAATTATCATTCGTGTGGAATTTACTATTTTTATGAGCTTGTTGCATATAAGTATAGGTTTATTGAACACATTTCCAGTTCAACTTCCTGATTTTAGATTTCGTTCAAATATTATATTGGTGTATTCTTAGTAATGCTCATTTTTCTAACTTCATTAATTGTAAATAATTATAGCTTTTGTATAGTTTTCTCATATTTCTAAAACTTTCTCTTTGAACTTTTCAGGAAATGGAAAAAATTAGAGAATCGATGAATGAGAAAATTGAAATGCCTCTGGTGATGCTGAAAAGGAAAACTTGTAACAAATATTTATCAAATGATGATATTCTTGACGGATATGAAGATAGCAATTTATCTTTTGTTGATATTTCAGAAAATATTAAAAATAGGGTATGATCCTGTTCTTATGAATTAATCAGTTTCATTCCACATATGCGTAGTATACAGTTTGTCTTTGACGAGCTAAATAATGTTATCATGCTACATACCATTCAAATAATTTCAGGAACGTTTCATTGTTGTTAGAGAAACAAATGGAAAACTCAGAAAAGCGAACTGGGATGAGAGAGACAGATTGATAAATCTTTACTATCCTGTTCTTGGTAGAAAAATTGTACCACCATTATTGTTTAAAACACAGCATTTGGAGGTAGTTTATTTTTATCTTTAGAATTTTTTTTAATTCTGAATCCTTTTTTTTCTGATGCGAGGGGTTGGGTTGTTATTTCCCATTTTAGTGTGTTATGGATCCACTATAATCCACTTTTTTTTATATGATTCAAATAGTAGATATACTGTAGGCTTCATTAATTACAGGTTTGTTCGGTTAGTTTTCGTACCAATCACCATGTTGCAGTCATGTGGCTTCAATCTATTTTATGTAAAAGGTAGATTTATCAATTTATCAAAATCATGAGTTGAATTTATCTCAGTTGTTCTAAAATTTCTTTGACTAAAATGTTTCGACCTTAAATTAATGAACCATTTTTTCCTAATCTAGAATGTATTTGAGCAAAATATTCATGAAAATGCATTGGATCAGTGCGTAATTCAATTTGAACCTGATTCACCTAAATACCTGGAGATTTTTGAAGCAGTTTACAGAAACATTGAGGAAAAAAAGTATTATCATTTATTAAGGTAAAAGTATACTTTTGAACTATGGCATACTGCTAGATATTTTTTAGGTAATTTGTCTTATATGTTTGTGTCTGCTCTCACCATATCATTATTATTCTCTGAAACACAGTAGTACACAGGTATGGTATTGAAACTGCAGTAGGTTATATATTTATGAAGCATAGGCAGTCAATATAAAAAGAATTTGGTGATAACAACTCACCCTTACAAACAAACATTGCTTTTTTAATAATCTAATGTTTCCAATCTAATTTAATGCCAATATTTATAGTCACAAATGCATTAGGGGACTTTTATCTCTTTATCATTTACTGTTTAGAGCTACAAGATATTTTGGAGGCCTTGTGTACTTCCTGACGAAAAACTTTTTGATTGATAGCCTTATTTTAGATATGCTTCAAAATAATATGTAAGTGCACATATTTCTTACATTTCTAATTCATTGTTTTGAGACTCTGTCGTTTGAGATTTGTTCATATATCTAGCATTTTCTTAGTAAATGATTTACTCTTGACAAAAGGGAATCCTTGAATGTATCCTTCAATGGCTTCAAAACTTTTATATCAGTGAAATGGTATAGGCCTATACTTTTTTCTAGTATACCCTTGACAAAAGGGCATACGTATCCTTGAAAACTTTTTATCATTGAAATATTCATTTAAAGTTATACTTAATACTTTAAAATATTTTAAGATTAGTGATTCAGGTTTTAATTTGAACACAAATGTGTTCCTTGCAAATTTGAGCAGTCAACTGTGTGTGTTGGTGTTTTATGGTGACCAAGAGTAACAAATTTGTGCTAACTAACCAGTTTTAAACTACAATTTTATAGTCTCGGCTCAGGTTGTGCTATTAGGTTCCAATATATTGTGGCATTACTGCTTTTTATTCACATTCTACATCTTTTAAAACGATGGAACCATAGCTACCCCTGTAAGTCACTGATTGTGTTAAATGAGGAATAATAGGAAAATTTAGCAAAACTAACACATATATGTTACTAAATTGATCGTTGCACATATGTTTAATTATTACTCTACACCATGGTATGTCTATGTCTACAGGATAGAGGATGCTGTTGATTGTATCAGACTTCTTACCTTATTACATCCAAACTGTAAAACAAAATCCTTCATTGATTTAATGGATTCCCCTGAAGACATAACAATCATTGAGGTATGGTAGTGGAAGTGAAATATATTTATGAAGGTTTCTGTTCTCTTAAGGATGAACATTATATAGGAAACAGTATACAAACCCAATGAGACGTTGGTGGGCATCCAGTACAACTTATAAGATCTCTATAATTGCTAAATATTTTTAAATGTGAGAGAATATTTTAATATTTTCTTAGCTCTCTATTTATACGAAGAATTTGAATACTACTAGAGTATATTTTTCCAGGCGTACATTGAAAATGAATCTGCGGACAAAACAGCTCTTTTACAAGTTCTTCAAAACCTCAAAGACCCAACAGCTGAAAATAAGAGCGAGAATATTCAAGCACATTGCAATCTGTGAAGAAAGATTTACTGAGAGAAAAGAAAATGTTCACTTCATGATCAAGCGTGATGCAATCCTGTGTTAGTTGTTACCATGCTGTTGTTGACGACTAAAACAAATCCGTCCTGTCACAGGGATCTTGGGTAATTAACTATGAATGATATAAGCATTGACTGAGTTCTGTGAAAGATGCAATGTTGCATTTTTTATTTAAATTCTTAATTTTGGTATCAGACTGGTATGTTTATGTCAATTTCATCAAGCCAAGGAAAATAAATTGAGCAAACGGACAAAATTACGAAATTTTGAACATTGCTTCATAAAATGCTTTGTATTATAGTTTCAACTTGGATGAACAAAGTGTAAAATTTAACTAGGTGAGCAGGAGTATATTGTTGCCAGATGATTAAATTACCCACCCATTCATAGAGTAATTCATAGTAATTAATCTTGTCTGATAATCTAGTCTCAAAAAGGATTTATCAGACATTACAAGATTATCTATCTGTGTGGTGTGACATAGTTAATAAAATGCAATTCTTGGTGGGACCTACAAGTGTGTAGTTACATTCAGAAGTTCAATATCGATCATTGGTAGAGGGAGGTTTTATTCTTGCAAACTGTGGAGTGTCTGTTTTGATAAAGAAGTCTGTCCCATGGTTAAGTCTGCTTATCAGGTATATACTTGAAATTGGCGGAATCTTCCCGGCTCAACAGTCAACACTGCCTACCCATCCAATATACAGGGTGTCCAAAAAGTTCCGCCCGATTTCATAGCATTACTAATTTCAAATTTGAATAAATTTTGTTGTATGATAAATGGGGACTACAACATTCAACATCTATAACATCTAATTAGAAACAGGTTGACTATAAATCTTTTTTTAAATTAAAAAAAAATAACATTTGATTATAAAGTCTTTATAATCGGGCGAAACTTTTTGTACACCCTGTATTATACTAGGTGAGGTGGGCATGAGATTTGAGACAGAGTTGTGACCTGCGATGCCAACACAGTTGGTCCCTTATGCTCTTAGCGATATTCATTTTTAGCAAGAATGGAGTCGAATGAAGCAACCCACGGTTCATAGAAGTTGCGATTATAAGTGAACCTGATTTGCATCATTAGCATTCAATTTTCATATTAAATTACAAACCATGTACGAGACTTCTAAATCTGTTTATACCAATAAATTATGTAAAAAGCATAACAAAAATCAATTTTCTCAGTGTATACTTTCGAATCGCTGACTTCATTTTATTGGGGGCTAAGTTTTAAATGGTTTTGCTCGCAAGATTAACAATTGGTATATGTTTCAATCTCTGGTGACGATTACCCCATTCCGTATGTGAGAGATATCCACCTTTTTATTAGAATATTACCAAGATAACATAGATCTGGCGGACCATCAGAGGGTCTACAGCGAATTTCCCAATGGTGGCCCAATTGAGGCGTTAATGAACGGATCCGTCATCGGATTCTGTCCCCAAAACCAGTGGTTCTCAACCCTTTTTTTAGTTTGCGAAACGGTAAAATCTCAAAACTGAAAACTTTTGCTGATCGATGAACCTTCAAAATATCGATAACGGAAAACCTAATTGGACAAATGTGATTACGACAAAGCTATGCAATTCGAGAGCAAAATTTTAATGAGAAATTTGCTGCTTTTTTTTGATAGCATACGTGTTAGACGCGGCTCCAATGAACACGATATCTCTGTTTGGTCTTGGTGGCAGATACCGGTAAGAAGCTTTCTCACATAAGTACGACAAGTTCACGCATCAAGTACACAAAATCAGCAGTGATATAATGGCTTTGTCGCGGAGATCGGGATATTTATTTTTAAGCGATATCCAAGACTGTGACAATGTCATCCAATCGTTTATTTAGAGCTTGAAATGGGCATAGGACCTCGGACCAAGTTTGGTTTACGCATCAATAGGAGGTAAAACTCTTACGGCGGTTCAGAACCACGGCGTCAAATGACACTGGCGGACAACCCGCGACGCTACTCAAGCGTTTCTGTGGACTGATTAACGCCCTATGGCGGATTTAAAGTGGGAGTCCCCAAATCAGGCCCATGGCACTAATACTTTCGCTCCGAAAATATTCGTACCAAGATGACGCACAACCTAACCTGGTACAGGTAAGATACTGTGTTCAGGTTGTGCGCCATCTTGATACGAATACTTCGGGAGCACCCTAATACTGAGCTGTGAAGGCTACGATATAGGAGCGTCGGCATACCCCAATGGTGGCCTATCAAGTGGCTATCGTGAAGCTGACACAATACGGCTTGGCCCATACCACCAAATCCTAAATATATGGTTCCATTACATTTGACTTGAAGACACAAATTGACTTAAGAGTTAAGGTTATCACTGTCAGACTTGAGGGCTGCAGAATGTATCTTTTTGCTTGAGCTTTCTTTGAAATGAGATGGAATAGAAGCCACATATATATATATTGACTTTAATGGATGGCCCACTATAACATATTAGGCTGGGAGATAAAAGTCAAATCCACCAGGACTAAAACATGTATCAAAGAAGTGCTGTGTATCTCCCATGATATGTCAATATCAAATCCGTTTGGAATATAAGATCCCAATGATAATCACCAAATGATGTAATATTATTTTGGAAAACGTTTGAGATTTGAGTACAATAAAAAACAGAAGTAAACATTGCCAATAAAAAGTCTTTCAAGAAACTCGTATATACTTACACTGCTCCTACGCTCTGTTCACCACACACTTTTGATTACCGCATATATACCGTATTCACTTTATTAGTACTTTATGAACATGCAGTTCACAGTCCGTGTCACACAATACAGCATATCAGGGGATCCAAACCGCGGGTCAATTGCGGCCCGCGTAACGATTTAAAAAGGCCCGCCGAACTTTATTGCAATAGTTTAATGGTGAAACGTAAATGAATACCAATACAGTACGTTTAACACTTCAAGTGTTTACCTTCTTGCGCTCTAGATACGGCAAATTGTTACATTATTTTCACACTTTGAGCACGTGTATGTTCGTAATAATTCAATTATAACGGTATTTTTTGTATACGTACCTGCAATAGAATTACATACGGCGGTATTTTATTTATCAACCCTAAATTAAGGAAGCTTAAAGATGTTAAAAAAACAAAAACTAGACACTGAAAACAGACGTTTTTGGATAAATGGCAGTGTTCTTATTTCTTTTTTGAAAAGAATCAAATTTCAGTGATTTGTCTTCCTTGCCAACAAGATATTCCAGTTCTGATGCAATATAACATTGGACGCGATTATGAGACGAAGCATTATCAAATTATGATCAGTTGAAGCGTGAGCGGCGTTTTTCAAAATTTAATTCGTCGTTAAATTCAGACAAAAGTCAAACGAAGATCATAAAACGTCAAATGAAAGTGAATCCACGTTATTGACCAGTTATATTGTAACTAGGGCTGGGCATTTTCGAATGTCTTGTGATTTCAGAATCGAATCGAATAATTTTTTTCGAATCGAATCTCGAATACTTGAAAATATATAATTGTAAGCGACTTTAATATAGTAATTGGTCCTCTCAACAAATGAATTACTGAAGACATAGAATAAATCACTCAGATAGATTACTGAGCGTTCACACAGAAAAACAAACACGTTTTATCAATACCTCACTACAGAAAATAGTCATATGTTAGAATTTAGTTAAAAAAATAGGACTCCAATGAAAAAAAATTTGGGGAATTCACCTCGACCATTAGCGGAAAGATAAAAACAAGATGGCGGCGATTCGAAATTTAGCTCTGAACCGATTCGAATAATTTACTATTCGATTCGAATATTCGATTCGAAATGCCCAGCCCTAATTGTAACGTCGCTAAAAATAATCGCCCGTTTGCTGAAGAGGAATTTTTCCGCGAATGTATTCTGCAAGTTTTGGAAGACATTTCTCCTAATATAAAAAGTAAATTTTCCAGCTATAGTCTAACAACACAATCATGAACCATTACAAATCAAAATTTCAGTCCAGACTGGCAGATATCCCACAATACAACGTACCGAATTGGGGCCACGTTTTAACATCTGATTTCGATCAAATTTTGTTGGTTTTTCGTTATTTTTATTCGGGGGAGTTGGGGCATTTCGTGCAAAAATCCAGGGTCGGCACATTTCGTCGCTACGCCACTGATTAGAGATTCTGTTTCAGATACCCTCTCGCATTTCCTTCAGAATGAATTTATAATGTACCAATTTGTAGTAAATATTAGTACATTCCACATAATACAAATAATTTGAGCTTCATTTCATTTGAAATGGTTGATATTGTTACAAACCCATTATCACACAAATTTTTATACTTCCATAAAGTTAACAGCTGGTGAGTATTTGTGATGGGTTGGTTTTCTTTAACAGAGTGAATATATTGTAGACTACAGTGGCGGCGCGTGGTCATTTTGACAACCGGGGCAAGCTACTGCGGGACCAAGTCACCCCCATCTACGGGGACAGGATGAGCGCTGTAAGTTCTCCCATCATTTTATGAGTATAAAAACCATTCCATCGGTAACAACCAATCGGCAAAAGCGACAATTTTTAACGATAAGAAAGTGTATTTAAAACCGGTCCAAGTCAAGGGATTAATAAATATAGACATAGTTTATTTTGAAACCTCTTTCAAAAGGAAAGGCAATATTTACCCAGATAAAAACAATGACATATCAACAGAAACTTCGGAAAATATTAACATTTCCGAATGTTCGGTATTTTACTGCATTGTCCAGATGCCCCATAGAAGATTGATGATCCCTGGCACGCTCGGATCACGGGCGGTAGCAAAAAGCAGGCAATAAAAACAAAAAAGTGCATTTTTGTCCTCGCTGTAACACAACCATTCGTGTTTTTAATACCAAGTTTCTGCGCAGAATGTAGGCCGACGCTTTCCTCCGTCATGGGATTGTTCCAGTGAACAATTTTTTGGTTGATAAGGCCCAAGACGTTGTACTTCTAATTTTTGTTCCAGCGGCAGCTGCGAAAACGGAGTGCGAAGTAGTGCATCAACCTTATTCATAATGAGGTCTAAGGCTAAGAAATGCGAAGCCGGAAAGAAGTGAGGAAGGAGCTCAAAAGGAATGTGGAAAATCGAAAGCAAATGGACTAAAGGTCGCTAACTGATTCAAATAGCGAAACAAGCGACAAAAACGAAGGCGAGGAAACTATCAACTCTTCAAGCAACCAACGAACGAGAAGGAATGCGTGAACATGTCAACACGTTGTTGTAAGAAACGTCGGCATTGTGTCGTCATAATTTCGGGGCTAGCCCCAATCGGCCCCGATGATTAAGTAAAAGAAACAGAAAACAAACGAGACAAACGCGGCGAGTGGAAGATAAAAGAGAGAATACGATATACAATGAGCAACCGGGGCAAAATCGGCGTCGCCCCGTCGACGTTCGGCGAAGGATTTGCGAGCGAAAAATGAACCATGTCGGGAGAATATGGCTAGTGTAGACAGTCTGTGCAACCGATATTGAGGTATTTTTCGAATATTTTTTATTATACCGAAAAAACAACCGGGGCATTGCCCCGGTTGGCCCTATTGACGCGCCGCCACTGGTAGACTACACAAATGGTGGCCTAATCACTCGACAATTTTTAATAATTCTGTACAAAACATACTATCGTAATATATTGTCACATCGATTGACACGTTTAGCGCCTATTACCTTTCTAAAATAATCATGGGAAGTAGATGGGTCAGCCGAAATAAAACATTTCGTAAAAGAAGAGTGTCAAGTCACATGAGTTTAAGTTTAAAATTTATAGAGGCATATAATATTTTGGCGAAAGCAAAAAATTTTGAAAAGCTTCTGCCATCAAACTGGATTTTAACCACAAACTATTTTTCAAATGAACAGCCATGGCCATGCCTTCACGTTCATTGTACCAAGTCATGACATTTTAATATTTACCACGCATCGCAACAATCTATTTTCCATAATACAAAATTTGTTTTTAATTAAAGATGCGTTGATCAATGCACACACTTGAAATGATAACAAAAAAGAAGTTTTAGTGAAGTTTAGATAATTAAAAATCTGGCGAGCGAGTTCACCAGCACAACCATTGCAACACTTGTCCATTTTGCAAACCAGCACCAATTGTTACTGCTTCAAAATCAATTTGAATACTAAGAGGAAAAAATAAAATCAACTAAAAATATATGTACCTCAATCTGTATTCAATAATATGGGATATGCAGACAAAATATATTTAGTAACATATATATGTGTTGTTTATAGAAAAATGAATTTTGTCTGAAGGAAACATAATTGATAAGAGAGTTGTAAATATGTTCGCGTATTAGCAAAATTATGGTTGAGATCCCAGATAAGTCATAGAGGACACTTGGAAAAAGAATCATAAATAATTACCATCTGTCGATTTCTTTCATATGGGAGTGCTAAAAATTTGAAATTTATTGGCACATTAGTTTCGAGAAAAGGGAAAGATTTTCTAACAACAACAATCATCCCAACATCAGCACTTCTTGTTCTATGTGTTGTGGTTGAACACATGTGGCGCGCAAGCACAGAGATGATCAAATTTCATTGCCATGGTTACCAATCCAATCACCGAGTTGTTGCTGACGCTCTGGATCGAAACTTACCTCGGTCGTCTTTTTGATCGAATCTAAATTAGTATTATTACTATTTAATTAGCGAAAATTATAAAAGAACAGATTTAATTTGGGATCATGTCTCTTCCGTGTCTACCTGGAAACAATTTTAATCTCAGGGTGAGTTTGATTCAGTACTTTGTTGTTAATCCAGTAGCCTAATCTCATACGCTAGAACTGCAGAAAGGCACCAAATCTGGAAAATGTTTTATGGTAATTTCCCCCTTGAATATTGAATCTCGAAATTTGCTAATAAATGTTCATATGACTGCAATTTCTGGAATAAAAAGTAAAGGTCAAAACGGTAAAAACCGATTGCCGTATCGCTTTCAATACCATTTGTATGTGGGATGTTTGGATCAAGTACATTCTTCAATTTTGCATATGAGAACTTGAAATTTCGTTTTCTTGATGAATCGGTTTCCGTTTCACCCTTTCTAACAAAGGTTGGTATTGATTAGATTCAATTTAACTAAGTAAAATAGACAACATTATACGGTTATATATAAAGAATAAAATACAAATAACGATAAATACAAATACTGACTGAAAAAATATTACAATGCAGGGCTTCGGGAACTGAATATCTTTCAGCAATACCCTATACCTATATTTTATCAGAACATATTTTATGACACTTTCACTAAAATACTTTATATCACTAATAAAGTAGTACACAATGCTGCTGATAGTGTCTATTTATTTCACCACATCATTTTTAAACATGGGGAACTTAATTAAGATAGTGTGGTTTATCTCATGATATTGAATTTAAAAAGATTTATAGGCTACCTGAGTTTTAATATTATAAAAATTATAAATATATTATAAAAATGTTGGTTAATTTTGAGCATTTGGATAATGTGATTCTCAGTAGTTTTGTCCCATACAGTGTCAACATTGATTTTTATTGTCAGACATTTTCAATTGGAATATCATTAATCTAATATTGCACCAACAATATTTTGATGACAAATATTTTGAAACAGCTTGGGAAAGAGAGATTTCACAAATCACATCATTTCGATTATAACAATGAAGTAGCAATGTTGACTGGAGAAGAGAAACCAGGGATCGGTGGAGAACCGTTACTTGGTCAGAAGAAAAAACCTAAGAACAGTGTTTTTCCAAGAGGAGAGGGAAGCAATGCACCAACATGGGTGGCATTCGATAGGCAGGTGTGTGGGTTAGTTGGTAATCCTAATAAATGTCAAGACTAAACTGGATTTATGTGCATGATTTAGGTTGTTTTGGACTATGATATTTTATGTTCCTGTTTTGATTTAAAGTAAAGGTCTAGTTACTGAAATATATATTATAGAATCAAGATGAAAAATTCATCTTGCTGGACTCAAAGCTTCATCTTTAATGAATCGGGCACTGTGTTATTGATTATGTTTCGATGAATAAATAAATTATTTGCAAACCACTCTCACCTACTTAATTCACTAGTCCCACTTTATCATTACTTTATTTAATATTATCATTGGTCAAGCAATAATGAATATCGCTTTTCTTTTGATGTCAGGTCTTATGCTTTCAAGCCTATTTCCAAGAGGCTGTGCATGAAAAACGGGAAGAACAGTTTCGTATTCGAAATTGTAAAATCTATTTTTACTTGGAGGATGATTCTATACAAGTGATCGAACCAACGGTAATAATGAACCTATATTATTGTCTATTTTTTCGCAAAGTTGTGTTTTATTTAGATACTTGCATACTGTTCACTCTTTTAAGGAGCTACAATATTAACTCATTAGCTGAATTCTTTTTTCAGGTTAAAAATTCTGGAATTCCTCAAGGAACTTTAATCAGACGCCACAGAATTCCCTTACCAGCTCCAAATGATGATCAGTTTTATACCGTTGAACATTTCAATGTGGGAAATGAGATTGTTCTTTATGGAAGGTGAGTATTAAGCCTTTATTTTAAGTTCAACAAATAATGAATGGAAAAGTATTATCCAGTAAAATAACTTGCAGGATGATACTTTATTAACATTAAAAAATCGCAGTGTATCAAATAATGTATTGGTAATTAATTTATAATTTTTTTGACAGAAAATTCAAGTTGATGGATTGTGATGAATTCACCCGTAATTTCTTGCGTAAACTCGGGGTACGAGTGTCCAACTCGGAAAGAACTCCAGATGATCCATATACATCATTGAGACAGGACGTACGTATGTTTTGACTGATTGTATATGTTTCTTTTTTTAACGAACCATTTTTGTTCATTTTGTAATTTTATAATAGGGAAATCTATCATTTCTGACAGACAATCGATATTATATATTCCACTAAATGGCTGATAGCATTAAGACTCCCAGCTCTAGTGAAATGGGAAATAAAAAATCTTGTATATTCCACCAACCCCCTACCCCCCATTTTGAAAGTATAGTGTGTTATGGATTTTCAAAATTCTAGAGAAAAATATTTTTTAAAAATTAATATGGAGTAGTAATGGAATATGATGGTGTAAAAAATACTATGTTATGTTGCAGATGGAGGAAAGCATGCAACCTCTTCGACCATATGAACGCACTGATACATTGAAACAATTCTTGAGCCATGATAGACATGTTCTGAGGTAAACTGAAATTCAATTGAATTTGTTGGTTTGCATCTACCAGTGATGGTTAATTTATTTTATTTTTTAGATTTTGGTGTTTTTGGGATGACGGTGATTGTATGTTCGGAGATACAAGGGAAATGGTGAGGCTTGACAATATTTTCCTATCAACTCTTGTATTGACAAAAGATAGAAACTTCTTTGCACATCAATAGTTGTTTTTGGGGTACTCCTGTAGTATGCGAACCAAGATGACGGGCACAGGGACGTAGTATGTGTACGTATGAGTGTGAACATGGAATATCCAAGTACTGGTGTATGAATATTATGATTTGAATTACTAATCAATGACTTTGAGCTTGGGAGATTTACATCGAAATCTTACGTGGGATGATTATTTAAAAAAATTCACAATAGTCTTTTGTCTGAACAAATGTCTGAAATATGTTTTCAAATGGTTCCGACTCTTAGCTTATGTGTATACTTATATGAGTACCAAAACAAAGGCATTTGTGTTTATGTGTCTGTGCTACACATAGCTAACCATTGCTTGTCTTTCTTGATCGAGGTTCTCCATTATTTTCTTGCTGATGACACGGTTGAAATTCGCGAAGTCATTCAACCCAACTCAGGACGGGATGCAGTACCTGTATTTGTTAAACGAGCTAGATTACCCAAGGTACGTCAATATCATAACAATTTGAAGTATGAAGAGACAATGTGTAACTCCTCCTGGCAACAAACCACTATTGTAGTCAATGATTTTACCATGATCATATATCATCTTATACCTAGATTTTCAAATTTATGTGAACATCAGTACTTATTCACTTACAATTTTCGATCCATAATTTGGGTACAAGGACCAACTGTATATGTTCTTGCCTAGTCATGATGGTGTGGCTGGTTATTTATTACAATTATATCTAATTTTTCTGGCTGCTTGTGAAAAATCTCATTTTGGGCAAATAGCAAATAATTAACAAATTATCAATTTTATCTTGAAAGAATTGTTTTTTTGACAGAATGCTCCTCTTCCACTGAGACAACCAGGAGAAAAAACTGATCGAACTGTGCTGAATGTTTTTGGACCCATGGGACATGGAGGAAGATATATCCTGGACAGTTTGAAGGTAAAGTTTTGTTATCTTCCACTCTTTCGTCATGTACAAGTTTGTTGCTGTCAATAAAGTGAGATAGATAGCCACTACGCTCGGCCAGTATCATATGATTCCAATTTTAGTCTCCATCTGAATATAGCTGTTGGTTGCATCAGTCTATACTGCGACTTTGACAACAGCTATTACTCAGTTCATTAATTTTGTTCAACTGTGTATGATCAGAGTCCCCTTATTATAGAGCTAATAATATGTGAAGTAAGTGATAACTATATTTATTCCTACTATACAATATTTAGTCTGTCTTTAGTGATTACAACAAATATTTTAACTCATCAGACTGGTGCAGTCTATGAAGATTACTACACTGATGCTGATTTGGTGATCGGAGCTGTTCTCAATGTTTGGGGAAGAAAACTAGTGCTATGTGACAGTGATAATTTCACCAAAGAATTTTACAAATCAAAATATGGAATTGGTGAGTGTTTTAGTCTTTTTGTAATTGTGTGCAAGATTTACCTCTTCTAACATAGCTATTCTAGGTTTGAAGTCTGAGATAAAAAGATGATTGCATCATTGTATTAATCAGCATACTGCATACCATATATATTTTTTCAAATATAAATTATCAAAAGCTATAATATTAATATTTATTACCAGATGATTTCACTCCCATCAAATACAAGGCTGACAGTAAACCGCAAGTACCAAGACCAGTTCCTCCATATAATGGATTTGGATCAGAAGAAGACTCATTGTGCTCATGCATGGGCCTCATACCTAAACCTCCTCAGCTTGACTTTATTAAGTTTATGGAGAGAGACAGGTAGGTTATTTTGTTCCTCAGCTTGACTTTATTAAGTTTATTGAGAGAGACAGGGAGGTCATTTTGTTCTCCGCTATGCATTGCCAGTGATAAAAGGCTAGAATTCTTTTTTATATGTCACCCATTTGCAATGTTGTTTTGCAATGGTTCGAATACTAACATAAAAACCATATATCTGATTCAAAGTATAGTTTTGACTCTGTATATGAAATAATTGAAACTCTGGAAGCAATGCGTGTATTGTGTTATAAATGTTTTGTTTCATGCCTATTATCATTGGTGTACATGAATAGGATAGCTGGATAGGTATTTTCATATTTGTCCTGGAGATAGGGACCGAATATGTCGGACAATTGAGTTTGCTCCCAGTTTCTAACCCAGGTTTGTTATGAGAATAGCTTGGCAGTTAGTCATTTCGTTACATGAACTTGAATTGTGGACAATGCCAAAAGCAACCAGAGATACATTGTGACGAGGAGACGTTTATTAATCCGTTCAACCATATATATTCCCAGCATGATTTTTCAATCTGTGAGGCCATTCAGGCAGGCATTTTTCTGATTAATAGACAATCGTCAGGTCTATTTAGATACGTCAGAGCTTACCAAATTTAGTAATCAGTATTTTATTTTTTCACCATCATGAGAATACACTTAGTACGAACAATACAAAAAAAAAAGTAAAAAGGGCATATCATGGTGAAGGGAGTCGCGAAAAACCAATACTGGTTAACATTAACAAGCAGCGACACCCATAAGAAGGAACATTTAATAGTACTGAGTACTGATTATAAAAAATAATTATGGACTTATATTGGCAGGCATGGATTGGAAAGCAATGTTCTTCGATTTGTCGCTTACATGTCAACAGATAGTCCAATTGATAAAGATCGCAAATTCATTATTTCTTACTTTTTATCTGATGATACTGTTTCTGTGTTTGAACCTCCACAACGAAATTCAGGTATGTTTCATGACTTTAGTTTTTCAACTCAAAATCTGCATGGGAAGGAATCATCGATTAGAAATAAATTCACATTGACAATTTCAACTGGGCTCAGTAATGTCCAAAATGAATATAAACTTTTAATTTCAGAAAAATTGATTACACCTTTGTATGAAACACTTTTGACAAAATTGTCATAAGATAGTCATTTTCAATAACATATTCATAATGCTGTGACATCAAATATCTGTTTAATGCTTCATCACTAGTCACAAATTTAAAAAATATGGTCTTATAGTAAGTTATAATTCCCTTTCTTTCATTTCCTTTCACACCAGGTATCATTGGTGGCAAATTTCTCGAGAGAGGAAGAATTAAGAAACCGAGTCAAGAGATATTTAAGAGTGAAATGTCAGAATATTCACTGCTCAAGATTTCTTTGTTGGAGCAAATGTTACCATCAATGATTTCAACTTCACAATTGTTGATGCTGATGAATATGCATTCAGATATATGGAAAAACACGAGGATGAGGTGACTCATTCTTATTTTGCATTCAGTAGTAGTTTCAAGAGATGAGAAAGTACATAGAGTTTATACATGTGTGAATATCTACTGTCATTTGGTCACCATTTACCATTGTTTTTGTAGGTAGACGAATATTTTAAATTTTGTGACTGGGTTTCAAAACCACCCACCATGTTTTAAACTAAAAAATGTCGCAATGGGACCTAACTGCTGTGTGTGGACACATGGGTGTCTCTTTTGACAAGAACTGCCTGCTTTTCTTTGGTATTATACCCATCCTAACCAATTGTACATTTTCCTAGTTTCCCTGTTGCAAACATGGTCTGTCATCATTGACAATTAAGATCTGCAGCAAAAGATAAGGTGAAAAGACATCAAAGAATTCTTTGTCATTGAATGATCCTGAGGGAGGAGAGACTATCAGATATGAAAGTTTCAGGTTCGCCAAAATGATCTGAATCAATATTTCCCTGTCAGGAAGCTGTTTACTTGTCATATCTATTTAACTTCCAGGTGATAAACAAGCACAACCTGACAGTTTGGAAACAAAATGAAATTGAAATTAGTCTATTATGTTTAAGTTTAATGTATGGAGATAAATTCATTCTGCTGTAATGTAACTATATTTTTAAAAACCTTCTCATGGATAATACACCCTTATTTTAACTATTGATATTAGGTAATGTTTTCTTTTTCTCAGGAAACTTGCTCGCCCAGCTTAAAACATTCTCAGAACATGAGATAATGACAATTGGAAGACGTTATGTGCACACCGTGCACCAGAGGAAGTTGATATGACTCGTTGTATTGGCAGTTGCACAAGAAAAAACTGAAAAAGAAGAACTTCGAGGTATTGGCAGTAATGCTGACATCATTGTACCAATATTCTTAAGTTTGATACAACTTCTGACTATTCTAATTTGGTTATTTATATTTGTTCCCCTTGTTGTGAATGCAGATGACAATTATAATTCACAGTTAATGTATCACATCAGACCTCCACCTACTTTGTAGAAATGATTGTGAATTTCTTCCTCTTGAGGGAAAGTTTTCATACATCAGTTTAAGGTATCAAATATTTTTCAGGATTTTGCTAGATTGCAAGAAAGTCTTACGTATGAAGACATTGAACGCAAGGAACACTTCAATCCATCAACGCTCCGTGTCGTATGTCGAGCATTTAAACTTCCTCTGCCTGAAGATGTATTGCAAGTTCTCATGAAGAAGTAAGTCTGACTTTTCTTTTATTATCCATCCTTGTGTTTGACTAGATATTATTACCCAAAATTTGAATTTTGCTTTGCAAGCTGCCTTGTTCATGCTGATTATCATTTTACTCTCAACCTGCATTATATATTTGTTCTTTAGACTTTCAAGAAATGGAGAAATCGACTATTCTGAATTTGTGACAAAGATTAACTGGAGAGAAAATCCTGTTGCATCAATTTCAGTATCAGCAAGTACCAGTCAGGTATGAGAGTGTTTTGACCTGTACTTCTCTAAGCAATAATTTTATGAAAACAATCATTGCTTTTGTAATGCTTATCTTTTTTCTATATATTTTCATTTTCTGCATAATGTTTTTGTTCGAGCTTGAGTTTTTAACGCAATGGAAAGAGTTATGTTATATTTCAATCTCATTATGCAGTAATTGTAATTTTCCTCCGTTTTATTTTACCCATTGTATTCAATACAAGTTTTATTGTAAACTTACAGTTGGATGCTGCATGGCAGTCAGGAGATATCTCTCAAGTTACTGCAGTTCTCAAAGTCAACTACAAGGAATTGGTTGAAGACGTTTTTGGAAAACAAGATGTTTGAACTTATATTTAGGACTTACTTTTATTTTTATACACTGAACACTACTTATTTCCGTCTGTTTATTTTCATGTAAAAATTCATTTAGATTTTTCAAGTTAGCTGATGTGCATTTTAAAAAAATCAGCCGTTATCCATTTGAAAATTATTTTCTGGTAATACTGGGAAAATATTAGAATGGAATTTGTACATGTAGTTTACTTGGCCACTTTTGAACAGTTAATTTTCAACCAGGAACATGTTTTTATTGTAGAACATCTCCTTGATTTCATTATTGATCTCATTTTGTCAGAATTGCACCTTTATTGTCTGTAAGAAAAATTTTAATGTAAAAAATATAAATATATATATGGATAAAAATACCAGTCCTTTCTTAAGGATACATGTGTGTGAATCATAGGCAATGTTGTTACATTCTCAAACGCCGTGAAGAATAAAAGAAAACGAGTGTACGAGAGAATTTAGGTACAACCTGAGGAATGTACCGTAGTGTGCCTCGCGTTTTCACGTACCCGACCAACGCTTTCACATACGATTCCAATTGAGCACGTGAAACGTAAGAACCACCACCAGACTTCTGGGCCACAGTCTGTGACATCTTGATCTTGAGAGATAGGATAGGACGGCTTATCCATGTGGCGAATCACGGCCTCTCGTCCGGTTACCATTCCATGTCGTGTATGGATTAGTTAGTTACTTGTTTTCCGAAAGCACGGACTTGATGGCGGAGGAAGCCGTAACCGACCAGCGGTTACGTGAACCACCCTACGGCGGCGAAGAGTCCAGCAATCCTCTCGCACAGTAATTAGAGGTGCGGTGGCGAGCGTATTCCTAACGCTTAGCACAAATGAGCAACACCGCCGCGCCTTTCATTTCATTGGGGGATTTTAATAAGTTGCAATTAATTGTCACTTAATACTTAATGCATAAACAGATTGTTTATAGTCTGAGTTTTTCTGAATTATTTTAAATTTGTTATAAATACATATCCTCTAATAAAGCAATGTCCGTAACCAAGCGATTTCGCTGAGAAAAAAATATCAAATGAACAAAATTTCGACGGACCGACAAGAAAGAGGCGCGGACAGGCGCTTGAGAACAACAGCTCAAGTCATTGCTGCGTAGTATTTTTTTAAATGCACATATAATATAATATGTATACGAGCGCAGAGAAGAGTATTTTTGGACATCAAATGTACTTATGGATTGTTTTTTATCGTTCTTGTTCTTCATTTCCTTGTTCTTCTATGAAAAATCACTTTACTCTTTAACTAATGGACCAATTTTGCTTCGAAATTTTCAGTGGTTAAAGATTGTTTTTTTCGCTAGAACTTTTTTTTTTTTTTTATCTCTGTGGACTCTATGTAATTCGTTTTACATCTCGAAATTTCTGTGATGACCTCTTTAAAATTAATAAAAATTATTTGTAGCGGTTCTGCGACCTCTCTCGAGCTACGAGAAAGTCGGAAGTTCCCTGATCGTACCACATAGAAGACTAGGTAACAGAAAGCTACTGTATAAGGCAAGGTAGACTATTGCTCCGTATTGGCCTCGGTGTCCATGTATTTGAGCATCGCTCTCTTTTTTACCTTATACTCGCCGCAAGCTTTGAATATGTTTTAGAGTCTAAATAACTTAAACAATGTAAGAAAAATATTTATTAATTTAAAACAAAAAAGCAATGCATAATGACCAAGCAGCAAGTTTCTACATGGATAAAACTAGAAATATTTAAAATTAATCGCATATAGTGATTTTACTTGCTTAATTTAACATCCTGACTCAAATACAAAGCGGTCAATGCTGTTTATTGTAATAACGTTGCACCTTATAATATTACAGAAAAGAAAGGCACATTGCCATATGAATGTTGGATCGGATACTATTATGCAAGCTGCATTTTGCTTGGCCCCATAACCATCGTAAGATTATCATCTTTGGCACGAGTCTTGCTGCACCGCTGCAATGAACTCTGACGTATCACTGCGTAAATCAGTTTAAGATAATGGTGATCGAATTCTCAGGTTCGGGTTAAATACTGGTTTCGTTTATAATTTTGAATTCACAAGGAAGCAGGAGAATCACATTTAAAAAAACGTGAATGACGAAAAGGCTACAATTAGGAACATTTCGCAACGACAGACATGCTTGTGTACATAGATCCCTAATACCATGAATATCACCAACTAACAAATAGTATACTATTGCATTCACTCTCTGGAAAACGAGCTAAAAGTTTTAGAAACAAAAAGTGATGAAACTATTACAAAAATCCCACGTGCAGTTTTTGCAACAAAATTGAAAGTAAGAAAGATAAGCGATGAGAGTAAATCGGCAGTGTGCAATAATTTACTCCATCTATTTTCAATCTAAATAGGCCATTGTTGTAAACTGCTTGTCTGAGGAAGTCTGACTCTGGTCGGACGAAACGTTACAGAAATACATTTGTGTTAGTGTGCAGCTGGACTCTTTAATTGGATAGAATAGTCATGTTTATTCCAGCTACAGTATCCTTGCAGTAAAAGCATACGGATCCACTAGCATAAAGGCATAGAGAAAAGATAGGAAGTTAGTCTCGCGCAACCCAACTCAAATTAATCTTAAATCAGTTTGAAAAAAATATTACAAAAAACAATCTACTAGAACATTCTGGATTTAAAGAGTAATTTCAAAACTCCATCAATCTTCGTTATAATATTAATCAACGAGAATGAAACTCACGATAACGCATTAGGGCCACGTTATTTGAGTCCTTATAAATGCTAACAAACCTTGTGCATAGACAGGCGTATGCAAGTGCTGACGACACACCATGAATCGTTGAGTTGATCGTACATTTTCGACAGTACCATTTATATAATTGTTACCATGGAGACCTCGCTGAAATGAAAATGAAATAAGCAATTATAAACTTGTCACAAACATATTTAAAAATATACGAACCTCACCATCATGGAAACTCAATAAAGTTGCCGTTTCATATATCGTTTGCTATTTTTTCAACTACCCAACTAAAAAGAATGATAAGATTACATAATTACCCTGCAATATAAAGCCTCCCTTTATGAACTGCAGCAGCTCCATGAAGATGACCTCCATTTGTATTATTCATTTTCTTTCCATCGATTCGGTGCCTTTTAAAACATAATATTGACTCACTCATAATAAGTTCAACCGTCACGACCCATCATACAAAGCGATATCAAAATATTTCCTTCATTTTTAGAGGACAAATACTCTAATTTTGAATGGACAGGCTAAGGAAAGTAATTTCCTATTTCATCATGTTCCTAAAATTTATATATCTCGTTAATGATGCTATGCAAAAAAAAATAACTGCTTTCTTAGGTTTAAAAAATCCGGCTTCAGAAATTGGGTATTTTCAATTTGCTGATTGTTGATGAATCATTATCATGTCTAACAATAGGTTAAATACAAATATACAATACACGTTATTTTTCGAAACGCATAATTTGTTGCTGCGGCATTTTAGACCTACTGTGAGAACAAATATGTATAGTTCTAAATGCCAATTCTAAGTGTAACATCATGACTTGGAGTGTAACAGATATATATATCACCTCGAACTGCTGTGTTTGAATAAAATTTTGCCTCGATGCAAGTGCAGGTATATTACTAGGTGTTTTCTGCATTATAGTTTTTGATACAATAAAGTTTAGTTATATAAGGCGGAACAGGTACTGTACACATTTCAAAACATAGATCTGCCTGTGTACGTAGGACTTTTGCGGTTAGGGATTTGGTGCAGTAAGCTAAGCAGTACTCATGTTATCTTTACTTTCTTATTAGTCGGTTGCTATTTTTAAATGAAAACTGGTGATAAAATTCTATCATATACATTTCGTGATAGTTTAGGGCTAGGCCATTAGTGGATGTTATCTTTCTGATCTCGTCATCTCATGGCTCATTAAAAGCTGATTTTCATGAGTTGTGTTTCCACACTCATTCTCGTGAGTAGGACTGAAAAAATAGGTTTAACAGACCTTGGTCGTGTATCAGTCAAATAGCAACGGATAACACTTAGACGTTCTAACGGAATCGGCGAGTTAGTGGAAGGAGCTGACGCAAACGACCAGGCGGTGTTTCCTTGTTATTTGCAATTCTAAGGAGCTAGAGACAGTGGCGTAGCATCCACCCCCGCAACCCCCGCGGTCGCGGGGGGCCCACAGCGCAAAGGGGCCCAAGCGGTTAGAATTTAGAAATTTAAGCCGCAAAACCAAACGTTGCATTGCAAAACCAGTAATGCACATCTCATAACGTTGATAATAGTTCTGCTCAAATCGTTTTGTTACGTAACAATGCCAGGGAGTCGTCGATTTTCGGCGTCTTGTGGTTTGATCGCACGGGCAAAATTAGGAAGGCTGTCAGAATGATGTCGAAAGCAAAACCTCTAAGTGGCGCACAGAAATGCAGAAGAGAAAGCACGTATGAAAAAATTAAAGTAACTAAGATAAACGGCAAATTTAGGTTACCATTGCCTTTAGCGACATGTTATGCTTTTTGACGAAACAAAAAAACGTTGTTTTAGCTCATGTCCAAGAGTTTTTTAAGGTCATTTCCACAAAATATTTTGCGGGGGGGCCCACGAGAGTCTTGCTACGCCACTGGCTAGAGAACAATGTATTTTCATAAGACATACTTTTGGAGTATTGGCGATACGTTTCAATCGATTTCTATAAACATTTAATTAAGCTATTTATTTTATATATTCTAATTCGGCTAATGATGTAGATCAGAAGTCATCAGAGATCGTCAAAATATTGAAATATGAGTTGGAGATGTACATATTTAATGTTATAAGTTCTTCAAGTTTTCCACTCACCTGTTATAAGCATAAACTCGTCGATGTTGACCCAAAACATAAACTATTCCATTTAATTAGAGACAACTGCTCCCTTTCGGGTTGTGGCAATGATTCGAGGTAAGTCCAAGAATTTAACGTAGGATTGTAACATTGGACTTTTGAAACAATATCGTTTGGAGACGATCCTTTGGCACCCCCTAGTAGAGAAAAATATACGCAAAAGCCACTGATTGTCTGTACAACGTAGTTTGAAATAAGGCTTGAAATATGCATTTTGATTTAAAGAGAGTCACTTACCTATAACATATAAGCACCCGTCGCAAGTGACCGCAGATGGAGAACTCAGAGCCTCAAGCATAGGTTGAACTCTTATCCAAGTGTTGGAATCAGGATTATATCTTTCAACCGAGTCTAATCGTTTTGTGCCATCATGTCCACCGGCAACATATAAATAATTCCCCAAACCAACTGATGTGTGCAAATATCTGGCTTCAAGTAAAGGCGCTACCTTAACGGAATAAATAAATACATATATATATATATATACATATTTAAAAAGTTTGATGAAATAGGAAAAGCCACTGAGTTTCCGAGATAAAGTAGACTTATCTTAAGTAGAATTGAATAGTCAGCTCTTGAATTAAATTTTGGGATCAATTATATTTTGCGAAGTTTCGCTCTAGAAAATGCAAATTAATAGAAATTTAGATACCTGTTGCCAAACATCTAGGCTCGGAACATACATCCATACATCATTGCATGCACTACTGAATGCTCCTCCAGTGACAAATATATTATTATTGACAGTGGCAACGCTGTAAGCAGTCTGAGAAACTAAATAAATTTTAAATATCTTTGAATGTAAACGAAGCTTTCGCCGATAAATGTAGTTATAATCTTGTTTTACTGTAACTTTGCAGGGTTAAATAACAAAACTGCGCAATTTCACTTTAACGCATTCATCATAGCGAGCATACAATACAAGATAATGTGGTACTTTTCGTACAAAGCCAATTCGTGACACCATTTAAAATAGCAACGCAATATTAAAATTCATGTGATGCCAGATTTCAGACAATCTTGATAATCCGATATAATTTGCTTAAAATGAGAAACTTCACATGTTACTACCTTTCAGTGGTGCGAGAGGTTTTCCATATATTTCAGGAAAACTGTAATAGAAACATTCAGGCACCAATAACTTGTCTTTGTTCAAGCCACCAACGACGACGACGATTTCCGTTTTCTGGAAAAGACAAATAATTTCAATTTTGCATAATATAACAGAACTCTGTGCTTTGGAAAATCTGGTAAATTATTCGATATAATCAAGCAATTGCAGCTTTAATTGTGGTTGGAGAATTTGATCTATTCTGGTCACAAAATTATCATGAGCTTGCTTAAACTTGCTTGCTGTGTTTCAAGAATGGTTTATTGTCATGTGTATCCAGATGCGCATACAAAATACTTAATTGGCGGCTTCTATGGATAGCAAATTCATTTTTTAAATACTATCATAGTTAGAAAATATACTAATATGATAAATATCACATTGAACAGAATTTTTACTTCTATGAAATCATCATGAATAAAATAACAAAAAAAAATTTACTATCAGTTACCAGTCCAGGAAAATTTCCAAGATAGTGAGATGAAAATTTTTTCAGCTTGAAAAATATGCTTGTTCATAAAAAATTTTCATTAAGAATAACTTATACCTAAACGACATCTTGAGTTTTGAATTATGAGAAAATTAATTTTGATTGAAACAGCGGTTAAAGAAAGGAGCGGTTGAATAATTCTTGGAATCACTGTCTTTTCTTACTTTTGGGAATGTCAAGTTTACCTGAGCTTTGTAAGAATTTCGCGGTTGAGTCCGAGAACTCTGCATAAGTGCTCGTTGATCTGCAAGTAACTGGAATCGTCTAGCTTCGTCTAACAAAACTTCGCATTCCTGAAATTAAGAAGACGATTTAGTTCTTTGAAATCATCAATACAAAAATTAATACAAGTACAAAAGTGATTGGTTGTCAATATGTCAGAGATGTTACTGTTAATAAGACGGTGCATCTAATCGCGTTGAAAGGTACCAGACGTTTTATAACGTAGGCGTCAAAGTAGTCTGCATTTGCCAGTGATTTGATTTTTTATGACTGACTCGAGTATATCCAATGGAATGAAAATTATAAGGCAAAGTTAACTGAAATAACAAAAAAAATCAATAACAAGATGCGTATTAGTTAATTCCAAATCGTCCACCACAATTTCCGAATATATTGTTTTATAACAAAATCTAAATGTGGTAAGTGAGCCTGTATACCCTTTGAAAGCCTTGATTGTTCGTCACTGTCGTTAATATACAGTATACCAGAGTTGAGCGTCATTTTACGTAATGATGCCACCATAACAAATCAAGATCTTATCTCCATTCGTTTTATAGCGCATGTTTCGCAACCCATGACATTAACTGGTATATCATTGGTTAATGGCTAATATGTTACCAAGCACGACACTATCTGTGTGAATACCAACTGTTAACTCAAGAATTTGTCGCTTGGAAACGTTTAAAATTTGGCGATGATCCTACTAACCTTTACAGAACGAACAAGTCTGTCTTCTTGAACAATGTCCAATAAAAACTGAGGCCTGACTAATGGAAGTCGGACACATTCTAGAACTTTGGCCAAATAATTCTTTCGTTTTATGCGATCATGACACACCCATGACATGGCTGCTGTGTATACCTTTGAAATCAAAAAATGAATTTAGTTCATAGAATCAGGAAACACCCTAGTATAATGTTTCCCGACCCGATTCACAGAAAGATTTGTGGGAATACATAATCTTATTGGGTTTCTCGTGTTCCGTATAACTTATGTACTGATTTTAGTCGAATTGTTTAGCGTCCTTGATTTGAATAGCATCCAATGCATATTTATGAGATTCTTGTGTATCAAATGTGTTCCAGCAGACCGCAGAGAAATTAGTCGCCAAAAGTGGTAGGTTTCTGTCAATATGAGCACTTAATGAATTAATTATACTTAATGAACCGAGGATTTTTATTCATTTTCCTGATTTTATAGGAGCAATGGATTCAATACGTCAGAATACTACATCAAATTCTGCAATTCTAATGATTTTTTTATTAGTGTCACAATAATAAAGTAATTTAATAATAAAGTATACTAACATATTCATAATGACAAAGACAAAATATGGAGTTGGAGATTGGAACAAGGTACTATCGCTCGATTTCGTCAATGAAGCAAACATATAATTTATGCAAAGGTAGGTGAAACTTTCTCAAAACACCACACCTATTTTGGGGAACGTGATTCAGGAAGATATTCATTATTGGTTTAATTTCAATGGAATGCAGTTTTCTGGAAACATAAATGCCATGTTCGCATTTAGCTTGGTTGTAGATGTACAGTAACAAATATTCTCACCGTTTCCTCTAGTTGAACGTTGAGGTCGTCGCTGGAAATATATTTTAGCAGTTTATCGACAGATAGGTCCATGAATTCAGGAGTTTGAAAAACTTCTGCAAAATTTTCCATTGCATACGACCTAGCATGAACTGCTAGCTCAGTACATCCCTGTTTCAAAGATAGAGAAAGTTCATTGTGTTGATCTTTTCTTCTAATTTCTGCTTACCATGGCTTCACTACAAGTACTTGTTGTTGCCTTCCGACAAAAAATTCTGGCACTTTCAATATATTGTATACATAGAAGTCAAAAATATCGGAAAACATTTGGGCAACTTTACATGCCTGATGTACTAAAATATATTTTGAATAATAAGATTGCAAATTTTAAAGCTATGGATGAGCATACATCAATAAGCTTAGCACTTGCTCCATTTAGTTGGGGCAATTGGTTGAACTTCCGACAAATTCCAAGAATTTATTCAACTTACTCAACAAATAGCATGCTATATATAATATGACAGAATAGAATTCGTCATATTACGAAAAATATAGTTCAAAATGGGGTAGAAATACCTGTGCCGAAGCAAACTTTTCAATGATAATACAGTTTGTTGGATTGATTTTTCTCTTTAAAAACGCCATACAGGCGGCACGTACTGAAGTAAACTTAAAATGACTTGCGGCTGCTAGAAGTGGCTGAATGTTTGAATCTGTAGGAACAGGAAATCATGATTTAATCAACTAATCATCATTTATTTGTCAACATAATATAAACACTTCATGAAAAAGGACGTTACAGATAGAAATCAAATGATTGTAACTAACTTCAATTTGGGGACAGGAGTCGCGAATGGACCTCTATAGGTCTTCGAGCAGAGACACATTCAACGCTGATTCAGGTTAGCGAGTATGAAAATTTAGTACATGCAAATGCTTCTATGGCCTTTGTGAGCACTATTATTATTCCCCAAGTAACAGAAAACAAAGCACCAAAACAATTGAATAAATATTTTTATATCAAGAAAAGTCTTGGAAAATAAGAAAATCACCAAATATTTATTAGTAATATTATGTATGTATAAAAAAAATAGCACATATACAACATTCTGATTGTGAGTACATATTTTAAAATTTGCGCAGTAGGTTACACGAAATGCAACACACTGTTCAAGGCGATAAGATATGTAAATAGATTTAAAAACTAAATATAAAAAGTATAGAAAATTATCACACGAGCGGTTTAGGGCCATATCCTGAATTTTTGTATGACAAAAGTATAAGTCAATATCAAGGATTTGGCGAGGGGATTGGTATTCAAAAGCTCTGACTTCATGCACCTTAGATTCGCTTGTTGGTCTCAGGGTTGTTTAGCATGAGCCGGAGAATGTGGGTTTGATGCTTCATTAAGACATGTATGTCGTTACACATTTCGTGGCTAATCGCATCTTTTTAGTCAAGTATTTTGGTCTTGTAAGGATGTATGTGACATTGTTTCGAACTCATAATCTACGAAATGAAAATTCACCAGCATTTACTATATATTTTCTTGCACAATTCGACTCTGAGATTTACAGATGCCAATTCATGTCTATAAATTAGCTATGAATGAGTCATTTATTCATAAACTTGGTACATAGAAAAGAGGATATACCGGTTGTTTGAATTCGGACAATGTAGCTACCTGTTATAGTTATCCTTGATGTGTAAGCAAAGTCCAGTAATTGAACCACTACCTCGTAAGATGCTTCCGTTATATAGTGACGCTGAATTTCGGGCTGAGCTAGATTTAGTATTTCTGAGAAATAGGAACTGATTGCGCAGATTACGACCTAGAAAAAGGAAAAGCGTAGATTTAATTTTTAGGAAAATCGCAACGAGTGTAAAACTTGTATACAGTGCATGTTACAAATTTAAAGTTTTTTTTAAATAAGATAATAAAGAAGCACAATAGAAAGTAAGTGTTTGGTCTTGTATAGCACGATTGGGTTTGATGATTTTGTGAAACCGTGTTGAAACTAACTCATTGGTTTTACTATACAAAAGCGCGACCACAGACCACCCACCTTATTCGAAGTAAATTTCAACAATTCCACAGGTAAATTTTGCAATATTGGCTTGCTTGCGAATGTTTTAGGCAACATATTGTCAACGCAGGAACAATATTTTTGCACAGACGTCATAATCCAGTACTCAACACCAGGGAACATAGGAGCTAGAATATTCAATTTTTATTAGCACCTATATATACTTGTCTGTACTCAGAAGAGTTTCACATGAATGGCGAACAAGAATAAACAGTTTTAAATATTACAACATATGGTAATCTGGGACTTTTAACCCGGTATTTACCATATGTCGACCCTTAGATATAAAATTGAGCCCATCCTGTGAAATATCTCAATGTAACTGCGATAACTTCAATTTAACACTTCTTTCAACACTGTAGTTATTTTTATCGCTATCGTTTGTACAACGCAATCTTCTTGGTTTGGAAGCCATTGCATCCGCGGCTAGGTATTGCGTGAGGGTAAAGAAGTGATAAGTATTCATACTTTCTAGGTTCAATGAAAAATAGTATAATAATGTAAAATATATAACTTGTATTAAAAAATAGAATTTCCGGAGTTAGCATTTTTACACGCAACTTGCCACCCGAGTGGTGTGCATCATCAACCGATAGTTGTCGATTCGATGAAAGCAGTTGAAAAATTAAGAAAAATTCTTCTGTTAAACTGAATTGTTTATTTTATAAAATTCAAAAAAGGGCAATCTTTTCGTAGCGATTTTAAAATATGTTCGAGAATACAAGGCAGACACTTTTTTATTCTTAATTGCCAGAATGACGTATAATTATCGTTTAAGATCTGATACATCATCAAGCGAATGCTTGTACTTGTTCACACCATCACAACATGTTCTGATCTCTTGCGAGAAAGATGATTTCACACCAGCATATTTTTTCAATTCACCTATCATACAATGTTACAGTTGTATATATATCTGTATAAAACTGCTCCTTTGGCTACGAAGTGTGAAAATGTTTGAACTGAATCCATAAACATTCTGACTTGGATTGAACCACTATATTCTTATCAAGCATGGGATAATCATCGTTAGCAATTTGTGATTTCGTTTTATGTACTGCCCCAGTTTAAAATGACAGGATGAAAATTCTAAAGCCTCTAATCCGCAAAACAGATATCGCACGCTCGAATCGGCGTCGGCGGACGGAATACGTACGTGATAGTTTGGTTAATGGCACTTAGCCAAACGGATCCAAAGACAACAGGTTTTGCACGCAATCGAATAGGCATTACTTAGTTTGCTTCAGTGAGAAAGATAACTATAATATTGAATTTTTTTTTCAATGATTGTGCTGGATACATTCTCAACAAGAAATGCGTTTGTACAAGAAAAAGCAAGAATTATTATGAGAACAGAACAACCACTAAAACCTCAAAAAGCGCCCGAAGAAATGTTCGGTAATATAACAAAGAGACAGAGATGAAACTTTGAATATTTTCGATAAATCTATTTCAAAATTATTGCATCAACTACATTGCCGACTAAGAACTCAACTTGAGGTGGAATTGTCTAATTCATTGCAGATAATCATACCATCTCCATTATAAACTTTTCGCAAAAACAGATATATATGGTAAAAAGTAGATTTGGAGATTCTTCTAAGTAGTCAACGTAGTCAACTAACGTATAGTTGTTAGTCGAGCTATCCAGAAAATATTTGCCCGGGTATGAACCAGAGCAATGTGGTGCACTTCGTTAGCACTCCGGTTTTATGACTGAATATATGATGTCAATACTGCCGAATAAATATCTTGGAAAAATTAAACGCAACAAGCAAGAAAGTAGGGTATGCAGTTCATTGCATCTAATACAAAGCCCATATGCACGAGTGAATTTTAGGGTCGGTTTCATCCATCAATACACAACGTGCATTATGCGGTCAATTAGTCTTCGAAAAGATCAATTTTGACCAACATCTCATGAAATTCCAAATACATAACTGCAAAACAGACTAAAATATCGGAGAGTAGTAATGGAGTACTTTAAACAAAATACTCCCCGGTGAAAGTAATTTAGTTTGTAAAAATACAAAATTAAATATGTTTGTTGAACGAAATTTGGTATAAAATTGAAAATAATAAGACATACTTTCAGGAGTCTTGCTGAACACTAACACAAATATATTTTTGTAACGTTTCGTCTGACCAAGGTCAGACTTCTTCAGACATACATAGTTCAACTCTAACAAGAAAAGTACATACATACAGAAATATATTTGTGTTAGTGTGCAGCAAGACTCTTAAGTCACTTAGGATTGTTATCTCTACTCTTGCTACAGCATCCTTGCAATATATGCATACGGATCCACCGGCATAAAAGTATAGAAGAAGGATAAGTAGTTAGTCTCGCAGAAACCAAATAATCAGCGCATACTTTCAGGAGTTTGTTGTTTATCAAATTGGCATGGCGTACACAATTTTGACGCGATGGATAGAGTTATCGGTAAGTTTATGTCAACAAAAATAACTCGGGTTCAACTCTCGATTCATTTTTTATTAAAACCAGTGATGGTTATCTGGTTGATTGCATTTTATACCCCGACAAAATGACGTATTAATTTTTATAGACACCTCGTCAACAAAAAGTTTTTACAAAAGCTTAACAAACCACACCGATTTACAAACCTAATCTATGACCCTTTCATTGTTAATAATGTTATTTGCATGCGGCCATAATGTTTCTCGATAAATTAGCTATAATATATCATTACAAAACGAAAACGGGTTCCTGAGATAGGAAATATAGTCTCACAAATTTCGAGTGCGGCCAATAATTAACAGAGCACTTCGGAATGACGTGGGCATCACGGGTGCTGATATATTAAATTGAATTTACAAATAAAAAAATGAAATCCTTTCACTATTATGAAAGTTATAAATACCCATGAACATTTGTTTGAAAATAGGATGCCAGTTTTCACACGTATATATTGTAATAAACGTCATGGGCCAATGGAATAAGTAAGTTTCAGATTTAAGTCGGTGAACTGTGATCAAAAGTTTATATTTTCAATCAGGCAAAGAAACTGGGTGTTAGGACGACATAACTTTGTGATAAGAGATTATCTTGCGTGATATTCTCTTAGAAGTACGTGCCCTCCATTTTGTTTACAGATGTAAAAAAATTTAAATTCAAGTAAAGCGGATAACATTTAGGACATTAAAAATGTACGTTGCGATTTTAAACGAGTGGGCGTGGAAATATTTAAATTTATTTGCTGAAAATAATTCTTATCTTTCATCAAAGCATATATATTTTATTTTGTGATAATCGTCATTGAACACTTTCGATACATCGATATATTTTCCGTACCTCCAAGTAAAAATGCAAAGCACTGTTATATCACATATATTTAGCGTACATTATTGTCCACATAATTTTGAAAACTGCAGAATCAGGTAGTGCAAACAAATAGGAATCATAAATTTTAACCAATTAATTAAATACCAATTTCATCGTATTAGAAATTGAGCAACATATCAAAACTTCCTCCAAATCGTGAATAAAATTACAGGAACAAGGTCCTGTCCGACGAAGCGATTGGCTGATTTGGGTAATCGGGATACAACTTCCGTAATCTACAACCATTAAATATGCCAGTTCTAAATATAAGTTATCACAAAATTGAGTAAAAATTCATTTTTGTCAATTTGAATTGGTTTGAACTTTTCCGAATAACTTGTTATCAACCTTATGACAATCAAATAGTCTTATTGAGTAAGATACAACCGTTTCTAGTCATGTAGTATATAGAATATAGATAGTAGAGAATTTAACATAGTGTCATTATATATTCAGTATTTTTGTGATGGAATTCATAAGTATCAATTATCTGGTGAATTTGCACAAACGGGTTGAACAAACATCAAGATGGAACATATATGATCTCATACACTTGAAGAAAAAAAATGCAAATATTATGTCCGTGGCGGCCCTTCTCAATCATATAGCATAAATAGTTTTGTATTAAAGTTTCAAATTACATTGAAAATACAATTAATATTTTTAAGAGTAAAGTCTTATTCCCCATTAATCGCATATATTATCCCCGATCACACATTTTGAAGACTGATTTGGATCGTTGACAATTTATGGAGAATTCAGTATCTGTATTGAGCTCAACAGCCTATTTCAATGCTTTGATTGGCATATTTATCCCAATTTATTCCCAAAGTATATATTTTTAGGTCAACATTGCGTGCAAAGGGACCTGGTTTCTGATTCAAATTCAGGCAATTAGCCAACAACAATGATTTAATTACATGAATCAAACCGTTACTTTTCACACCATATGAGAGTAAACATAACCTTCACTTGGAATCAATTCTGGCAATATTTTAGCATTTCACAGTTCATTTTCCATATAATACAAATTTAACCTGAAATATCTCTATGGAATTATGCCAATATATTCCGTTATCAACTTTCTCAGATGTTTTTATAAAAATGTATAAACAACCTTTCAAGAGGTATCAAAATTATAAAATTGAAATAAACACATATTTTGCATGTAAACGTTTCTAATCAAAAGATGAATTTTTATCAAAATTAAACTTTTTCACACCTGGAGTCATTTCTGAAGTTTTGCTTTATTTCTAGTTCAAAAAACAATTTATCGGTTCAATCTTGGGAATATTTCAACAAAATCATGCGGTCAAAACAATAATTTTCAACGAAGAGACTTTAAGTATATAGCGAATCTGAAATTTTGAATAGTTGAGAACAAAACTCACTTCATTTTTTTTACCTTATACGATTAAATGAAATTCAGATTTTGCCATCGGAAATCTTCATGTTGGATATATATAGTCTTATTTACACAACAGTTCGAAGATCAGAAGATCAAATAATATATATGTTACTCCGTGTAGGGGTTGGGTGATGAACCGGCACAAGGCGAGTTGCGTTCTGCAATGAACTATAATGAAAGTGCGAAACTTTGCCGGGCCATCCATATGGCTACGCGTATACAACGCCATCTGTTGAAAATACAGGAAGCATTTATATGGTTCCAATTTCCTGACAAGCGTTTATATTTTCTATGACATTGATAAAATGAACAAGGCAAACAAAAAGTGCCTAAATCATTCTTTTTGACTAATATACAGTTAAAAATTTACTATTAATTCTCTGATTCACATCATCAACACTAAAGTAGTAAGTTGAATTTATTATATTTGGACATTTCATTAATCATTTTTTTCACTTAAAGTCTTTATATATGTCGTAGCAAAACCATAAAACTTGTCCGCTTTTAAAAGAACACCTAATAGCAATAGTAAATATACTCTGAAAAATAAGTTTCGCCATAGTGACATGGATAAATCAAATATAACTCCGTAAACTGATGCCAGTTGAAATTTCCGGTAAGCCACCAATACGACAGTATCATGTTGAGGCTCTGGACGATCAGTAACGATATTTTCAGTTTTTTTGCAACAAGACCTTCAGTAAGTTGTAGCATTAGACTCTCGCGAATGACACGAACCATCATAACAATGATTTAGTTTCATATTGACAACATCCTATAATTCTTGCTTCTTAATATACTTGTATTCACTTGTTTTATAAAGGAAAAACGTGTTTTCACTCCACGCAGTAATTTTAACAAATGTCATCTATTCAGTTCAAACTACTCAATATTCCCCTCAGGTCAAGTTGCAGAGATTGGACTTTTGCCAAACAAGTTTATATAAACGCTTTTTCGATACCGGAGTGAAGAATATTCCCGGCCAAGTATGACATTACATAAATGTCTGTGCGGTTTTCGGTACAATCACACGCGATCATTCTGACAAAAAGACTTACGTAGTTTTAACTATTTCATCAGTTTTACATAAGAATATTTTTATCTTATTGCAGGCTCTGAAGTTTTGATGAGCAGTATACAAGTCAGCGCTGTCAATTGCAATACACTAGCATTCAAAAATAAAAGTTCTTTTGTGATTGTCCTTTTCATAAATAGATAATAGGTATGTGGAAAAGAGAAATGGATATTTTGGAAGCAATATCTTTGGTTGTTACCATCGAGTGATCACAAAACTTATTTATATGAACTTTTGGTATAGTCAATGTTTATATTACCTTATATTGAGAATGTCCATGACATATATTACGCAAGCAACTTATATCAGTAGGCTAACTCGCAAGATCACTATTTACCACGCGGAGTCAACGCATGATTTTTCGAGCTGTTTCCTGCTAAGTTCATGCAAAGTAAATTTGCTGCGGCAATCACTAATTTATGTTGTGCATGTGCCTGTGGTGAATATAAATCTGGTTCATCTTCACATGCAATCTGTTTAACGTTCAATTAATATGTTCTGACGATGTGGGTTCTCTATTTATACCGCCTTAATGATTTGCAACGAGAATATTGATTTGGGGGAGCTAACTGATCCGATGTTTTGAATGCTATTGAAGTATGTGTCCGGTTTTCTGTCATTTTGTCATTTGTTTTTTAAGCCAAATTAATCCCAAAGTTGAATGAGCCATACAAACACGCCCATATACACACAAGCTATTTACAGAAAGACAATACGAAAAATGATGTTTTACAAATTTACATGATCAGTTTACATGAAACTGATACTGATTTATGTATGGCTGAGTATGTAACAGTATCTATACCAGGGGTGTGCAACATTTCTTATCGGTGGGCCATATAACCAACTTCAGACATCTAGCTGGGCCACACAAAAAAATTTGCGGGAAAGGAAAGTGAAGAGAATGCGACTATCACTTATCCATACAGTAAAAAATGCACCGTGCAAAACGGCGAAAGATTTAACGCAGCGACAAGAGCAAAAAAACAGTATGTATTTTTATCTGTCGGATTAGGATTTTATGCTTGACGCGAAAAAATCTGAGTGTTGACAAGGGCCACACTGAGTGTCTTTGCGGGCCGCCTGTTGCACACCCTTGAACAATACGTTCAAACGTATTATGATTAATAGAATCATTTTCATCATGGAAAATTTTAAAATAACGTATACAAATATTCGAATTTGATAGTGGCTCGATAAACTGAGATGATCGAATACACCTGCAATTGATCTCAGTCTATATATTTGCCATCGTGATATGGAAATTAGTTGAAATATTTGATTCAAAGAACAGAAGTTTTGACACACAAACCTTATGGCAAGGTAACTCTTTCCCTTTCACCACCAATATTATGTCAACAAATTTTCTTGATCTTCTCATTTCATTCATCGTATGCAGCATGCTTGAAGAATGAGAACCTTCAAAATGTTCGTAAGTGCTTGGAATTTTGTCGCGTGGACTGACAGGGGACGGGCCGACTGAAGGTGTGCTAGAACTGGACGTAGATCCCCGTGGAGTCTTTCGATAAGTTGGTGAATCATAACAATCGTTGCATTTCTTGTGTATTTCAGTGGGAGATTCGTTCTGTCCAAAATAAGTCGGGTTAATGATCGTGATTCGCGAATATAAAAATATTATAAGTGTGTGGAAAGGCTCCCTCACTAAGAAAACAAAATATTATATTTGGAAATGATAATTATATAATATCGCCCAACAATGTATATCGCTCTTGTGAAAAGGTGGAAGAGGGCGCAGTTTTAATTTCTTCTAAACCCCCTTCCTTCCGTTTAAATAAATACTGGCTGCGCCACTGTATCGAACAATAACTATATGAAACCTGAAAAAGTTATTGTCACCTGTACTAAGAGTTTCTTCAGGGGTGGGGGCGATACACCAGAATTAGCGACCTTCCCATTGGTTGATACTGTCGTGCTATCTACTCCAGTGGGCGATGACGTCATGGGTGTTCCGTATCTTTGATAACTGAAATAATATATACACTTATGTCCAATTAGTATGGAATTGATTTCTATTTTAGAGTTAGAGCTAACATCCGAAAAAAATAAATCCTTCGAGAGTCCAAAATATGTCGGGTATTTGTGATTTCTAACAAGATTCTATAGCTGCCTCTATTAGGAAAAATCATTGCTGGATATAGATATAGGCATTACAATCCAGCCATAAAGATTTTTCGAAAAAAGCATATGATAATCGCCAACTGACTAACCTCGTTAGCCATGTGCGGTTAACAATGCGGTCTATATACGGTTTACGTACCCAGTACCCTATTGTAAGCAAACATGAATATAACAATGCAGTCATAAAACATCTTAAACCAAATATGGCTTTCGGTGCTTGAGGTTTCTGCTCAGATTAAAGTTTGGACGCGATATATGAACATGGCTTACAAGTGACTGCATGGGTAATGATTGAATAGTCCGGCGGGAAACCATCTGTACCTACCGGACTCATCAAAACTGCGAATAAAAAAGAATAGGAAAGCAGAATAAAAACAGAACAAAGTAATACCTTGTCGCGCTTCCCTCGAATAAATCAGTATCAACTGGTTCCGTCTTGATTTGCATCGGAGAACTAGTTGTAGAACATGCCATGCTATGCTTAAATATAATTTCCCGAAATCTAAAAAATAAAATGACAATAAACTAAACGTTGCAACAAAACAAAAACAATTATTTTACGCGATGTTGAAAATTTCGCCCTTAAAACATGGTCAGCGGTTGAAATGCAGAATTGAAATATTAAACATGCAGTACATATAACGCAAACAGGACGATGACAGAAATGATTACCACCTGCAATACACATTCCCGTTTCAGCCGACGTAAGTAGATTGCTATAACTATATAAATATGATAAACTATAGCCTAAAGCACGAAAGATTACAATCTCGTTCCGAGGAATCGTTCGGTTCAATTGTCATAGTTGGTTTGTGCTATAGGCAATAAATTCTATCGAACTAGAATTACGTACTGTGTTAATTTTAATCAATATTCTAATAAATACGATAAGTTATTAACAAACATTTATGGTTTTTTAAAAACCATAATTTGGCATATAATAAACGTTTTTATAAACAGCGCTAATACTGCGTTCAAAGAAATATCATGCCTCACAAACAAAAATAATGATGTATTATACAAAACTAATGTTGGACAAATGTAACAGTCGTAGTTTTCTCTGAGATTTGTGACGAACTTTTCTATGAGCTATAAGTTCTGCAGAGGGTTCGACCATTTTGTCTGGTCCGAGAACTATACTACAACATTCGATTGCGTGAGGAAAGAGTAATACCACTATATACAAATTAAGTAATCGTATGGTAACAGAATATCACTGGATGATGTTTGCCTGTGCAAATGATGTACAATTTTTCACAGTCAGAAGTTAAACAACAAAGCTATATTATTAGGTTTTAGTCGTATATTCTATCCTTTATAAATTTGCTAATATATGAAGCAGTCATTTTTATACAATTTGATTTTGACTCACAAAAATTATATCACAGATTTGAGAGATAAAATCGAAACTGCTGCCTAATTTGCTTTAACATTACTATACAAAACAGTCGGTTACTATCTTATGAGCCCCAGGACAGGGAACAAAATGGCCACCGTAAATTAAAAAAGTGCAACTAAAGTTAATTTGGAAATACTGGTATTGTTCATGGTGTTCAACCTATAGCAACGGCGTCGCTAGTAAGAGGGAACTTTATGGAATACCTATATTTTCTATTTCTTTAAATGTCTTTTAAACTATACAATGACGAACTATTCATCATATTCAAGCACTCATGGTCTTTAACATCCCACAATCTCCTTTTCATTGCGTGCATACTTTCATGACGCCACGGTTGTTTTATGTTTTTGACTCCGCCTTTTTATTCGTCTATTTTTGAGTAAACGTTCATAATATTTACCACTTTTGTCTGCCTCTGTATATTAAAACTTCCATGTTCTGATCGCCGACTGTTGAGAAAATTTCCCCACTATTAATGTGTTTAACGTTATGTGATAAGTCCATTTTCAAAATTGCGGGTTGTCTTATCTAAAACGGAATCACCGACAACTTTGTTAACAAATGAAGCTGTTAACTTTGTAATTCTATCAACAAATCACCAAAAGCTCAAAGCTTCTCACCAGCAATAGAATTCATCTCACTCTGAATTTCGATTTTTTTTAATCAGAGTTGCTTTGTATATCTAAGTACCTGCTTGTCAAGAGCATTTCTAAGTGCAAAGATGTCAATCAAAGGTGTTAGTTAAAATTAGTCAAGTGGCAGCATTCAACAACACGGAACAACAGAAAATCAATAATATAAAAACGTGCAATAAATAACAAAATATAATAGAATTCGTCAACGTGACATCGTCAATCACGTAATGTTACTTTAGTTAAGAAGCCCTTCAGTCATATTGAGTATGGCTTATAATGACAATGATGATATCCTCATGGTGATTGGTAATTTACTCTTTTCTTAAAATTACAACATGCTGACAGAGTGGCGTAATGGAAGGCTTGTTATATCCATCAAAGACACTTCACCTAATTTTGTTGCAGAATAAAATAGATTTTTATAAACACATCGCAGATGCCAAAATTTGTAACGGGAGACAAATGGCCCATGTGTGAGTTGTGCATAAAAAAGTAGTATATAGAAAATAGAAGTACCTGGAGGAAATAAACTCACAATAGTACATGGCAGCAAAATCTTTTGCCCTCAATTGTTTAACACTGAATAATCAAAATCCAATCAAATTCACCAAACAATTACAAATATACCACGGGGAACAACGGGGTCAATGAAGAAACTTGGCTTCAAATATGTATTTGACAAAATTCGTCATTTGAATATATATTAAAGTATATACAGCTGCAATCCGTGTCTAAACTTATGTTTATCTATAGACGTATATATTACTTTCAACACTCGTATAAATTGACTCTCTCAGGTTACAAAATTATTATTATTCCCTAACATGCATTTTATATAACTTGTGTTTCCTCTTATACCTTCTATGACACAGAAATATTTGCAAATGGTATATTGTGTTCCTGCTCATTATACGCTTGCCCATAGATGATACTAAATTTATATATATCCATCAAGTATTCACGAATACAGTATGTTTAGAATATTATCTCCAATGGTATTAAATCCGTTATTATTATATTTCTATACTCACTATACCGTTGAATTCAATAGCTATTCCTTGACTTCGACCAATACTAAAATATTCAATAGCTACCGTCCATAACATGTGTAATTTCCTCTTTCTTAGTTTATAAGAGCGTTAGGGGATTGCATACCAGCTCATGCACAAAAATACGTGAATTGCCGGAAAAGGACTATATGCGAATATGAACTCGGCATCAAATGTCTATCATGTCGTTAAAGTCTGTAAGCCTGATGCCTAATCTATTTTATGATTAAAAGACTTACTGACCCTCACAGCCCAGCTTACTCAATCGGCATCCTGAAACGAGTTTAACTGAATTCATGCCAGATTGCTAATTCGTGGTTAAATGTAGGATTAATGAAATTTAAAGCAATAGATTTTGCATAAATAATAATTTAAAAGCCCATACGGTAATTTGTACTTTTTCATCTATACGTTGGGCAAATTTGAATCAAGTGGAAACAAAAATCATATTTGAGAACGAGTAATTCTAATCACGTAATATTCGTTATTCTACAACCAAGTCAAGTTGGCAATTTCTGTTAAACTTATCATGAACTGTACTTCTATTGCCCATTAATCGTTTTACGGTAGCAACATATACATAGAAATTGTGTATTATGGCTGTACGGCGTTTGCCTGATACTGTATCCAACTCAATACAGCTCCCGTATTTTTATTTTAGTAATTCAGTTATCAATTCTTGTAATTCATTTAAACATACAAGATATTGACAATAATGAAAATATATCGGTTTCAGAATCCAAACAAATTTGAAAGTTGTTCGCAGTATTTTGCTTTCTTCCTATATTCTGAACTCGCAGCTATAGATATGCATTAAAGCTAGATTTTCGTACTAGATTTTTTACACGGAAACCTCAAAATAGACTTGATTTTTACATGTTCAAAGATTGCTGCCAAAATTAGGTCTGCTGAAAATGTCACATTCTTGCGTGAATAATTCTACTCGGGTTCATGCACTTTTCTGCATGACAACGAACTCGCCATAAACTATTCTGGACAATTGCCAGCCATTATTTTGTACTTGATCATGCCATTACACGAATATTGCGTATGGGGAAACACGATTATTTTTTTAATTTAGTACTAAAATAAATATGAAATATTATATAAAGCATGATCACTTCTTACGCACATGTGGCCACATCTGTGACATGGGTCACGCATACAGTATATGCATGAGATTCGTCTATACCGGATAGACGTGGCCAAGAAGCCTAATGGGACGAGAATGACGTGCGTAAGCCAAAACGTGACAACTTTTACATAAATGCAACACATTGTGACTAATATTTCATCATACATCCAATAAACATTCGCATGCTTATTCGAATAAACGGACGCGTTAAACGGACCCGTTCACTCGCAAACGACATACCAAATCAGATAATCCTTTTGACAGAACTACATTGTTATGTGTGGCGTTCTCTGATGAAGTTCAATCAGCCAGGATCAACAAAGTTTTCAGTTTAAATGTTGTATGGCGTGTTTGGCCAGTAGCCAATACTTATTCAACTACAATGCAATACATGTACTCAATTCATAATAAGACATTAATTTAAAAAAAATGAAACATCAAATTCGATATAGTGTTAATTATTATATATAACTTCCGGTCAAGCCAATGTAACATAAACCACTTTGCCCAACGTGACAGATGACAAGTATTTGGAAGTTTGCCAACCTCGACAACAATGTCCTCAACGTAACCCTGCGGCTTTCCCAAATCCGTTATGACCGCGGGAGGCATTTTATTACTATTCCACGAAATAGCATTCAAGGCTGTAGGCTTGAGTGAACTCTTCCGTCTAGACAAATCTATAAATCAATAATGAGCGACCGAATTCCTTCAATTCCGTCGCCAAGTCGAAATTATTGTCGGAAATGCCAAAATTACTAACCCAACTTTGAATCATGTGAAACTTATCTAAACTATATGTAAGTATATATATAATAAGTAATCCCCCTCAAAAAGTATTCCCTAAGCTGAATTTTGTGAGTTGGTCTACCGACGATAGTTTTCGAAAATGCAATTGTGAAAAATATACGAATGAATCACGTTTACTTTCTGCGAGAGACAGAATCCGACGCTGGAAATAAAATACAATGCTTTATTTTCTTGTGAAAAAGCGAACTACAAAAAGAAAAAGAGGCAAGAAAAATTCCTACAACGCAATAAAACAAAATTAGTTTATTGTTATAGCAAAAATACCTTTTTTCTTCTTTATTATTGAAATTATATTGTCGAGCAAGAATGCAATTTCACTGTTTCGCCATATAATTGTTCGTCTTTGATGTATATTGACTATACCAATACAATAATGTGTTCACTCTTCTGTGCAATTTTGCTTCTATACAAAGGACCTCGCTACCTCAAGTTCGCCTCAAAAAATGAAAGGGTTATTAGCCTGTGTATACAATACATAAAATGCATAGAGGCGTAAAAGGCTCTTAATCGCTAGAACCGCACCCAGTACCAAAGTATTAAAAGCCTGTGTCGAGAAACGTGCTGTCGAGGTTGTTGGCATCCAGCCAACGCAGGTCCTCGCTCAAAAACACGGCGCAGTGCGAGATGGATGACGCAGTGTCTGGACCACAAAGAGACGGCTTTGGCACAAGGATCAGAATGTGACTTTCAAAATAAAGCGAGAAGAACGGCGCGCGCACATCCACGATTTTAATCTTCAAACTACGTGAAACGATAATGTCGCTTGCCTCCAACCAAGTTCATCCAAGGTATATTTCAAACTTGATTTTCTGAAATGCGAAACATTGAAACATGTATTGAAAACGAGTTTTGCAGGATTTTCGTATTGTTCATTAAAATATGGGATTACTGTTTCCCAGTATTTCAAGATTGCACGCAATTTTTTCGTCACAGAATGCAAGTCTCAACAGAGCAAAATACATTACATTAGTTGAAGCTAGGTTTTATTCGCGTTAATATTTTCACTACGCCATAATTTTTTCTAATATATGTATATCTCTGAAAATTTTTCAAAGTACATGCAAGACCACATGTTAAAAACAAGAACGAGTAAACGAAAATTACATTACCTCGGGCGCTCTATCCAGGAAGTTAGGAGTTGGGATGGATCACACACTTCGCCATTTTCTAATAAAATATTACTATTGTAGCTGAACCTGGCGCCATTACAACACATTTGAAGTGCATTATATTATCAAAATCATACACAGACACTTGCACTTAGTGAAGCAGTGAATTGAGGCTGAATAATTCATGTGGCAGATTTTAAATATCTCCAGAAGTGGACAGAGGGCTTTAAATAATGACAATCACAACGAGTAACAAGGTTTTCAAATGCATATAAATAAAATATGAATTTTGGTATTTGATTCTGATCAGTACACAAGTGTATTAGGATTTGTTTTGATGATTTTAGTAGCTTTTTATGTTTCTTTACCAATGATTATTCAAACTATGCCAAATTGTGCTTTTGAAACCATGCCATATTCCATTTGGGTTCGTCCGCGAAAGTATGTCTCAAAGAAAGCTAATTAAATTCCATCGGTTGACTAGAGCGTGTCATGGATATTCGTTGGCTTCAAGCAAACTTTTAAGACCGATTGGAATAACTTCAAAGCCTCCATGCAAATATATTAAATAATTTACATAGGACGTGCTAGTGGAATAATTTTACCATGAACCAAGTTAATGGTACACAATCAAGGCCGGATTTGGACGATAAGAAATATAAATTTTTATAAAAAATGCTTGAAATACGAAATTTATTTACATGTAAGATACGTACAGTAATCACACAAGTATTTTGGATGGTAGGATGAATTTTAAAACACTTAAAGAACTCACGGCTGTAATAAAACCTCATGACACAAGAAAATGTTATTAAACCCATTTCGAGTCACGGGGGGCGTGGAGGGGGGTGCATGGGGCTTGACATGGTCCAATTACTACTGGTAAATAGAACATAACTGATGAATAATATTATCATTCTAATTTTCTCTAAATAAACGGGTCTACGATGGAAAACGATCTGAAATAGTAGAGAATATCATTGTTAGATTCGTTGTTTTAAGATAAATTAGTATAGATATTGTCTTATTTAAAAAATAGAGGCATTATTACGGTCAAAATCGTTTACATCATTTAAATTAGCATATTTGTTCAAGTAAATGGAGCAGAGTTTTTCAAATTTTAAAAATTTCATTTGTTCGACCATATTGGGGCTGGAATTCCTGATTAAAAAATTGAACAAACATCAGTTATAAAATGTTAAACCAATTTTATTCTAAAGTGAGCATTTATATTATATAAATGATTGAAAAATGAATAATAGTTTACCAATGTATGTCAAGAACCCTAAGGATTCAGGTCAAAATCACCCAACTCACTAATGCAAATTGCTGTTTACAACGTTTTTGCCATACACAGCAGTTACCCATGCACAATTGTACATTGATACAACCAGATATTGCTTACTTGCTTACGCATGGGCCAGGGATTATGATTTTATGTTGTGTTTTCTTACACACCTATACTATATATACTTTTGGGCAGATGTTGCCCGTTGTGAAATAGTTTAAAAAGTTTTAGTGCTGTGCGTAATATGCATTATAAATTGATTAATTAATGCGAAACTACAATCGATAATTGCCAGAGTGGTGAAGGTTGCCTAAAAGATAGTGCTATTTTACGCATCACTCCTTTAATAGAAACTTTTTTAACAATAAATAAATTATTTTACTTGTTTACCACTATCGATATAAGAGACATATGATATATTTATAAATGCAGAACCCTTGTGCAATTCACCAATAAAAAAATTGTACAGCAAAACACGAGCGCCCCACAGCGGAGATGAGATAATAATTTGATAATATGTAGCAAGAACAAGAATAAACTACTTACGTACAATTGCAGCCCTGCGTTGTTGGAATCCATATGTAACAACACATTGCATAGCATTATATCTATTGTAAGGATGCCAAGTATGACTACTTACAAGTATTCGATTCTTATCCGATTCCTAAATTTTCGATTCCGATTCTCGATTCCGAATCTCGATTCCTCGACATATCTTACCGAGAAAACATACCCACCTAAGCAATACCATATATGAAATCAAACAAGAGAACGATGTTCAAATATATGGACAAAAAGAAGGCCGAAACTAAGTAGTATGGGTATCCAATCTGTCACAGAAGACAAAATCGCACAGAAAAAACGAACCGACAGAGATTTTAAAAGCGATATATATATAGTGAAGTTTGCGGCATATCAGTGAAGCAGTTTATGCATATATGTGACGGAATGGCCACAAAACGTTACACATTGTTTGCAATCGAAGTCTTAACCTCGAGAATCGAGTACAATACATCGGAATCGATTCTAGTCGATTCCGCGAAGAATCGATTATGTAATCGAATCCGGACTCGATTCCGCCATCCCTATCTAAAAGTAACAACGCTTGCTAGGTAAGGAGAAATATTGACATTATACCCTCATCGCGCGACATGATACCGTGTACTCTAATAAACCAGTGGTTTCCAAACGTTTTGTTGGAGCGGAACCCCAATGAAACATTCCACAGGTTCTAGGAAACCTTATACAATAGCTTAATTGTCCTTTATATTCTGATTTTATACTATGCATATTCCATTTTCTACAGGCAAGATTCTATGGAATACAACTTGAAATGGTATTTGTACCAATAACTTTGATATGTTTATGATCATATATATCTACTTCACTGAAACGAAATAAAAAAATAAAAATTCCTTTTGTATGAAACTGAAACATTTTCTAATTGTATGTAATTCATTTTCCCAGGGAAATTTACGAATAGTAATATATTATTAATTTTGACGTGCGCAAGTATTCGTCATAACTACAGCGAGAAGTTAGGTAATGCGATTGAAATCTATTATTTACGTGGTCGAGTATGCGCTCCAAACTCTTTTCTGTCGTAATTTTATTCTTTTTTAAATTATTTATGTTCAAGCGATGTTGATGACGGGAGTGGTGTTGAGACCTGTAAGTAATGCATGCCCATTTCACAAAAAAAGTTTGTGTTGGGTGTAAATTAAAAACTGCAGAAGAGAAGTTTTTGCAGTTGAAGTGAAACAAAAGCCTACAGTGCTGAGATCTCATGAATTCAAATACTTTCAAAAGTAGCGTTTAACTGTACTGATTAGTCTTAGAAGTATTTAATAACAGTGTTTCTGAATGTAAATGCGCGAAAAGTGATATATATATACGTATTGTGTATATTCTGAGCAGAGTAAATAGTTCTTTCATTTTTACATTTTTTGCCGGAAATTTCAGTAAGCACCCTAATTCCCCTTGGAAAATTGGTCGTTGGAGAAATGCCCTTCGTGATATTATTGTTCTGATTAGAAGAAACTAATAAACATGGTTGGTGCCTGAAGTATTGGGTAGTATTGGGGTAAAATGAAGTTGAACTAATGTGAAGCCTTGTAATTGGTTTATTTCTACCGTTTTGAGTCAATTCAATCCTGGATTAGATTTCTTTGAACTGTCTAGGGATTGCATAATTTATCATGTTTCCCAGTGTCGAAGATCTCTGAGATAAGACGAAACTCGACAACAGCAAATCCTAGAGACGATAACGTTGGTAAAACAAGACGCATAACAAATATGTGCAGGAAATATCAAAGACTGAAGACTACGAAATCTATATTGCAATCTGAACTTTTGTTAAAATGAAAAAAAATTTAATTGGTTTGGATTTCGAATATACATACACAATCAAATCACGAAATCATTTCAAAGCAAAACGTTAATTGGACTAAAACGCAGTGGATGGTACTCGTTCAGTCAATAACGCAATTTTAATTAGGTGAAAAATATTTTGGTATCTCACGTTGAGTAATTGCTAATTTCTCCTTATAAATTGTATCGGTACATGTACAAGCCAATGGTAAGGCTTGAATGAATAATTCAAGCTAATTTGCGAACGTAAAAAGCGTAATCTGGGCTATGCTCTGATTGATTAGATTTACACACCAAACGAACATTTGCAATTATGTGCACTTTGAAATGTAATGTGTAATACTGAATGTTTTCATGTACTAGCATTACATAGTTTTGGACATGAGAGAGCCAGAAGAAGACAGAAGATGTAGCAGAATAGAACTACAATTATTAGTTTCGCGGTTTCGAAGCAGATTCAGGACATTGTCAGGTCAAATACGTTTTGAGGACAGTAAAATTGAAATGCACAAGTAATGTATTATGATTAGATAGGCCAGGAAAACACTAGACCACTTGAAACAAAATCTACAATACAATTGAATCTCTACAATATATGAGAAAGTCTTCCCAATGAAAACAAGGAGACCTTTGCTACTTGACTTGGAATGGTAACCGCACTATAGGCTATGATTCGCCATGTAATTGAGCCTTCTTTTCGTTTTTTTTTACCCATTAACCCCTGAAAAACAGGCGTATAACAACCAATGATTTTTCTGAACCGACAAATATCCGACTGATAAAAAGAGGAGGAACTGCAGCTTTATTTCACTCACATATTATTTTAGAGAGTATTTTAACAGTTCCGATGTATTCAGAAACCTTATTCTGAACAACGGGAATTCTCTAGGGTTATAGAACACAGTAACAAAAAGAGCCTGGCATAGCGATACTGTCTACCTATGAAAATACATATTCGTCTTCTCGTTTGCTACGAATATCGATCATATGTATACTTAAGCAAATAGAAAATTTATCTGTTTGCTTATATGAAGCCTCCCTTCAGAATATGATGGTGAAGAAATTGCATTTTGTAAATTCAATACTAATAAGTTATATATATAGTATGTAATTTATTTTGCTCATTTTTTATTCTTTTCTATTTTGTTTTTCAATATCTAGGTTATGCCTAATATGAAAATAAATAGTGAATCCACCGCACTACAAGCTGAACGTTTATATCTTACTCTTAAAATTTTTCCAATGGCATCAACGATTGCTTTGCTTGTGCGCATAGCAATAAAAGTAAGTTGAAAAAATGTTATTTTACAAGAGAGTATACAGAAATCTTTGATTCGAGGTGTATACAGTATTCAGAGAATTATCAGGCCAATGGTTCATACATTGATTGATTAATCATAAACTGTTTTGCAATTGACGCCAAGGCGTATTTTGCATACTGACTTCTTATCTGCGGTACAGGATGAGCATCAACATGTTGGTATTATTTAGTTGGATATACGCCTATACAGGCATTTATTCATTTAAATTCAAATGCTCGTCAATTTATTTATGTATATTTATAGTAAAAACTGTGGTATGAGAGTACTAGCTATTTCCCCATTATTTACCCCAAACGTTATATTTACTGGAAGAGCACGATTTTAACTAGCCTAGTTATTGTACGTTTTTCCTAACATCAATCACAAAACGTTTTATATTGAATGGGTCATCGGGTAATTAATCTACTTAAGACTCAGTTAGGGCTGGTAAAATTTCTTGGGCAAAACAATATACCCATGGATTGATACAAGTTTGTTTGTTAAAATGCAAATCAAACATTTCATACACGCTTATAACTAGAAATGTTTAACGCGCGCATCCGATATTACGAATTCAACCATTTGTTATATTTCAGACAAAGGATTATACAAAAGCAGCAAAAGACAGAAGAAAATCAGATGAATGTTCAACTGGTTTTCGCGAAATGCCAGAACAACAAAACGAATGTGAAATTTGTACATCCGCAGAAACCGATGGCGACACTTGTGCCTTCTGTGGTAAAAGCACTTCGGTATCTTGTGAGATTACAAGCATATCGGATTTTCAGGAACATCGTTTTGAAGAGGTCGCTTTTTCTGCTATATCCAGGGAGCGAGAAAATATTTGGCAAGAAAATCGAAATGACAATAACAGGTGTGAACGAAAGGGTTTTTTCCAAACGTTGTACCAGCGATGTGGTAAGCGTGGTCTAACAGTTAGTCCTAACAATAGAGTCTCACCAGTACTACATTTTACAAACTCATCTGCGGGATATTGTAGCACGGGAGTATATGCAGTTCAACTGAATGACTCAACATCTGCCGGAAAAGCGGAATCTGATCAACATGGAAACAACATTGAGTCAATCAGTCGTCGACCTGTTGTTTGTCGACAATGCCTGGTTACTACTCAAGCCCAATATCCTAAACTGTTTAATGTAATCACCAACACATCGTTAACCAAACTTGCGAATATAACATCTTAAAAGTGTTGGCACCACTTAGCTAACGTTTCTAGACTTGAGGTGAATTAAAGTTTTTTTTGTCACAAGTCACTAAATTTTTCAGGGTAGATTTCTATGTTAGAAATTCGGTCACGTTCCCTATATAATGTAGCAAAAACTTTTTAAATGACTCATTTGGCTAAACTCCTTGTTTAAGTAATGCTATATACTTGACGCCGACGGCCAGTACTGCAGTGTCCAGCATTCCTGACAGACAATGATTTTGCTTTGTCATTTCGAAATATAAAGACTACGGCCCTTCCACATATTTATCATCCTACATCTGACAGAATACTTGCCAAAAGCCTTGTTCGGAATAAAGGTGAAGGATACAACAAAAGATTTATTGATTGATTCCATTCTTCACAAAAAAATCAAAGATTTATTAGTATTAATTAACATTATATATAACAAGTAAGAGTGTATTGTACTATTATGAAATCATTGGATATTGAGCGTTAGTTGTTGTCACATATATATATAAAACATATGGTCTCTGGTTTGTGATTCAACGCAAAATTATAAATAACTTGAGCTCGACTTCGATTCAATTATTGCTTAGAAGTCGCTAGCATTCGACTAACTAGAATGACTCAATAAATTTATTAAATATATATTCCAATTCAACATCTTTATAAATCATTCTGGTATTATTTTAGCAAGGGGGAAATAACTAAAATGAGAAAATTATATTTACTTCAATAATGAAACAAATATGAACATAAAATAACAAACAGAATTTTAAATATTGAATAAAAAATAGATCCTGACTGAATGAAGAGTTATGGTTTCTTTCATAAACTATTAACTGCTTCTCTGTGATTCATTTATTTAAACAGGCTAAAACAAAAGGCTCATTTTCGAATGATTTGAATGGATTCGAAAAGTGGATTTAAAATTATTCAATAACATTGTCGCATTTATTGATACCATATATAATATGATATATTAGAACACAAGTCGTAATAGAATTTAAGAAGATTTAAATTTTTGAAATTAAATTTTTGATTTGTTGTAAGTTTAATATTTTAAAAATAGAATAAATACATATAACCGCGATGAAATATTTTTATTATTTATTCATGGTATGTGGTGAATAGTATAATAATAAATACACCTATTTTATTTATATAATGTATATATCTGACGTGAACAACTCAATACGCTCGACACTTCAGTTTTGAAATTGAGTGATGGTGGAGAGAGAAATTTTTGTGAGAAATATTCTGAAATTTCATTCTTCTTTAGTACTTTACATCAAACAAATTTTACGACTACAGTGAACTAATTTACTGACCAAGATTGTCCACACTTCATATTGTGAGTTCCAAAACAAAGTTGTCGTAAATAATTAATATCTTTCAATGAAGAACTAAAATCAATTTTGGTACCGGTAGCCTATGTAAAATACTGCATCACTTTGTGTTCTGTTCTGTTGGTTATCGAAAAGTTATAAACATTTATTCGTGTTTTACTATTTCATCATTACGTGGTTATATAATATATAAGGTTAAAAACTTAAACTGTATTACATAGAACATCGTTTGATAGAAATCATTATTCACCATTGTCCGTATTGCTGATAAAATAATGGACGTATAAAATACGGCACTGTCATATAAAGATAATTTGAATATATTAACAATATTACGATGAATTAGTTCATTAATTCTATAAATTGTATTGGTTGAAGTAACCATCTCGCACATATTTTCTATGCATAGAACAACATAAAGTGTTTTTGTACATTGTCATAATCAAATATTTGTTAAAAGTAAAAGTTTATCAGCAGAATTGTTTGAATAAAAAGAGTGTCAATTTCTCAGGGCAGTCATAATAGAAAAACATAGTTGGTCGCTATTCATTGACTCATTTATAAATCAAATAGTCACTTGCTGACAGCTTTTCTGATTGATTCTCCGAGGGAGGTCGCAAGAGATTTAGCATGTTGTAGGTCATCACATGCTGCAGCATGGCATTCTACAGCGTGCTCTGTTGAATATGTAGCATGATAGAGCCACGTAAGTAGATGAACTCCTCGATTTTCAGCGTGTTCTGTTCCACAATACACAATTCTTCTAAGTTCAAATGAATCAATAACTTTATTACCATGTATCGGGGTCGATAGGGTTGTACTTTTGGCGACGGGAGCCAGCTCGTCATCATCTATCGTTTGCCTATACTGAGAAGAACCTGACTTGCATCCCATGCATAAAAATATGTCCATGCAAATGCCACTGCGTCTCGGAGACAACTTGCGTTCTGAATTTATTGTTGACTCAAACCCATCATTAATTTCTCCGTATAGACCAACCTCTAATTCGGCTTCTCTTAAATCGATTACGGATTTTTTTTCAGGCTTTTCCGTAATAGAGATTCCGATCGTTGGACTAGATCTTTTCCTGAGTACACTGTTAGTGGTTTTGCCATTTTTCTTTTTTTCTATAGAAAGTCGCTTCCGTATTTTTGTGGCAAATGGTTCTTTTGCACGACGAGCGCTGATGTTTTCGTTGCTTGGGGTCGCCCGTCCTTCTAACACCAATTCATCGTCAAGTATGCGCAAAAGAACGAATGAGCTTTTTTTTCTACCAGAAAGGGATGAAGGTTCTGTAAGTTCCAAAATAGGCCTGGTTAAATCGATATTCGACGTTTCCTCTGGTCTGACTGTAGTTTTACCGAAATATTGCAGCAGCGCATTTCGCGGAAGCTGACTTCTAGACTTCTTTTCCAAGCCAGTTATTGAACAACTACCGAAATTCTGACCACATGCATCGACTACCTCAGCATGAGCTTTCAAGTTGTTGGCGCTTTCATTCAGGTAAAAAACGCTTCTTTTTCTACTTAAGTCTGAAGTAGAGGGATTTATATAAGACGATTCCTCCGGTTCATATGATATTAGTGGTTTTTCGTCTGATGAGTGGCGCTTTTGGCGTCGATCGCTGTGAAGGCCATCTCGTAAAGTTGCCACCTTTGAACTCATGAGGTGATATATTGGCCCGGCCATTGGCCCACTGCGATTCAACAGAGGCGAGTTAGGCCATGCATCGTCATAATCATTCTCGTCTTCTTGACATCGGAGTTTGGATTCATATTGATCGTAAAGCTGAGACAAAGCAGCTGCCATCGACGAAGGTCGTTTGGACTTCCTGTTAGACTCCAAATCCACGTAATCGTCTGTATTGCTTCCTTCGTATTTTTCGTTCACAAAACCATGTAAATTCCGTGAAATTCTTGAACCTGTATTTAAATGGTCTTGACTTTTGGTGACCCCTTAAAATAAAGAAACATAAATATCAATGCATAAATGAAAACATCCCAAGAAACACACAATTGAAGCAAATTGATGATGGAGGTAAGCTAGTATGATAGATTAGCCTAGCAAAAACGGATAAATATTTAGCTCTTTAATGAATACATTAAACTTGCCTGTTGTAGTCTGTTTGCTGTCATTCAACCGTAGGAAATTTGCAGTTGCCGTCGCCAGCTGATACTCGTCATCAAGAAAACTATTAAAATGCTGCGTGAGATCCATGACTGACATCGTGGTATTCTGTGTTTAAAATTATTAAATTGGTTTCAATTTTTTTCTGTATATACCCACAATCCGACTGCCTGAAGATCTGACGTTTAAATTAGAAGCATGAACTATATACTATTAGGACATGTAGGTAACTCGTACCCCACTGAACATTCCGGAAATGCCATACTTAGACTGTACACGGTCCGTGTGTCATTTATTTTGCCATCCTATTTTCAGGAGGCGACCACTCCTAGGAGCCTGCATGGCCTATCCTTCAAACTGAAATTTTATCTACAATAACTGGGAATCATAAGGTTATGTACTCTCCGCATCTTGATTGTGATCACTGTAATTCCCCAGAAAACTATATAATATTACACAAATACAATGCTAAACTACAAAGTAGTTCAATTGGAGTCCTAAAAACTTTAACAAACTATCTTATTACCTCAGTGTTATCAAACGCTTCCATGCTTGTGTCCACGCGATTCAATTCATTACGACTGATAACACGCAATAAATCATTTGCCCCTTATGGCGGCTGCGACAATTGCGCCTCCGTTAAATTAAAATTAGCACCTCTGCTACAGATATCGAGCTTGCTTGCAAATTGGATCTCAGCTTCGGAAAAACAAACCCATTGTAGGTAATTATACATCTTAATATATGAGGTGTTCTGTGCGGTTTCTATTATGATCGCTACACTAAGGTCTATTAAATATAAAATTGCATGATCAAGGTAAATAAAATATTTCAAAGAAAATCTAAGTTTAATGAAAAAGCTGCATATTCAATAAATGATTCAACGTGTTATGTCAACGACGACCAATGTCGTATGTATTATAACGTCATGTCTGATATTCGAAGACAACAAAATGTATTTAATATACCTTAATAGTAGAACTCCGTAGTCAAAACAATACACCAACAAGTAGTACTTAAGTAGAATACCAGCGTGTCTCTTCGGTGATCGAAATAGTCTGTGAAGTGGGATAAAAGCGCGCAATTTAAAAAATAATCGATAAGCCTTCTTTTGTTTTCATTTCGTATTTAACAACTTGTAGGTATTTCGTTTCTCACTGGTGTCGTAAGCCTCTGCGTTTGAAGTTTATAAAATGCGACGACATTTCTGTATAAAGTAAATGTATAAAGTTGAAAACAATTACGAACTGATATTTCAAGAAAAATGTCACAAAAAGAAAAATTTGTCGCGAGAATACGGTATTATCGGACTAGTTTGGTAAGACTCCATTTTGGCACATTAGTACTGAAGAAGAGATTATATTATTGTATAACAGTTCTTTCCGTAAATGATAATGCAATGAATATAACGGAACAAAAGATATTTTGATATTGCTATTAGTCAATTTATCGAACAAATATTATATAAAATGCTGCCTGTGTTTGTGTTTGGCATTGACAATTCACGTTAGTAATAAGGGAACGGAAGGAATGATGTGGAATGGAACTAATGGGTAGAGCAGTGTCGAATTTGACTTAAACGATCAAGCACTGACGTTTATCGTACACTATTTAGGGCGAAAAGACGAAGGTATTTAAAATGATAAGAAGCTCCGAAATGAGCTCAAAGTTGGAAAAACAATCTGAATCAAATGAAGTTGAATCCTATTTTATCGGTGTCGGTGTTTGAGTACTTACTTTACCAGGGTGGTGAATGAATGTTTTTCTTAGTGAATGTCAAATCATATCTATAATTTCTTTCATGACAGAAAGAACGAATACCGGAAGAAGACAGTCTACAATATTCCATCTTTGTTACGATCTTCTGTTGTCCACCTCTCGGACTTTGGGCAATTTACAACCAGTGGAAGGTACAAGTACTTCAATTCTAGAATTGGAATTTCAAAGCTTCATAATAAGCTATAAAATCTTAGTAATAAACTGAACTCTTGACGCATCATGGTATACAGCTTAAGTTTAATGTAGTGTTTCTTCTCATTACTGTCATGTATTAAGTATTTCACTAAGTATTATGTTTCTAGCGTTTTAATTTGTTTGAGACTTCATTTTTAGGCCCGAGAGGATACCAAGAAATCTAATTATGATGCAGCTAAAGCCAAAGTGGAGCTGGCCAAGACGCTCAATGAATTTGGAGTAGTTGTTGGATTTTTAATATGGATAATTATCTGTATTGTCATTGCTGCTCGATTTGCATTTCTTCAAAAGGTGGTTGCTCATTTTGCTTCTATGTTTGCCAACCATGCAGATGTTTTTCGAATCTACGAAGACTATCCAAAATCAAATGGGACCAAATAGATTCTATATTTACTTCTGATCGAAATTTTGCAGTACTTTTGGGATTCTAACAATGAAAAGCTATTATTTTTTCAATTTTGGTCAATTGATTTATAATTTTCGTCCTCGGCGCTTGAATGTCCCGCTTGAATACTATTTACTTGTTACGCAGCTTGACTGTGAAGGAGCATGTTATTCATTTACCAGATCCCGATTAGCAAATTTTGAGCCTAGCTTGTTACTCTATTCCTAAATGCTTCCTTTCGTTAAAAATTAACAAAATTTAATTTATTGTTCCCATTTCGGAAATTTAAAATGACTATAACTTTTTACCAACAATCATATAAACTTGGTATGGCCAAAATACCTATTTTATTTTTGTTCAAAACTTGCAATAACAAGAACGAAAATTTGCCGATTGGGTGATTTCATACGTAGATGTTAACAATATTCAACATTCTATGTGACTATTCTTACGGACTTTTAAGATTGTAGTCGTAGCGTGATTTTTTATCTTATCATTTATACATATACACGTAGTAGTTTATTTTTTTCATCAATAATCTGGCAATAAAGTAAAGAGTGGCAACATAAAAAATAAACAGAAACAATCGTGGCAGTTGAACTGGGCAGTTATAAATTAGTAAAATTTAAAGACGTATGCTTTCAATTCCAGATCCGTATACTAGTATCAGTTGCTTCGCGTAATCTCGTTTCGTTAAAACATCTCTATATTCCTCAGCCCTGTCATATAGTGTATGCTCTGTTTTAAACTGCAAAGGCGGACTGATTTCATTCAAAAAGAAAAATAATGTAGCAATTTAAATATTGTCGAAAAAAGTAAAAATTTATTAAATTGACAAAGTATTAATCTTCAAGAAATCGTGTGTAAAGTAACAACGTTATATTCAAGATCTGTCCATGCACAACCGTTGAAGTCAATTCGGATGATGTTAATTTCAAATTGGAGATTTATAGTCAAAATTTAATTGGGAGTTTTTACCCAAATGGGCAGATTTATGAAAAAATTGGCATGACTATACAGTTTGCGATTAAAAATTTCATTTTTGTTTACACAAAATTTTGGGATATTGTGACGTCACAATATCTATAAGAACCTCGGTGATAAAATAAACACAAAGCATTGAATGGAAATTCATTTTGAGTGATTCTTTCGAAGACATCGGTCGTTCACACAAATTTCTTATCGGAGAAGACAAAAAATCAGAACATCATGAATCAAGTCGGTTATGTTCAACCAACAATGGTGCAACCACAGCAACCTGCGGTGATGCAAATGGTTAGTATATGCTTAAATTGGTGATCTAAGCAAATTCATACGGAGATATGAGTCTTTCAGTGCAATTTAATCAGTTCATAAATGGAATGACCATGATTTATTGTGACGTCACACGTGATATCAATTATGTCGAAATGATGGCTGTTTCTGGTGACCAACGGCAAAATAAAATACGGGTACTGTAGCAGGAGCAAGGGAACGGCAGAATGTATGATGAAAATATTGGATTAAAATAATCAAACAACCATTTTGAATTTTAATGAGAAAGTGTGATTACATATCGGGCAAGATTAATTCAGTTTGATAGTTTTTTTGTATAACCTGTGTTTGTTCCAGAGACGACTTACTGGTCGCCAAACAAAAGCGACAAAACTAGCTCACGTCAAATAAATTATCCGACAGTTGAAAACGAACCCATAGCTATACCTATAAAAATATTGATTGATTCTATGTTTTCAATACGGATCCAGTTAATAATTTTATTAAAAAATCGGGATTCCAAGAAGGAGTTTTTACTTTCATCAAACATTTTCCGATTTTTTCCTGTTATTGGTATTGATTACAGGGCATCAATCAAATACCACCTACTCTATACACAACTTTTGGTTGTATAATTTTAGAGCATCGTCGAAGTAGGGCTTCAACGAACAGCACCTCGCATTCGACCTCTACGTTTATTCTAAGACTTTGATCAGGTTTGATTGTGATCCGATATTTGCATTGCTCATATCGCAGCTAATCGGTTCGGCGCTGTGCTAAATTCAGATACAGATTGGATTGAGACAATCAGTCGGAAAGAGGCAACCGTAAGCTAGCCAACCGTAGTTGGTTTACGAATCCTTTTTTTTAATCACTTTTCAAATTTCACGCGAAATGTAATAATCAAACTAGTTTTTACTGGCTACTTTTTAGCAGTATGCAAATACCACATTTCACTTTACAAACTTGCAATTTAAAGTGCTGCATAGTTCAGTCATTTCCCTACCCCTACTAGGGAGTGGGCACTCCCTTTGAACTTTGCGTGACCAACACTTTAATTTCCTAAATTGAATATGGTTGTATTTGAATATCCAGAAAGTGGCGCATATATCATATCATTGCAGATGCTTAGTCAAATACGTAACACATTTTACGAATAGTTTTATAGCTAATAGCAAAATATTTGCCACCCCCTGAATTTGAAAACACCCCTAAAATTTAGGCTGGGGAGTATACTGCTGCACGCATATAAAAAAGAACGTCAACCCGACCGTATTTCAGGAGGACGCAGGAAAGTATGAAATTATCAGTCACACATTAGTTCAGGTTGCCTTATCAACACTCGACTACTTTGGAAATAAAATTAGCTGCCCCTTCAATGATCACAGTCTTGGCGATAGAAATGGCTGAGAATAACTTTTGAACCTGTGATCAGGGTTGCCATATTGAATTTTTTAACGCCAAATTTGCGATTTTTGGCTTTTTTCAAACACGTTTGGCGTCAGAATTTCCGTTTGGATTTTTGGCTTTATTTTTTGGCTTTTTGGCTTTTTAAGTCTATTCTAGTCTCTATTATAAAATCCTATGAAATACAATATTTAGTGTGTAACAATAGCATGTCACCGGTTAGCTACTTAACATTTGGATTTATCCGAGCATCGATTTCCTTGTTTATTACCTTAACGCTTAACCATACCCAATAAGAAATAATTGCAGTTTCTGCAGCCGCTGAGACAGATGTTCAAGCAGGGTTGTAAACATTGCCTTCTTTTTATTGTTTTGGGGGTTATTTGTCAGTTTTTAGTTCGGTTTCCAATAAATTGTTGTATACCTTAATTTTTATTATGCCTGATGTGGAGCTTTAGATTAATTGCAGTAATCAAAATTTAGTCTCACGAATGATATGATTAACTACGCTAAAATTACTGAATTAGCTATCAGTAGTCCACCTGTAAGCAACACGTGGTTAGATAATTTTTTAATAAAATTGATGGTTTCGAAATTTTAAAAATAAAATTTTTTTTTAATAGTAAAGTACGATATAGGAGGAATGTTTTAAGGTAAATCACAAATTTAAGTAAAATCATGTAGGTATATCACATAGTATACTGAAGTGGCACACTGTATTGTATATATTGAATGGTAAAATAATGCTGTTCGCTTGAAATTTTTTTATTTATTTTTATTTTTTTTATCTGTTTCATATAGATGTCACCTTGTCTGTATTGTACCAAATGTAGATTCTGGTGCTGCCATTCAATTAATCCTTTTTACTTTTAAACCCTTCATCCCGCTGAAGTGGAAATCGCCATGATAGCAATCGAAAAAACAACTTTCAATGGGAAGAGACATTTGTGTGGCTCACTAAATGAACTGATGGCTCTACATCAGCATCAGTATTGTGCCAAGGGCTTAAAATCTGACAAATCATGGGGCTTTTGTATTTAGTAAAATTGTTGGCTTTTTTATGTCTTGATCTGTTTTTTTTATTGCCGGGATCTGGCAACCCTGCCTGTAATAATCGATCACTTGCTATACCCACAGTAATCCTGTTGTCGAATTTGCCCCTCTCCTGAATTATTCAAAAACTGTTCAATAGATTTTTATGTCGATAGAGCTTCCAAATCATAAGAGCTTACTTTCAAGTGCGGGATATTTCTTCTTCCTCACTCCACCCTAGCTAGTCTGTGACTGGTCAAACGTTTGGGAAGAATTCAGTTCGGAGAGACGTGCGGTAATCATGGTGACGTTAATTTCTCCCGTATTAGCAAGTACAGGCGCTTCGGCATACAATGTCAAAGCAGTAAATTCGATAGACAATTGGGTTAAACGATAGGTCCCGAATCTCCCTATCGAACTATCCACTTCTGTTAGTAACATAAAAACGAGAATAGCGGTCGGAGACCGAAGACTTGTCGATCGGAGGTTAGGGGATCCCCCAAAACAGCGCTCTTACTCCATAGTGACACCGTGTGTCCCATCACTAATTAATCAATAACTCGCTAATTATACGACATAATTCATCGAAAATCAATAGGCTTCTGATCCGAGCTATGATGAATGCACATGCAAAATTTGGAGCTTTTGTGAGATATCGCGTGCATCTAACAGACAGACAAAAACCCATCAACATACTTACCGATCTTAAGATCGATAAGTAATAATAGTGATATCACCAATCGTTGGTAGTAGGAGGCGCGGAGAAAACATTTGGGACATCATGTAAATATATATAAACAAAATACTATTCTTTCAGAAGCTATCATATTGGCATCTCGAAAAGCACGCAACTGGCTCAGAGTAGACCAACGGTCCAATCGAACAATATCCGACAGCCAATTTGTCCTATTTTGTCTGTGACAGTATTTTTGTGCATCTACAATTTCACGCATATATGCTCAGTCTAGATGAGATTTAAGCGAAATCCTTAATTATAAAAACTATGTTCAGTATAGTTATGTTAACATCTTTTCGCTCTTCACCAATTTTGCGATGAATGCCATCGATATGAACCCAAAAATAAGGACACCAGGGAAACATAATAATAGAACAACAAATTTTGGTATAATCAAAGATGTATTCATGCCCGGTGCGACCTGTGTTCATCATACCTTTGCACTAGAAACGGTTTTTATTTGCTTTCCAGCAGTTCTTCATCTTAGCAAACAATCTGGTTTCCATCTTAGCCTTTAAAGTTTGTATTTTGAATTCTCATGTTACATCCAACTGATTTGGCCCGTAGGCTAAATGTCTTTGCCATTGTATCAAATACTGCTTGGCCTGTTTATCACGTAATGAATGTGCATAGCTATCAAATGACGTTGTAAAAATATCATTTTCTAGCAAAATCATCATTCGAATTGGACCGATCTTAAGTGCCTGGTATTGGAACCTCTACCCATAAAATAAGGAAAAAAATACGGACACATGTCAAAATAAGGACAAATCTTAGAAAAAATAAGGACGTTACGGCATGCAGCCCTGCCTATGAGTCACTCTGTATTCATGAGCCCGATCACAATAAGAAATAGAACTTTCTGATGCACACTGGTCAATAGTTAATTTATATTCCTTGAGGTCTTTCCAAACCCTGAAATCAATTCAACAGTATATGAGCAAATGACTCGGTCCATAATATTAGAATATACTTCTGATGGTTCATTTTCTAACGAATTTTTAACACTATTTGTGTTTATTTTTTTTTTTTACAACATGCCAATCTCATGCCAGATTTACCTAATTAACTCGTTTAATTTGATTCCCACTCCCCTTAACTTGAACTAGATATGGGTTCTCTAGTCATTGTTGTAGTTCAGCAGCTATGAACTTTGTTTTATATATATACAGATATATTGCAAATCTCAGCATTTGTCATGTTAAAAGTAACTTTTTTTATTACACACTTGAAATGACACTCCAACACCTAGTCACATTGTTTCTTTTTTTGTTATATTGTGCAGTCCAGTGTGTCTGTACAGACGATAGAATATTATTCATCACGTTACCGGTACCGTATTTCATATTCGAGTACCGGTACCGGTACTGTGCGGCATGGCAAACATCTGCTTCAATAGATTTATGTCATTTATACCTGTTCTTTCTTCATTGTCTCCCGTTGTCCAGTCCACTACAACTGATGATTATCATAAGTTGGTTGTGATAACTGAGCCACTACAAATTCCCGAATATTTTCCCATAACACGCTTTTATTCACTGCCTGTAATCTACGAAACGGGGAATACCCAAAATTACTATCTGATGTAGTGCGTGGCTCTCAGATACACCCTAGTGTCATGACGATTTCTCGTTAAACTATACTATGCTATATTGATCTACTAAAATTATATGTTAATTAGATAGTTGAATCTTGGGTGCCGCTGCTAGATAACCAACTTTGATTCCCCACGGCTTCCCTTCCCCAGTAAAATTATGTTCTTGAATTTTTGCTTATGTTTTGCATCATTCATTATTTTACTGGTTGGAAAAAATAAACTTGACTATGACTATGTTAATGACCGCCCTCGACCTACGTCTTTTTACTTGACTACTGCTCGCTCTCGCATGGACTGAAACCTGTTTGCTATTTTGTCCGACCACGTTCAGGATCATCCAGTGCTGGAGGATTGGAAACACATCAACTTTTATTAAAGTCAGATTCGAATTACGGCCATGCTCCGTCGTGTTTCACCATAAAAATATATAAGTCGCCATAATGCGCATTACCCTCCTTCTATGACGAAATAATACAAAAGTGAAATTGCAAAATTCGTACATAAAAAACAGTTTATTCGTTTCAATACTTGCTTCGGGGACTGCAAATTTTTGAGTAAGTTTTCCAATACGAGGAAGGTGTAAAGCAAGTAATCATGAGTAATCAAGTTCAACCAATGAGGGCGCAACCGCAGCAGCCCGCTACAATGACGGTGCAAGCGGTTCGTATCAATTAGAATCATAAAATATATTTGTTTCATTCAGAGTTCACAAGTTTTCTTGTAAATCACAAAATTGGTCGTTGCTGATAGATTGCGCGCGATCATACAGAAGCCCTAACAAACTGGATAATGTTATGTAACTACGTAAAATGCGTTTACTTATGCGCATAGTTGCGCCTATACGCTTCATATAAATATCAAATATCCCTCCCAATGACAAACCGTGATATCCGTTTTCCAAAAATCAAACTGAGTAGATCAGAGAAATCAAGTTTCAACATATATAAGTGCAGATGAAAATAAACCTTCTGTTTTGGTTGTACCGTGGTTCCTATATATATATAATGTAACTTACTTGAAAATTTTATTTTCTAGCCACCGCCAGATGTACCAAACCGTGTTTGTGCTTCAGTTATCAACATGCTACTTTGTTGTCCTCCACTTGGCTTAGTTGCTCTTATCTTTGCCTGTCAGGTAAGAGACCATTTTCAAGAAAAATGAAAGTTTTTTTTTTTTACTTCAAATCTTCAATAGGTGGTGCGATCACTTGAGGAGTCATAATTTTTTCAATTTTTTGCAACAACTTTCACCACCCAGGACTATCTACGGTTTAATTTACCTATAATTAAGACCAGGATGGAAAACTAAGACTTGAAACCTATGTAGACCATGTGGGCTACCCCGCGAACAACAAATTCTATTTGAATTTACATTCGCCAATCCACTTGCCCGTGCTCGAATAACCAGCGACTATCTTCGAATATTTTTGATCTCAAACTAATTTTCCTATGTAGGCAAATTCTGCCAAATCGTACAACGTCATGGAGGCTCGCAGCAAAGCGGACACTGCAAAGACGCTAAACATTGTGGGATTTATTCTGGGAATCTTGGCTTGGATCGCAGTGGGGATCTACCTCTTTGTGTTCTTCTACTTCTTGGCTGGCGTTTTGAACGCATATGGAAATGTATTGACTACAATTGGGGAAGTCAGCAATTCACTGGATGAATTATCTGAATTAGGAAACTCCACATCTATGCTTGGCAACTTGGACCTCGATATAGCAAGCAACTTAACCAGCATCATCAACTAATCATGCTGTGACTTAATACAAGATAAACTACTTCTAACAATAATGTATTTTCAAATTATATGTTGTGAACTAGATAATAAAAACTCGCAAATTAAAAAAGACTATCAGTGTGGTAAATTTGAAGGGATTGAACCTAAATTGTTGTTTATGATTACAAAGCACGACCCCATGAGATCGAATCACTGTCAACAACGCCTCAAGAAATTAAGTTGAAATAAGGAAAAATGATAGTCAGACCAATTATCTTCCGAATTATGTTTGTAAAAATAAATGAAAACTACGGTACATTTTGACAAATCTGACCACATACTTGACATTATCATTGGTGCACTGGAAACTATTGGCAGAAAAATAATCACATGCCCTTGTCAGATATTTATTTTTACGAAACCTTTGGAATCAACAAACTGACCTACTACCGCCGATCGCTTCGACAACAGCGGGTACGTTGCTAATTTTGTGATTCTTCTCCATTTTCATCTTTCGCCTTTTGACTGTAATCCCGCGGTTACACAAAAATACAACTATGGGGAAATGAGATATACATCGTTGTTGCGAACTATGGTACGGTATATATACGGCGGTAACTATATCATATCCCGTTGGTCGTTGTTTAGTGTTTCATAAATAAAATAGCCAATGGGTGTTTGCCAGGAAAGAACGAATGTTATTTGTATTTTCGATGTCCCGCACAACGCTGTCATAGTATTCTAATATGAATTATGGCACAAATATACCAAGCACAAAATTGAATTAAGACAGCAGCTTCGAGACATGATATAAATATAAAATTGGTATATGCGAGCGGTTCCTAAAATAATATCATATCTGTCGCAAAATATTAATCTATTTCCTGGGAAATTGTTTCTTATGTGCCCGTATTTAAATATGCATATGCTTATATGGCTTCCAAACTAATTACATAGATCCCAAACTAATTATGCGTCGCGAAACATCAATCCATTTCCTAATAAATAGATGAAAATTAATTTTGAGGGTGATTTACGCCTATTGAGTGGCGTTATATTCGTTCATATTCAGAAAAACAAGCTCACGTGTAGCATCGATTAAATGTGTATATATGAAATGTAAAACTCTTTCTTGAGTGTCGGAATTTAATGTTGATAGAGTCTATTTTTTTTCAATGCGCCTTGACGTGTATATATTGTGACGACCCTTGTTTTATCTTTTAAATCAGGGGTGTGCAACCTTTTTTACAGGCAGGCCAAATACAAGTAACTGGGTGAAGCCGCAGGCCGCACGTAGAAACTCTAACTACGGAAGCCTCTGGATACGAAAAATTTGTTGTTTTTATTCGGTATTTTTTTTTACCATGTCTACCTTAAAGAATTTTCTACTTGCGAAGGAGTTTCCGTAATTGGAACAAAATTTTTTTAGTAAGTAGAAAATTCCCAAGTACGGACGCATGAATGAAAATGCATTAATCCGTTCCAATCTCCCACAAAACTCGGACATAATATTCACGGGGCTAAGCGAAGACCGTGCAGAGTGGGAGGACGGCGGTCGGAAAAGGCGTTAAATGTTGAAATCTGAGAGAGAACGTAATGTACGAAAATGAGCACATGCACATGAATGTCAAAATTAATATTTAATTTTTTTATTTTGCATTTTTATTTATTTTTTGATTCCATTTTCTTTAGTTTGGACTGTTACGCGTATCATCGTCTTCTCAACTGAAACTGAGTGAGACCTATTGTACGTACGGGAAACAAACTGGCAAGTGGTTGAAACAAACGGGCAAGCATAGTTGATTGGCGTGTGGCTGGGCAGCTACCGCGGACTTTAATTTTTATATTGCTCATGACACCATTCGTTGATTCAGGAAAAACGCAAATGTAATTACGCGATCATCGTCATTATCAAATGAGTGAACATGATTCACAAATTCTCATCTGCCAACAAGAGAGAATTGGGACCGTAGATCTTCTTTTATTTTTCGAGTCGGCGCTGATTTAAATATTTCAGTTAGGCTGTTTTGATTTTATTTTCGTCAACGACGCAGCGATAGATACTAAATAATATTTAACATCTATTTTATACGCTCTAAATTACAAGAAAGGAAAAAATTTGTCCTTATGTTCGGCACTATCGAAGTGAAAAGGTGAAAATAATTAAAATTACAACACAATTTGCTTTTAGATTTATTGCCGAGGTTGCACAAACTATAAAATTGGCGCCGCACACGAATGTCTTCAATCACGATAAAAATGAAATATTTGTAAAATGTTATCAAAACGTTGACGGTGGCTCTAGGTATTCTTACAGGCACGTAAAACTATATTCAAACAATAAATTCAAATTGGACATCCCTGCTTCAACCGCTGCATTAAATTAACCTAAAATAAACAAATATCACTACACGCGTTTTTTATTTTCGGTTTTCGGCCTTTCGTATGTAGAAAATCTCACGTTAGTAGAAGCAATATTGTTAGTTGGATTTTTTGTATCTCGAGCCTTTCGTAAATAGAGTCGCAAGCACAAAAAATTGTTTCTTTTTGTTATCGATCTTACGGCATTGTTCGGTGTCCTGGCAGAAATGTTGAGTTGAAACGTAAAAATTTCTAAAGGAGACTGGTATTTAAATTTATTGTCACACCGACTAAACGAATTCAGTGGGAAAGAAACAAGCTTTTATAACATTGCGTATTTTCCAACAAGATCTTGCTAGCTAGTTTCACTGATATGATAGTGGCACTCGGATACTGGTATAGGCTTCGCGACGCAAGGAGATTGAAATTGCTCGCACGTTCCAGATTAATAAAACTAAAAGCTCGTTTCGCGGGCACATCCTTCAAAATTGGCACTTCTCCGCTGGCCGCACAATTCATCTTTGCGGGCGGATTTGGCCCGCGGGCCGCAGTTTGCACACCCCTGTTTTAAATGATGTCATGTGATATTCTTGCTATCTTTTGTATTTTTAAACTGAGGGCGCTATGACACTGTCGATCTGTCCTTTGGTGTCCTGTCAGCCTATGCTGTGGTCTGCAGCAGTACAGTTGTGGTTGTTTTAGTTGAATTTTTAGTGTTTTAGGTTTTCCTTGTGTCTGTTAAATTAATGTTAGTTTTTGAGAAGGCTACCCAGGGTGTTTATATTGATTTTATGGTTTATGATGGGTTTGGATATTCTAATATTGGTCAATAGGATGATTTTATTGTTTGAGTGTAGTGCAATTATAGTTGTTTTGGTGTTTTGCTATAGGTTGTACTACGGAATTGGTTATTGTCAGTGCTGTTCAAGTGTTGTGTATCTTTGTTATTTCCGTTGTACCCTTTCTGCTTTGTTGATTTTCATTGGAGTATTTGGTTATATTAAGGTCTAATAAATAGAATAAAATAGCATAACCTGAAGTGAATATTGAGAAGAAACGTGACGTCAGACCATATTGGAAATAATTATTTCATAGACTGCCGGTACGCTACAAATATTTATGAAAAGGATTGTGTCGGAAGTTTGAAAAGAACCTTAAAGAAGCATATAACACTTCTCATCCATTTCATGTGTGTTTCAAAGCGGGAAAAGAGACACGCCCTCTCTCTTGCTGGATTACAATCAAAAATAACTCATTCCATTTTTCGCCGATCCGACAGTCGTTGATGAGGGTTTTCGTCATTCGAAGAATAAATATATTTTAGGATACATTCTTCCGATGCTACCACAGTTGGCAATTCCTCACTAATAAACCATGTGTTTTGGATTTTATCATTTAATTTTGAACATTTTGCCATCGCCTGTCAATAATTAGCTGACCGTTAAAAAGTAGGCCTAGAAGGTAGAAATTTTGCGTTAAAAAAAAAAAAATTTAAACGACCCCCGTAACCCCTCACTGTCTTCGCCCCTGCATACCGTAGTACCGATAGATAGATTGTAAACTATGTGTTGCTCTTGAGGTCGTGGTTTGGAAAATTTGGTACACCCGTAGTATGTGCACCAGGTTAAGGTTCAGGTTGTGCGCCATCTTGGTGCATATACTACGAAGAGCCGAAAATTTTAGCCGAATCTATCGAAGCTTTGGGTCTGATTTATGAATACTGCAGCCAAACTGAAATTTTTCACAAAGTAAAATTATCATTGAGTTATTTAACTTTTACTGAACCTAATTTTCGAAAATACAACTAAAAACTGATAAATAGCTAGCAAAACCACGAAAACGGTCTAATGCCAATCGCCATACACGAAATCTGTCAGTGAAAGTGAAAAATTGTTTGTGTGGCAAATTCAAATCGTTACCCCGCAATGAGAAGTAAGGAAGTCGATGCTATATTCCAGCGCCCAGCGGTTCCCAAAGTGGGCAAATACGCCCCTTTGTGGGCGTTTTCAATAACTGGAGTGGCGATGATGGCGATTTTGGCAATTGGGGGCGCTGGCTTTTAAACTGAGCGAGTGGGGGGCGCTGACAACATTTCGGGCAATCACAAGAATTGTGGTATTATCTGTCATTTTAACTCCTATGTTTTGAATCAACCTAGTTAGCTTGTGATTTCGTATTTGGAAATTTCTCCCTTAACGTAGAATAATATGGCTATTTTAAATCCGTATTGTTTCGCACTCATACTATAATATAGCGCGTGGCATACGCTTCCTTCGCCAATCCCTCCTATGATGTCAAGCACGTTTCGTTGTTCTGTTTTGAATTACAGCTTCATTTTAATATCGAATTCGAAGGTGCTTAAAAACGGTAGTTTGGGTACAACACCCTTGTTTTATAATTTAGCTATTGTTGAGAGCAACACGTGAGAGCTGGGCCATCTGATTGAAATGACGCACGCCAGATCGGACCATCTCCACGTTGCGACTTAACTGGTTCATTTTTCTTTCTTGGGTATTTGAATAACGAGGCTAGATAAATAATACACAAGGCCTTTCCTTGGAGGTGCTGTGCCCCAGTGAACATCATGTTGGTATTTACAATTTACATGACCTAACAGCAGAAAGTCCGCTTCAACAGGAAACTAAGGGAGTAATAGACAATTTTGCGATACGGGTGCAAATCTGTCTCTAAGGTAATTTGCAACATGTTCTAGACTTAGAGAGAACATAACTTTTGTACAAAGTGTCCTAGATTTCTGAAATTCCTGTGTATAACCAATCATACACAAACAGAAGTTCAAGCGCAAATAAAATTTAAAAGTTTTTTATTTTGTGGAAGTAATTAAGAAATTTTTGGTTTTCTTTTTTTGGGTAACCTTGAATTTCCACTGAACCACTACCATTGGTACTACGCTTTCAAAGCGTTATTCAGTGTGTCGGTGTTCCATGTTTCTGGCTACAGAATCAAATTAAAATATCCTTACGTGTGGGATCGGGTTAAAAGTTTTTTATTGCTTTTGTCAGCTCATATTTGGTAGAGCGTGCGTTTAGTGCCGTGACCGCGCTTCTTGATATCAAAAGATATCGCATCGATCATGTCAGGCTAGGAGACTCGAGACTGTTTCTAACTAAAAGGAAGCCAGATATTAATAAGCTGGTTGCATTTCACGAGGTTCGTCTCAAACCTCACATTATTCTAAGGATGAATGAAAATAAAGTTGTTTTGATTTTTTTGTCCGGGGGCGTCTAGTAGTCTGCCTAATAATTACATGGTATCGGAATATATATAGGTCGTTTTTGAATATTGGCGTATCGGTATCGGCCTTTTGGCTGGTATCGGTACATCTCTACTTTCAACTAGCAGTCTAATGATAGTTAAATAATATTGATCAATATATACACAAATCAATAACTTCCACTCAAAAGTGTAGTGTAATCATGGAATCAATTTAAAACAGTGGTTCTCAACCTTTTTGTCTTTGCGGACCCTTCTGGTGCTCTCAAAGCGGTCGCGGACCCCTCAAAAGTTTTTTATTTGAAATTTAGTTTAACCTAATGTTCCATACAGATTTAACCAAGTCAAAAATAACACTAAACTAGTGGACATTTTCATTTATTTTGTCAAATCGAATTTCTGGGATTTCTGCTGTTGTATATCAAAAGCGAGTCTTGAAATACGTGGTCTAGTTTTTGATAACGATAGACGCATATCGTCGTCGACGTTTAGTTGGTTATGAGCCTTGGATTTGATATGAACGAGAGCAGAAAATCCACTTCCACAAAGGTATGTGGAGGCGAATGGAACAATAACACGTAATGCTTCCATCGATACTTTTGGGTACGACGGCAAAATGGCGCACCAAAACTGAGAAAGTGATCACTGTAGCTGCGTTCTCGTATTATCATTGTCATGTAATAACTCGTATTTGTCACAATAGGTCTACGGGAGATAAATCAAAATGGTTTTTGTAGGCTATTGTCACATTGTCATAAGCAGCAAATGTTCGATCGTATCACAAAAAAAAAAACGATATTAAACTGCAAATAATTTCCTACAATCTTAATTCAATCGCGGACCCCCGGTTGAGAACCACTGATTTAAAAGCTAGCTAGGTCAACATAAAAGGTGTATACATCAACGAAACTTGCAGCCTGATGAATCATCCGTGATGAATTTGAACTGTCCGCAGTAATCAACAACCTCAATTAAATTTGCTTGCCCATAATCCATGACTTTAGAAACCTTACATGAACCTTTAATAACCTATATATTCCCGTAACCAATTTTTCCTACTTCTGTATCATACCGCCCTAATTAATTTTAATTATAATTACCGGTGTTTTTATTGATTAATAGTATTTAAAATAATTTGGATGTTGATTTGGCTTCTATTTGGTGAGTGGTGCAGGTCTAGCCCACCACCTGATTGGGCAATTTGGCATTAGGTGACTCCAATTATAATCAGCTCGACGATATCTTTTGGGGAATATTTTTTCATCCACAATATATAACTCTTGTTGACTAATTCGGTATCCAATTTGGCAATCCTCATAAAATTATTACCTTGGTGTGGCAAAAGAATTTATTCATTTTTTTATTTGTTTTTATATTTTATTTTTACTGAGTAATTCAATTGATTTTAAGTCTCGCTTTTTTCACTTCCAACTTTATCATGTCTCGATGATTGTATGAGTGTGTATGTGTGAGTGTGTGTGTGCGAGCGTGCTTTAATTTGTTTTTATACTTTTGGGTGAGCGAACACGTACTACTTTCTTTTATCAATACCTTTCCATATAAAATCTGTAAGCTTCAAACCTTACTTGAGGTTTTGTTTAGAGATGTACCGATACCACTTTTGTCTCCGATACCGATCCGATACTAACTAAAAACGCCGATACCGATACGCCGATATTACAAAACGGCCGATATTGCCGATATTCTGATACCGATATTCCGATACTATGTGAATAGTGCCTCACGTGTGCATGGCAGACGGGTTAAAACACTAGTCTTTGAGAATTATTCATACTACACATTATTTCAGATTTTAAAAGGATATAAAACATCATAGGAAATTGATGTTTTGGATTCAGATGCGTTAATTAAGTTAGAAGCATTGTGTACTGACGCTAGTAATCTCGGTGTTCAATTAGAAATCTCAGGTAGGGATGGGCAGGAAAATATTTAACAATATATCGCAAATATATATTATCGTATATTTCGAGATAGTCTGGGCGGATATATGAGGAAATTGTATAGTTAAACAAAATTAAAATTAATGGAATCACAATATTTATGATCTGTGTAGAGAGATAATTGAGTCGGAATTTAGCTTAAAAACGTCGATGGACTAAAAGTGCGTATGCTGTTAAAAAAGACGTTTTTACACTATGATTTAAAACTGGGAGCCTAGTTGTTCTTATTTTTGTGCTTGTCAATTACCACCACAATTTATAGATATGAGACTATAAGCACCGTAATGCTCATTAGGTCTACTTTCTTAGAGCAATTCCATTTATATCACACATGCCCTATGACTGCTTTATAATGAAAACATAAAGCCTAATTTATATGTCTCTGGATTTTGGGAAAGTGAATTGTATTTATGAGGGGGCTTTTACAATGTATTTGGAATTTCAGTATCGAAAATATTTTCAGAATGTATTCGAAATAGTCGATGGGTATGGCCATCCCTGCTCATGAGGTTTTGCTACCAGGGTGGTGAAATAAATAAATGTTTAGCCTACTTATCCTATCAAATTGATACAATGAGTTACGTGCGCAAGATTTTGTTCCAATATGACGACATATTTTGTATTTTACACATTAGAAAATCCACTAATATTCGATTGATATATTTATTCATAATTACTATGTAACATTAAAAACGTCAATATAAAAATTTGGCAGTAAAAATAGCCAAATTAGTTGAGCGTTTGGCTGATAAATAACTAAGAACAGGTCAGAATCTCCATTTTCATTTCTACTCGCGGGGGTGGGGACGTGTATGGCTCATAGTTCACGATTCCCCCAAGCAAAAAATAATTTAAACATCAGTATTCCAACTTATTTTTTAAAACATTCTGGATCATATCAAAAAGGTAAACATATCGGAAATATCGGTCTTCATTTAGCCGATACCGACATACTACAGATACTGAAAAATTGGCCGATATTGTCGATACCATTACATCGGTACATCTCTAGTTTTGTTTGCTCTCCCGACTCTATAATCAGTTATTTTTTGTTTTTATCTATTATTTTATCGTCTACTGCTGATTATGGAGTCGAAATAAACTTATACCATAAATGCTTATACTAAAAGTTGACCAAGGGGGCGCTGTCAAAAACAAGTTTGGGACTATAAAGTGTGAATATGTTGTAGTCACTTTGGGAAACACTGCTCTGGTCATCCGTGGCAGCGCGGAAAACCCGGCTAGGAAAATTTCTGAACCTCCACACGACGCGAGCTAATCGGGCTGGGCGAGTTGCATGAAACCAGGTATGGCGTGTCTTTTAGCATTTTTGTTTGGCCCAGAGGAGGCTTCGCCTTTCAATAAAGCATTACACAACTATGTAACAGAACTAGAAAAACAGAGATACCTCACAAATGATAGAGGTTTTGAAGAATTCAAACGCTGGTTGGACCGCTTAAATGTTTCATGCGCAGACCATTTTGGATCACATCATTTTATTTCGCAATGTGAAACGCGCACTAATTTGGCCGAAACTATACAAAAATCTGTCGATGGTTTAATTACCAGTATTTCAGAAGATGATGGTTTGATTGAAAACCATATTTACTTCAAACCAAGTGAGGTCTCCGCCTTCGAAGATGACGACATCGTTAAAGTAGGCGATCGCGTTCAAGCGGATGCCATCAGAAGAATAACTGGGAACTGCGGTTGGACAGCAATCAGGGTAGTTAAAATAGGAACATCTGATTTGAATCATAAAGATCTGTGGGAAGATTCTGTCCAGTTAAATGGTGGGTTAATGGTTGAGTGCATAACCGGAATTGGAGAAAACCAAGGCACATTGAAACATGGAGTTAAATTCAAACTAGAATCTGTTGAAGCAGGATATACCCCAGCTGTTGGTGACTGGGTGAAATTAGAAGCATCAGACAATGGAGAAATTGCCAAGGTCCAACCTTTAAGAACGAAGATCGTCACAGGAAAAGTTACAAGGCAACCAAGATATGATAAGGACAACAATAAAGCATACCCAGGGACTGTAAACAATGACATTAAGTTTTTCTTTGATGTGTGTGATGATGGGTATAAACCATGGCAAGATGATGAAGTTGCGGCTAGGGCTGTTGAAAGCAAACAGGGACAGTGGAACTGGAGAGCAATTTCAGTAAAATTGATAGCGAAAGCTAGAAGTAATACTCAAACAAGCGGGCAATTTCAATCGAGTCACTGGACGCTCAGGGGTGGATATCCATTTGCACAAGGTAAACGCAACACTGTGCCATCTTTTCTCCCCAAGTATCCGGTCCCAGAAAATCTAAAGAATCGAGTTGAAAATGGGAGTGATGTGTTGTGCCTATTGCCATCAATCAAAACTGGGCTATGCCTTGAAAATTACGCTGCTAGATTTGGTGCTTTAATCTATTTGGAAGAAATTTATGCAGATATTGAAATTCGCAAGCACAGTCTCAGAGATATCAGTTTACAAAGACAAGGCGAATACCTCAACATATACGTAGCTGGTATTGCTGATGGCAGGCCTAGACTTTCTATAGGAGATATTGTTATTCTTCATGAACCAGCAGCTGCAAAATTATCCGGATTAGAATATCAAGGGTTCATTCATCACATCCACCCTGAAAAAGAGGAGATTCTAGTAAAATTCCATCCAACTTTTCAGGAAAACTTCCAGGTATCTGACAGATATGATGTGGAATTCAAGTACAGCAGAGCCCATTTCCGAAGGTGCCATTTTGCAGTAAGATTAGCACAAAGGCGAAAACCTGCTGCTTTACTATTTCCTGATCAGATTTACAAGTCACCCAAGCAAAGTGTAGTCGACCTGTTCGTAAAGGACAATAACCTTTTTTTTAATACCCATCTTAACACTCGGCAGAAGCAATCTGTCCAAAGAATAATATATGGTGAAACTAGAAACCACCCATATATATTATTTGGGCCTCCTGGAACGGGGAAAACTGTAACTCTGGTGGAAGTCATACTACAGCTTTATCATTTGCTTAAATGGTGTAGGATATTAGTGTGTGCTCCTTCCAACAGTGCAGTAGATGTCATATGTGAGAGGCTAGCAGTAAGTAGACAAGTTAATGAAAGTGATATGGTCCGCTTTAATGCTTTTCGGCGTTTGGAAAGCAGCATACCAGAGTCGATATCAAAATTCTGTCACAAGGATGAAGAAATAGAAAAAATTTCTCACTATAGGATCATTTTGACAACATGTGTGAACGCTGGTATTTTTTATGGACTTGCATTACCAAGAGATCACTTCACCCATGTCTGTATTGATGAAGCAGGACAAGCAACCGAACCAGAAGTGCTCATACCTATAGGACTGCAGATCAATGGTCAAGTTGTCATGGCAGGTGATCCAGAACAACTGGGTCCAGTGATCATGTCACCACTAGCAAACGTGTATGGACTGAACATATCCTTATTAGAACGTTTGATGAAGCTGGATGTATACTCTAGAAATGACTCATTATACAAAGACGGATACAATGCCCTTTTCGTGACCAAGCTTACCAACAACTATCGATCCCATCCACATCTTATAGAACTTGCATCAAAAATGTTCTACATGCATGAACTCGTACCATGCGCAGACAACCTTCAATACAAAAACCTCCTTGAATGGGACAAATTACCAAAAAAGGGGTTCCCAATTTTGTTTCATGGCATTATTGGTCAACAATTAAGGGAAAGTAATAGCCCTTCTCTCATGAATCCAACAGAGATTGTTCAAGTAATCAGATATGTTAAATTGCTACATAGAGATGAAAAAGTTGAACTATCTGACATTGGAGTTATAGCTCCCTATCGGACACAAGTAGAAAAACTGAGGATAATGTTACGGGCAATTTGCATTGATGGTGGCATAAAAGTGGGTTCAGTTGAAGAATTTCAGGGGCAAGAACGATCTGTCATAATCATATCTACAGTTCGATCGAACTCCGGAGCAAAACCCATACCGGGTGATGGCTTATCAGTCAGAGGAACTCTTGGATTTCTCTCAAACAGTAAGAGATTCAATGTGGCAACAACCAGAGCTAAAATTCTAATGATCATCCTAGGAAATCCATATGTTTTGTCAATAGATTCTCACTGGAGAGCTCTGTTAAAATACTGTGTGTCTCATGGAGGATATCAAGGTTGCGATATAACTTCGCTCAAGCTTTGACCAAATTCCTTTCAATTTTAAGTCATTTTCTATCATGCACACTCGACATTCCACTGTTATTTTTCAAATTTTTGATGAGCAATATACACAATTTAAAATTTCGGCTGCTTCTGTTTATTCAAAATATCATCACATGAATAGATCAATTTAAATAATTTTAATAAACCAGTCAATGGTCATTGTCCCAGTTCACAGCATAACTGTTCATTAATAATGATCATCTCCTCTTCATCTATTTGATCAATTCTTAGTTGACTGTTTCCTGAAAACCAAAAATATTTCATTTATATTAACTACTAACAACATTTGCAACACTGATCACATTTCATGAGCTATAGTCCAAAAAGGCGAAACTTATAAAAGTTGCTTTGAGAAAATGAGCTGAAATGTATTTGATTTTTAAACTCCTGTAGCCTAACATTGAAATACTTGAAGCTAAATAAGATTGAATACAAGCTTTTTTTCGAAGTTTTAACATTCACTCATTTGTCTTGAAACCCGAGATTTGATAAAACATACATAATCACCACCAGGGTTGGTAATTTTAATCACAGTCATACATTTTCACAGTCTCCTTATCAGTTTCACTAAGTGAGTCTAGGTGACCTTGCTTTGAGCAAACTTTCGTATAAAATAAAATTGGCACAGCGAAAACAACATCACATCAACTTAATCAAAAGTTACCACAATTACTTGATACATTTTCTTACCAAGACAAATAGTAATATAAGACCGGAGAAGTAAATATGTGCAATGTTTATTAGAAAAAGGAGTTAACGATCAAAATCAACTGTCAATAACTGTCCCAGCCCTATTCATAACATAAATCTGGCAAGGGAGTGTTGTGTTCAAGTCGAGAATAAGTTGACATTTCATAATTTCTTTGAATTGCCATGTGGGAAGTTTCAAATGGCCTGTGTTACTTCCTAAGTGCGGCAAACTGTACAATAGGCTAGATAATTTTTCTATATCAATGCTGTGAGGGAGACTTACAAAGGGAGAACTTCTGACAATGGAACATAAGGTGGAGGGACAAGGAATTCTTCTACCAGTTTTGCATCTTTTTTCATCAAAATGTCATCCAAGCTGGGAGTTGATAATTTCAACTTGAACTCTTCACCTCCTATTCTGACTTTCATCGGTTCTTCAAGTATATTTTCTAAAAGTACAATATATGATCTTGTCAAGAATACTTACAGAAGAAAGTAATCTAAAACTAGAATAGTAAATAGTGATATTTTGATACAATATCACTTCGAAGAAATAAATTCAGGATTTCGGATATTAACAGCTATTAATTAAATTCCAACAAACTTGTATGCATTTCTTTATCATCAGTTTCCTCATCATCCAAACCCAACAGGATGGTAATATCTTCACCTGAAGCTAATGCTTCTTCAAACTCAGACCACTCGCTCATTGACGCTTCATTGCATTTACCAGATTCCAACGACTTTGCCATTGGCAATATTAAATGCCATTACCACTGACAAAATAGCAGCTGAAGTATTTAAACTTTTAGGCTTAATACAAAACAATGCAAGAAGAATGAATAACTCAAAGATAATTAATAAATATGCAATCAACAAGCCTATATGATAAAAATGGTGCTGCCAAAGTTTGTTGCCACATAGAAGAAGGCTAAAATTAAAATTCCTGTTTCATTAAAAAAACAAATTTTTTCTGTAAGCTACTTGATAAAGAGAAATAATTTGGGAATTTATGGAAATTAATTAAGGAATTTAATAATCACACCACATAGACATACGGTACATAACAATCAAATGCCAAAAATTGAAGTTTTTTATTATTGTCCCAAAAAGGTAACTGGACAAAAAATTAAAATGAACGCAAAAATCTGATCAGTGTAAGGACTCAAATTAATGGCACATACATGAAATGCATAACCCACATTAGTCCTGGCAAACAGACTATATCATAGAGAAATATTTTGCAATAAATACAGGGAAGATTTTCATTTCGGAAAAAAACACTGTCCTCTCATCCGGTTAACTAATCCAGATTAGTTGACCAGTTATAATTTCAGACTATACTCCACATAAAAAGTGGCATCCTAATATTCTGCTAATCTTACAATTAAATTAAAATTCCAGTCAGTATCAAGGGGAAATAAAACTTCACCGAAGAGGGAATAGGTCACTTACAAAACCAATCAACAATTACAAGTGTAAAATAGTTTTATAAGCAAATGCGAGAGTGGGAAACATATATGCGGGAGATACAAATCATACTTCCATCCACAATTAAGTGTATTGAAACAGTGAATTTTTATTGAGAAATATCTGAAAGTTCCGATTTCTATGAAAAAAAATTTAAAATATTTTTCTCAGCTTTTTGCACCATTCACATTAATAAGGTCATTGAAAATAGTAAATTATTTAGATTTATTTTGTTTTGTGTTTCTTTTGTTAAAGATTATAAACATTGGAAATTGGCAAGTCAGGTATAGCCAAGATATTTTCTGGAATTATGAAAGAATAATACAACATAACTTAATACAAATGGAATATTGAAATAAAGTAAAAAATAGGCAGATTGACGGGTATGTTCACAAGCATATGGTATGCAGCATTTGGAAGAAATCAAATATAAAGAAATAGTGTTGTGAGTAAGACAGCTATTCAACAAACATTCTCATATCCATTGAATCTGTACTGTTTTCATATATTTGTCCCTTGGACAGTTTTTCTTGGTGATCACTCATACTTGACAATCCATTATTACTATTGTTTAAATGTCCTTGATCAACTCCAAATGTTCCTTCACAACCTGAGTGAACTTCTTCGATAGAGCTGCCAAAGTTTGTTTGGGGAGAAGGAGGAGTCTCCTCATCAACAGCGCCATTTTCCGCATTGTCATCCCAATTGATCTTGAATCTTGTTACGCGTGGCTTACTGTCAAGAATATTTCTCATCAATTTGGGAAAGTTAGGAATCTCTGGTGGATTTTCTCGCATATCAGGGTCATTATACTCATTGTTAACAAAATACCCCACTCGAATAAACTCCCGAGTATGATACGTACATGTGATTATAACAACAGTAACACCAACAGCATCTTGAACAGGAATTAGTTCTGGTTTGGGAGGATCTGCTTGAAAAACAAACCGATGACGTCCAGCAGGAACTGGCCCGACTAATACAGAATCCAATTCCTGATCATATTCATCACTTTCAGCAGATCCAACATATATAATTTTCCATTCCAAATCATCGGATAAATTCTCAATGCAATCAAAAGTTATTTGAAATTGAAATGGATTAAAAAACGGCGAAGGATTATCTAAAACCTCCACATTTACGATCTGAACTTTTGCCATTTCTTGGTTGCTTTTTAAGTAGGCTATAGTTTATTCAATACTAAGAAATATTGATAATGAAATTTTAAAAAAATCTGTGAATAAAAATATGTCGAAATAACCCGAGAGGCGAGAGAGTTACTACAACCTGACAACCCATCAACAAGTAGTCTAGATTGGAATATTGGCTACAGTATATTAAATACAGAAGTATGATGGTTGGAATTTCCCCATATGGAATATAAAAAAAAAAATCTGTATCATGCACAGCAATTTTTTGTAGGTTTTTTTTAGACCTCACAGCCTCATGACCTACGGTACCCTACTAAACTATACCTGTATAGCGTACGGTACAGGTACCAGACCCGATTTTCTTTCGTCCCCGCGTTCTTCTGGCTCTTGTCTCAAAACTATACATTGTATTTTTACCAATTAATATTTATTTGGTTAAATCCATTCTTTGATTGATTCATTCATCGAATGAAATATATAATGAAATGCTACATGCAGTTAACATTTTTGTTGTTGCTACAGGCCTACATTGCTACATACCGTACGGTACCTGACATAACTGGAATATTAAAATTGACTTTAATGTTCGGCATAATCATAATAACCAAAGTGAATATAACTATACACTATGACTATACACTACAGCACTATGACTATATCTATAGTCACTTTGATAATAACTTCATAATCAGATAGCGGACTAGCTGCATTGGATAAGGATATATAACGTAATATGTATATGTGGAGATATATTGGATTCTCCCCTTCATTTTAATTTGTTGTGGTATTCTATGATTTGTTTTGTGTGTATACAAAATTTTATCCTAGGTTGAGGTTCTGCTGTGAAGTTGATGTGAAGGCCAACATACGAATGGTCAGTGTGGTTTGAGAGTTTCTGCATGGTTTGCGAGGAATTCACCCTGTGTCCCAACCATATTTCAACTCTGGTCTTTGAACTAGCATTTTATAGATAGATAGATAACTAATAATCAATATCTACTACAGTACTAGAAATAATAATTAATTCTAAACAAAAGTGTAGGGTAGTGCTGTTTCCAAATATGTAACCCTTGAATATCCTACTCGCAGATTTATTTTCTGTTTTTCAGGTCGTTCTGTGATGATCAATACAATGGCTAGTTTATTGAATATAAATGGTGTCTACAACAACAAAATTCGCAGGCTGATGTCTCATCCACGATAAACTTGAATCTATTACGCCACAATAATTAAATGAAGAAATGATCCTGTGAAATAACAATACTAATTCCTTTATTCCTAATTCCTTTATCCTTGCAGAAGTCAATATCTAAGAATGAAAAAAAAAAAACCTTATAACCTTAGCAACCAACATATTCCTATACCCTGTCTTTCTACCTTAATTAATTATAATTACTCATACTTATAAAGTTACTGATAGATTTAAATACTTATTGCAATCTGGACTACAATTTGGCAATAATAGGCTCTAGTTTGGGCAATGAAGTGGTCTAGCCCACCTCTTCATGCACCCAATTCTGGCAACTTTGGTTGGGCATTTTGGCATTTGACTCCATCTATAATCAGCTTGACAATATATTTTTTTATAAAAGTTTATCTTTACTGTTCACTCCCATTTATAAAATTGATCAATTTGGCAGTGGCAATCATGATAAATTTATTAATATGGTGTGGCATGTAATTTTTCATGTTCCCTTTACTCAATAACTTCTATATGGTTGTGTGTGTATGAGCGTGTGTGAAATATTTCAATTATTTTAGGTGAGTGAACACGTACCACATCTTCTTGGCAAAACCTTCCATCTTATATACATTCTGTACGTTTTAAACCTTATCTAAGGTTTTGTTCGCTCTCCTGATTTCATAATCAGTTTTTATTTATTTATTTTTAACATTTATTTTATTGTTTTGCTGATTATGGAGTCGAAATAAACTTATACCTATTATTATTATGTTTGGGCTTTTTTGCTGATATTGGAGTCGCAGTTATACATTTAAATCTCCGGAGTCCGGTTTCACGAGTTCGGTGATTCTTACTTCTGTGAACCCTATCAGTGCAAAGTCGGTACTCGGTTGTTAAACCCAGTTTAAACCTATCGGATCTCGATGGGACTTTTCCCTTAACAATTTATCGAAGTACAGCTTTGTTTTAACGAAAGTAATGATAAATACTTAAATAAGCAGCTTAGAATGATTCAGCATTTTATTTTTATAACGCTGCGCATTTGGCAAAAACCCTTAGTAAAATCATTAGTCATTCTCGAAATGCATAAAACAGAGCAGCAATTCATATAAAACATCAGTGAAAAAAGCGCGACCACATATCTTTAAAAAAATAAATTGTTTGTGAGTATTTCTGTATGTATGAATAACTGTCTATATTTTTAACTTTATTTCATAACCACATGCAGACATTTCTGCCTGCAATTACTATAAGCTGAATGTCTTGTACGGTCGTTGAATGTTTGTATGTTGATCCCTTCAATAAACCATTATTCGCAATACCTTCCTTAATTTTTTATTCTCTTTACATCTTGTGAATGTTCTGTTTAATATCGCAGTCGGACTTGATCAACAGTGACAGTCAACACCGCTTTTACATTGCAGTGTTCCTTTTCACATCCATAATCCAGTTGTTTGAGTTTCATAATTTATTCCAGTAATTCCATATGATTTTTAATACAACCAAATACTCCATTATAAAGTATATATATATATATATCATAAATACTTTTGACATAATTAATTGGTCTTACAAGTGACAACGTGTGGGTATGATATCTGTATTACTGTATTATAGCAGGAGCGGCTGAAAGAGCATTTCGGAATTGTCTCTCATTTTGAACCTTTGCGTGACCTGTTTGCAACCTACCAATCAGCCTTCAGTTATATTGTGCCGTTTTTCGAAGTTGAAGACATGTTGGAAATTGGTCACAATCTAACGAATTGTGTGGACACTAAAATCAGGCGTTGATTATTATTATTATTATCATATCATAAGGACCAATCGGCTGTATCGGTTTGCTTATTCGATTCATATTCTGCTGTTTGTTCGGGGTTGAGATAACTCCAGCTTGATTTATTTTTCTATTTTTATGTATAGTATAAAATGTATACCACCCATGTGATAATTTAGGTTCATTTTGCTGTTTGGTATGGCGCCACATGCTTATCCCACTTATTTCAAATTTTATTTTGGTTTTGGGACAACGTAGAACCGTAAACTATAATGCCTCGGCCATAATATGTTTCCGCACTTATCACTTTATTGGTTGATGTAGACTAGAGAGTATTTCATCGTGTTTCCAATTATTTTAATTTATTATCTCAGTGTTACCAAGCTCAAGGCCCGATTTTCAAATTTTTTTCCTGTTTCAGGGGTTAGATTGCCTATGTTGTAATTTTATGTCTCATGTTTTAAAACTCATTTGAAGTTCTAGCAACTTTCCGTCCCGTGTTTTTTGTTTCAAGATTTTCAAATTTGTCGCACCATGGCGGAGTTCAAATGAAATTATCTTATCTAAATGACTCATTTGAATGGCAAAACCAATCTTTGGAAACATCCTCAAACATATTACAATGTTTCGTAAAAGTTTGAACTATGATAGAGAAATAACGTTTGTTATGATTGCAACACTGCATTTACAGTAAGCAGAACCAATTAAAATCCATTACGTTTCTTTTTGAAATCAAGTTAAATTCACGTCCCATAAGTTGTCGTTGACTTGATTTAATTTTAACAATATTGCCTTTTTTCACACTTTTTCCGATGACGCGAACACAAACATAAAATAACCTCTTGAAGTCGTCAAGGGTTGGTGAAGGGGAAGCTGGTATTCATTTAAAATCGCTCTTTGAAATTGATCATTTTGTGAGTCAATGATGTGTATAACGTATATTTCCGACGACCGAAATTGCCAGTTTATGGACTCGTGGGATCGGAATGCTATTTATGAATATATTTTATTTACCAACGGTAAAAAGCAAACTTCATTACGGGTCATTAAATATGAAAGTTAAAGGTAATCGACTAAATAATAAGCGGGTTGTAGATTTTTAAACGAATATGGTAAACGACTACGGGGGTTGTCAGTATAAAATCCAACATAGTCAGAACGTCATTCCGAATGCGACCAATAGTGAGAAACTCAGCACTGAATCAAGCATCAAATTATTTGATAACACAGTTTATGTCCCAAAGGATGCGAGGATAAGATGTTTTCTACGGGTTGTTTTTGAGTTGAAGTGCCATATAAGTATATATCGTAAGTTATTCAGGTCACATCACACTTCACTTATCAGTCTACAAGTAGTGAGTCTACATTCGACCAACAACATGGATTATCTTTTCTTTTCCAAATTGAATTCCATCTAATAGGGAATAGAGGAACGATGCAGTTATTGCCATTTTAAGTATTTGAGCTACTTCTCCTCAATTTATTAATTCCTACGAGAACATCATGGAATATACGAAATTTTGCATAATATATTTGTTAAAAACATCAATATCCTCAACTTTCCATGTATTTTTTTAAAAGTATGTCATAGTTTGTAAATAATATTTAATGAAATGTATGCCACATACAGCAATTTCGGGTTAATCACAGGCCAGACTTATTATTATGAAGATGTCCAAAGTCACGATTTCTACGAGTATATAATTTCTGAATTTATGCGCATTTTCAAATTTTAAAATAAGAAATTGGTGTAATAACATCGTGTGAAATAATAATAACAGTGATATATTAAAATACACCCTGTTCAGGCATGGACCATTTATGGAATGAATTACGAAAAAGTGAATTTCGCAAGCCCACACTTTTAAAAATAATTTATCTAATTCAAAGAGAATAAGTCAATTAAGATGATTTATTCGTAAAATAAAAGATAATTAATTATCTCCACTTTCACAGATAAATTTACGGTGTAAAATATTCGAATAATCGCAACAAAAATGTGCGAAACTAAGCAGATGTGGGACGAAAGGCATTAATTAAATCACAACAAGGCTCAAATTTAAAAAAAAATACCATGGTGAAACGATATATCTTATAACAGAACTTTAAATTCACATAAATATTGGCTGTCGGAATTTTAAGGTCTT